ATACTTGCATCGCGCACAAGCACCAAAATCACGCGATTCTAGGTGAAATGGGTAGACCTAAACATTGCACTAGACCTTTCCAGGTTATTAGCGTGGATCTAGTAGGACCCCTACCTCCTACTAGGAAACTAAACAGCTTTATTCTGGTTGTCACTTGTTGTTTTAGTAAGTATTGCTTACTATTTCCAATCAAGCGCGCTACCGCTGAAATTGTTACTAAAATACTGGAGGACCATGTATTCTTAATACACGGCATTCCTTCCACGGTGATTTTGGATAATGGTAAACAATTTGTAAGTGCCACGCTAAGACAAATGTTAGATAAATATAAAATCCCTAAGCTGCATTTTACGCCTAAATACTCACCACATGTAAACACAGTGGAACGTTATAATAAGACGATAATGACTGCCATTTCCACGTTCATCTCTAACGATCAACGTATTTGGGATCTACTAGTACCTAAAATACAATTCGCTGTGAATTGTTCCGTAAATGAAGTCACGGGCTACACCCCTTCATTTCTGGTATACGGACGTGAATTAATAGCTTGCGGTACGCACTATATCGATACGGATACTGATGAGGATTTAATTTTTCAACCTCGCGATTCCTACGCGGAGAACATAGGTGTCCTATCTTCTATCTTTAATAAAGTTCAGTCACTGCTTCTACAAGCTCACAGTCGTAATTGTAAACATTATAATTTACGCCGGAAACCGGCTGAATTTGATATTGGTGATGTAGTATGGAGAAAGACCTTTTACCTTAGTGACAAGGACAAATATTTTAATAAAAAATTAGCACCAAAATTTTTAAAATGTAAAGTAATCGGTAAAAAGTCGCCTCTTGTCTACGAGTTGGCTGATATGTCCGGAAAACCACTAGGTTCCTGGCATATCAAAGATATTAAAATCACAAATTATAAAACATAACAATTATTATAAGCAAAGTAAATCTACATACACACACTGGACCCGGGTATGTCCTAAAACTACGTACACACACTGGACCCGGGTATGTCCTAAAACTACGTACACACACTGGACCCGGGTATGTCCTAAAACTACGTACACACACTGGACCCGGGTATGTCCTAAAACTACGTACACACACTGGATCCGGCCACGTCCTTAAATTATACTTAAATAATTTTTGAACAAAATTTTAATCGAATTAAAACTAATATCTGAACACTAAATTCTATAACTACCTACAGTACCTACTACTACTACCACTACTACTACTACTACACAAAGCTATTCCTTTTCTATTTTATACGTATTGGTCTACCCCAATAGTGTATAATTATGATGATGGTCTAACCCACACAATGTATTACTATCATATTAAATATACTATGACTATCGGCCCTACACCGATGTCCATAAATGAAACTAGATCATGGTTCTACCCCATAGATTCCTTCAGTTATGTACGCTAAAGGCCCTACACCTTTGGTATTCTACGGAGCGGTGCAACTCCTTAAATAAGCCTTTGCAAGAGCGGTTGATTACTCTATAAATAAGCCTCAATCACAAACATAACTTATTATCTATTCTTCCTAAGTCTATTATTCTATCAATTAGTAGTTATGTGGAGATAGTAATCGCTCCAAGTCAGCTTAATTTTTTTCCACCCATAATTGAGCTGGGGGAGTGTTCTGTGCACTGGTAGCAGAATACTCAGATCGAAAGGATGCTGACGCACAGATGTCTATTGTGACGTCGGCTAGTTAATGTAAGGAATAATGAAAAGTGAGGGATGATTAAATGATGAATGATGATGAATGAAAGGGTAACTCGGTTCAGTTATCAGCAAGAGCGAAAGCAGCGGATTTTTCCTAGGAAAAATCCTACGCTAATGAGGGGGGTACTGTAACGTTGTACCTTGTTGCCCTAAAAATAGCTTCGAAACCATATAAATTATAAATAATTACAATAGATTATTCTAAAACTATTATTAAAATACACTAAATAAACAAATAGAAACACATCTTACTACTTACTAATTTAAAACGCATCAAAATAATTAATTTTATATAAAAACATTACGGAACCCAATATTAATTGTTTACGCAAAGGTCCTCGCTTCTATTGCGCCTACGCATCTCTAAACGAGTTAATAACTAGTCGTGTCGGCTCGTCTCGGGCGCATTCGTAAAATCCAACGAACAGTCAACTTAAAGGCATCAGAGGTGACGGCTGTGTCACTCGATCGCGGACGACCTACGTTGCAAGATCGTACTTACCTACCTAATTAAATCTACCTTAAATCAATTATATAAATTGTAATCGGAATCCCGCTGGGGTAAGTTTCCATGTATTGCTTAAGTGTTGCTATTGTAAGGTGTTTCTTCTTCTTAATTTCTCGCTAGCAGCGGCTATTCCTTTTTTTTTTGTCTGCTGGGACACTGTGACCTTTGGACCCGGCTACGTGGTCCGAGCTCTGCTAACGCTTGCCTTGTATCTGCGCTTCCAGGATTCATGTTCTACGATTAACCTCGCATCGCAGCCATCTACCTGGCGGATTTATATTCTACTATTAACCTCGCATCGCAGCCATCTACCTGGCGGCGAGTGGAAGACCAGACCTCCTTCTACCTGGGAACTACCTAGGCCCTGCTGAAGACCTGGAAGGCATTTGGAACGAGACCGGACCGCCTGCAGAGCTACTCCACGGTTCAGGCCAGTGTTCTCAGCGTACCTATTACCCCGAACCTGGACGTGATTGGGGCAACAGATATTTGGCAATAATAGAGTGAACTACTTCTAAAAAAAAAAGTGTACTTTATTTGGACCCCTACCTACCTACCTGCCGGCCACCTGACTCCTACAGGAGCCAAGTTGCCGCAGTCTGAAAAGACATAATATTATAAGTATCTAGATCTCAATGAAACCTTGACTACTATGTATAGTCCCCTGTCTTCTAAATATTTGTTAAATTACTCCATTGTTTCAACCGGTTGCTGAGTGAAAGGTCACGGGTTCATCGCCGGCGCCGGGCAACAGTTGTTATTAGTGTTTGTTTTGAAAGTACATCAACATTACGTCACAGCGTGGCAACTGATTGATGGCTCATTACGTGTGACAGGTCGCTCTTTAACTTTTTTGTAAAGGTTTTGATTATTGAACTGAATTTATTCCTCAAAGATTTGTCTATTTTAACCGACTTCAGAAAAGGAGGTTCTCAGTTTCATCTGTTAGTGTATGTGAGTTTGTGCGCGCATATCTCGCGATTGGCTAAACCGATTTTGACGCGGTATTCAGAAAAGTGTTTGTTGCACTTTTTTTAAGAGGGGAAAATCATCGAATGACTGCTCCCGCCTGCGTGAGGCGGGAGGGAGTGTCAGACTCTTACTGACTAAAAACCACCCCGTTCCTTCCCCTGCACGTCGAGCCGGAGCCCCGGTGACCCGTTAGGTTCTCCGCGACTCCGAATCGGCAACGGCCCTGTTGGGCCCCATCTGTGGTGGTGTGTTTGTTACACTTAGGAGAAGAATTCAGTACATTAATTAACCGAATTTAGAAAGAGAGGGCGTTGAAGAACATATCTTTGCATGCCAAGTGAAGGCAGTAATTAACCTCTTGTTTGTTGAATGTTTCAGGTAAGTATGTGTTTTATGCCGGGAGCCGGTGTTTCAACAGATAATAGGATATGAAGAAACTGTAAACTTTGTTAACACGTATGACGCCTATGTATATGTTCCCTTGTTTGCAAATGATTTAATCAATTTGAAGTCGGTTTTCCCGTAAACGTAGTTCATTTTTTATATGGAATAGAAGGTTAACGAGCAGACGGATCACCTGAGCAGATCACAGCAGCAGATCTGATCGGTAAGCGATTAGCGCCGCCCATAGACACCCGCAACACCAGAGGAGTCACAGGTCATAAAAAAATTATTGCTATACATATACAGCAAGTGCAACCCAGAATAAAAGACGTAAATTGCAAAATAATGAGATTCTTTATGAAGTAAGTTGTTATGTTTACTGAATGCGAATTCCGTAGCTTGAACAAGTGAAAGATTAAAATATTTCTGAAAATCATCATTTGTGTGCTACGATAGGAAACACGATTCGTTATTTATAAAATACATTAGAAAGCTTTTGTTCCCCGGTCGTCGCTTTTTTCAGCTTCTCCAGCTCTGAGCTAGTTTACTACTATTTATTTATTTACACTTTATTGTACACCATAAACACTTACAAGGAAAAATAAACATAAAAAGAATGCGTACAGTGCGCGGTCTTATTTTACAGACAACCTTTGTATGGAGCCAGTAATTAAGAGTTGGAAAATGCTATATGATTTATTTTATTTCCTCTAAATGCTTTAATATGAGACGTTCGAAGATTCAAATATTTCTCGTTTTTCTACTAAAATTGATACCAGTGACCCGAGCGGGCCGCGCCATGATGCCATCACTGACACACATATTTTGTCTGAACTAAGTTTTTGCATCGGTTCGAGATGCCCCGAACTTGTTTGCGTTCCCAGTAAAAGTAGTTCTGTGTGCTAAATTACTGCTGCGCCCGCGCCGCTATCATTCCGAATTTTCTATCGAACATCGAATATCATTACTAACATATTACCAATATTCTAGTAAAGTGAGTCGAGTCTAGTGTCGCGCCGTGTCCCCGCCCGCTGCTGGCCGGCTTGTTTGTTTGTTTCGCTTCAGATAACTTTCACTTTAATTTACATCTCACGTACGAAAATATTTTGTTATTAACATGTTACACTTACTGTCTATTTTGTGACGAGAGCTTGCGGAGCGTTTGGAAGCTTATTAAGCATGCGATCAATAGTTTTGTTTGACAGTACTCGCGTATAATTTAAATAGCATTAATAGATCTTTTTATTACAACAGTCGTTTCACTTGGCGAATTCATGGTCTGTTGCGTCTAGTATACCACTTCGGAAGAAACTATCCCAGCTCAGAATAAATCACTCAACAAACTCTCTCTCAGCACATTCCCGCGTGCTGTTGTGCTGACACTCACCCAGAGCTGGCGGCGTTCAGTCCGTAGCAGTCGTTGATGCCGGCGAGCACGCCGACCACCCCGGCCACCACGGCCACGCAGCCCGCCCACAACCCGGCGCCCACGCGCGACAGGGCGGCGCCCTTCACCACGGCCAGCGCCCCGGCGCCCACCAGCAGGGCGCCGAGAACGACCTGGCCTAGCCCCAGGAAGACGACGAGGCGCCGCCTGTCAGGTTCATCACTGCCTGCTTCAACACTCTTAGAACTCACACTCTTGTCTTTGGTCACTTTCTTAACTTTCTTCTGCGGCGTCTTGCATATGAGCTGCTCGGTGGAGTCCTCGGACTTGAGGCTGGACACCGTGGCGGTGGTGACTCGCGCGTCGTACGTGTCCACTCGCTCGGCGTCGGCCATGTCGGCGCATCACTGGAGTGCGCGTGCGCGGCGCTCGGCTCTCGGCAGCGACTGAGCGCGTGCGCCGCACTGTCGCGCCGGTGAAAGTCGCGCACCTGTCTTCTCTTGTGTTGATGTTGTCGTCCGCCGCTCATTGATAACAGATGCGACCTCGCCGCTCGTCTGATAACGAAGTGTCCACTCAGCTGTTTCGGTGCGGTTGTGTCTCTACCACCAAATCTGTTAATGAGAAAATTGTACGTATATTTTAAACATAATGGGTAGCAGATTTATGGTCCCGAGTCTGTCGGACCATACAAATAACGTAATCGACATTTTTGACGAAAGGGATTTTTTAAATGTTGCCCCACACTAGGATTGTCTCCTGGGTCGTGCGTGCCCATACAAACGTACAAGTTCACATAAACATGACACCCAGACCCGGAACAACAATCTTTGGATCACACAAAGAGTTGTTCCGTACGCAAATCGAACCCGTGACACATTATGTCGCAGTTACCTGGGCGACTGTCTGGCAACCGCGCCAACCGTGACATCGTTTTAAAACAGTATACTGAATCACTGAAACTAAAACGAGATCTTTCTACCGAATGTATGTATATACCACAAGAAGTGCAGAAAAAGCGTGCAACAGTGGGCTACTGGACCGCCAGTACAGTCGACTGACTGATTGTCTAGATTATACAGTACACGCTGTAATAGTGGACCAGTAGCCAGTACTACTGTGTGCCTAGTAACCACTACTATTACTAGTACGGAGAGTATCACTAGTCCACCGACACTTACCATCAGCTGTCTTCATGTTTTATCCCGGCCAGTACTTCCGGCCAGTACCGGAAACTGTAATATTAGAGGGGCGCGTGCGCAAGTAAACGCAGGTGCGTTAGAAAGTAAAGGAACATGTGTGGCGTGATAGACGAGTGTGGCGGGTCCGGAGTCAGCTGGTGCAAGTGTCGCGTTACGCGGCCAAGACGCGGCAACTATGTGAAACTACTTAGCCAATTACATATTTGACTCCCGCTCTCCCATAATGGTGTGATATCGTGGCATTTGTCTTGAACCTACGAAAACCGACGCAAAGCAACGCTTGCGTTGTGTTTCGCCGTGTGAGTGAGGTTACCGGAGGCCCAATTACCCACCTCCCCTTCCCCAATCTCCCCAATCCCTGAATCCCCAACGATTCTCAAACTCCTAATCCCCAAAAGGCCATGAGCGATGCCGTTCTACTTCCGTTGCCCACCTGTCATAGGAGGTCCAGTGTACAACAGTTCTCGATGTTTGAAATATCATAAAACTTGTCGAGATAGGAATGGCTAGTGATCGAGCACCAAGATCTATCCTGCTAAGCTATTGTGTAACTGTAAATTCGAACTTTCGAAGTGATCTCGATGGCATTCTTGTCCGTCATTGGTCGGGATTATTCTCACTACCAAAGACATGGCGGACCGCGATCGAGTTCACTTCGAAAGTTCGAATTTAAAGTTACAGAATGTTCTGAACCACGTTGTAATAATTACCTTGAAAACATGAGGTCCTTGTTAAACTAGTATTAATGTGAGCACCTCGATGACAGCAATTCTGAAGATGGCTATGTAGTTTCACCTAATTCGAGTAAAAGTTTAAATTTGGAACTGTCAGACAGAGCTTATCAGACAGGCTTTATCTATTGTTGTTACATAATAGCTACCATCATAAATATAACGTAACGGCGACACCCTAAATACTAGGTCACATACATAACGCGGCCTACTGGCTCTATATCATCACGCCCTATAGCCACAGTGCAATATGTCATGGCATCATCACATCAGCCATTCATATCACATCATAACGCGTTAGATTACGTTAACGTTACGTCGTGGTGCATTCCCGCACCTTAGATGGGGAGAAACGATAACCTTCCAAGTGTGTAACAATTAGTTAACGTAATTTGAATATTCTTAATTAGCTGTTCGAAGTGAGAATAATAATATAGAATGAGAAACCGGACAGTCGTCTGCCAAGTATTGCACTAACTGCTGCTGCTCCAGTCTGAGCGCTTTTTTTTTATGGCGTATGCCGTAATCGAGCAGACGGATCACCTGATGGTAAGCAATCGGCGTCGCCCATGGACACCTGGAACACCAGAAGCGTTACAAGTGCGTTACCGGCCTTTTGGGGATTAGGAGATTGAGGATTGTTGGGGATTCGGGGATTGGGGAGAATGGGGAAGGGGGGAGGGAGCTGGGCATCCGGTAACCTCACTCACACGACGAAACACAACGCAAGCGTTGCTTTACGTCAGTTTTCTGCTCGGCCGTGGTATCACACCGGTCGAGCCGGCCCATTCGTGCCGAAGCATGGCTCTCCCACACTTAGAAATAACAAAGATACCGTCACTAGTAGATATGCTTAAAGTTAATAAAATGGGAAAATTCTCATTTTAATTTTAAGTACCGTTAAATATTTAAATTGGAATAAGCAACTTGCCAGCTGAAATTGTCTCGAAACAAAAAACAATGTTTTAATCTGTTCTCTACACCGCCTTATTTTTAGCCTGCCTCGCTGGTCGAACGGTCGTAAGTGCGACTACCAGGCAAGGGATTCGATTCCCAGGTTGGGCAAATAATTATTAGGATTAAAAAAAATCCCAGTACTAGCACGGAGTCTGGAAATGTGCCCGGTATATGGTAATAGACTCACCTCCTATTACACGGGACTCATAACATAAATAGTGATAACCTATCAGTAGTTACTAATTAAAGGTTTTAGTTTTGACTTTTTGATAGTTATTAGTTTTTGGTTTTGTGAAGTCGGTTTTTTAAACGCAGTTTTTATTTTATAATTTTATCATTTTCAGTGTAAAGCTACATAGATCCGTTTTGTCAATTATAATCTGCATAGGTGCAAAGTTCTAATCAATACAAATTATACAAGCCCAAACACAAGGTAGTTACTGTATACCGTTGAGGAGTTCCCTTAACAATTACACTTCTTCATCATCAGACCCTTAATGACAGCCCCACTCTATCTAGGTGTAAAGTCCTCATCAATACAAATTAATCAAGCCCAAACACAAGGTAGGTAATATAAACGGCTGAGGCGTTCTCTCGACTGTCTGTCAGCTCCATCATCAGGTCGTCTCCAAACCCTTATCAAATTGTAGTGTTTAAAAATCCTAATTGAAAAACATAATAGACACATTACTCGTTCCTACAAGTTTCGAAAGTTCCCCTCGGTGATGATAGGAGTCCATCATCAGATCCTGACCTCATGGAAATGGGATCATCTCAGGAGTATACCCTTTCAAACAAAACAAGCATTTTGGAAATCTGTTCACCAACGGCGGAGTAATGCGCGAACAAACAAAAAAAACATAGTACCTCCTCCTTTTTTTGAAAAAAGTGGGTGTTACATTTTACAGTGGCACTGAGTGCTGTAATGTGCACCTCTGCCTACCCCTTCGGGAATAAAAGGCGTGATGAATGATGATGATGTAACTTAATTTTTATTAATGTAAAAATCTAAATACACAAAGAATGAACGCAACACAGGGAAGATGGAAACTATCAGTGAAACAACACGTACAGTTAGTAGCACACAATTTATTAGAATTAAGTACAATAGGGATATAATATTTCATCAACATCGATTTATCAGGAATAATGGGAAGATAGAATGCGCACAACAACCAAGGTTTACGGCGCACTCACACACAGACCGGTACAGCGCAGTAGTTACTACAACAATACTCTCGTCACCACGTGCTCACTCAGTCACTGAGCACGACACGTTACCCTGGTGTACATGGCCGAGCACGTGGTCACCGTAACTACTTGGCAGTTGGTACTTTACAGAATCTGCGCGGGTACCGGGCTGTGGTGTGGCGCCTTACAAAATGTTCTTAGCAAAGTCATATTGTACGTATTAAACTTCCTTGTAAAGTGAACCTAAGCACATCGGCAAGTACTGTCGCTGCGTACTCTCACTACTAAACCTTATCATTTACAACACGCGTAGGTGGCAGGTACCATTATATCGTAGCTGGGAACACCAGCCGCCTGCAGTCTCCGTGCAGCTCGTGCAGCTCGTGCAGCCCGTGCAGCCCGTGCAGCCACACCAGCCACACTCGCTGCACAGCACCGCAGCCGACTGTGTGACTAAACTAAGATTACTGTCCTCGATACTATCACAACCACTTACTACTTTACATACTTAATAATACGCAGGTACTGAAGTATCGTTACACATACACGTCACGTCAATAAATATGAATATTATTCATATAATACAGGTACTTGTAATATTTACCTAAGTAAAATGCTAAATATAAAATAATATTTTTTCAATAAATGTCAAAATATCTGCTGCTTTCATATAAGTACTATACATATACTATATTAATTAAACTTCGTCAAATTTTAATAATGATTTACGTCAGTTGCGGGTGCTGCCTATGTACGTACCTAAATCTTCTCCTACCTCATCCGCTATGTACAAGATTTACTTGTCTCTGTATTGGTTTTTGATGAAGTCGGCGGCCATCTCAGCGATCATGACGACCGGCGCGTTGGTGTTCCCGCGCACCATGGTGGGCATGACGCTGGCGTCGGCCACGCGCAGCCCCTCCAGCCCGCGCACGCGCAGCTCCGCGTCCAGCACCGCGCCCAGCCGCGCCGTGCCCACCGCGTGCCACGCCGCCAGCGCCAGCGCGCGCACCGAGCAGCGCGTGCGCTGTGGCTCCTGCAGTCCGCGGCAGCTCTCCGGGGTGAGGTCCACCACTCTCGCGCCTAGCTTCTTAAAATGTGTCGTGTTCACCAGGGATACCGCTTTCTCAATAGCCTCCGGGAATCCCTCCATGTCAGCTTCGTGGTCAAAAGTGCCAGAGTAAATGGCGGGGTCGTCGTCTGGATTTAAAGACTTCAACGTGACATATCCGCGGGACTGCGGCTTCAGTAGCACCACGGCCGCCACTATCAGCTCATGCATCTCGTTTTCCTTTTGCAACTTTTCACATATTTCACTCGTGAACCCAATGCCTTGCACGCACAGGTTGCTGGTCAGTTGTCCGGCCGGGACGCAGGACGGGTAGATAGCAAAGTAAGGTACGTGGGCCTCTTTGTCCTTCTGAGGCAGGTACGCGCCGATACTGTCAGAATAAGACAAAGTCCCGGAGCCGTTGTACAGATATTTAATCACGTTGAAGTAACCATCACTTTCGCTTAACTTACAAGTCCCGCGTTCAGCAGTCATAAAGTTTAAGACCATGACGTGATCCTGCAGACCTTGTCCTACAGGTAGGTCTTGGACGACATCGATGTCGAACTGGTTGAGAATATCGCTCGGGCCCACACCCGACAGTAGCAACAGCTTGGGCGTATTGAACGTGCCAGCCGACACGATCACTTCGTGTTTCGCGTAAACAAATAAGTTTCTTCCATCCGAGTCGGCCTGGATCCCGACCGCCTTGTTCCCTTCGAACAAAATTTTCGTCGCAAATGTATTCTTCAATACGTGCAGCTTACCGGATTTAACTTTGTTCAGCATAGCTGTCAACGAGCTGTCTCTGCGTCCGTCCCTGATGGTGTGGGAGAACTTGCCGACTCCTATCTTATACGGGTAAGTCATGTCGTCGACTGCGGCAAAGCCCAACTCTTGGAAAGCTTGCATCAGCTTGCTGTTGGGGCTGTCTGGATAGTGGGCTCCTGACACCTCGATGGCTCCTCCAATGCCGTGGTACTGCATCAGCTCCTTGTTGCTAATGATATTGCTGTCCGTCATATGCTCAGTCCTCTTGAAGTAGTCCAGCACGTTAGTCCAGTTCCAGACGTCGCCTGCGATGTCAGCCCACTCGTAGTAGTCCTCAGGGTGTCCCCGCGCGTACACCATGTCGTTGAGGGAGCCGCTGCCGCCCAGCATCTTGCCTCGCGGCTGTCTCTGGACGTGGCTCGCCAGCGCTTGACTCGTGACACCGTCATCAATGGTGGTGAAGTTCCAGTCGTAGGGTGTTTCTTTCAAGGTTTGTCGTAAGCCCGGTACCTGAAAATGGTATAACAAAAGAAATTGAAAATCATGTCTATGCTCGTATTAAATTGAAGTGAGAATACGTGTGTAGCTGTGTGCTGTATGTGCACTTACAATGCTCTCCTCGGGAGGGTTCGGTCCTGCTTCTAGCAGCAGCACGCTGAAGCGGTTCTCCTCGGCCAGTCTCGCTGCCAGCGCCGAGCCTGCCGTGCCACCGCCCACTACGATGAAGTCGTACCGGGACCCGTCTGAATGATAACACAAAAAATATTTATAATTTACTTTACTACCCAAAGTTGTTACTTATCGTTTACCATAACTGTCAGCACGCCAGGCTAGTTGCGTCGCATCAGAATTAAATAAATTTGGAAAAAGATGTAGGTCCTAAAGGAGGTGATAAACAATAGTACGTACTGGTGACGTGCGCCTGTCTTGGGTACGACTCTTGCAACAGACACTGGGAGGCAGCGAAGAACTGTAGCGCCGCAGCCACGTATGTGGCCGCGGGACCTGCGCCGGCGCACCCGCCCACTGCGTAGCACATGTTGTCTGCAACGAACCAAGCACACCATGTACTGTACTGTTGTTATTTACTGTAAACTGCATGAACTGTATGTGGCCGGCAGGGGGCGCAAGGGCTGCCCGACTAATGTCACACGGGACGTGTTCTATTGTTCTATATGTCGACTCTATTTAATCCTAAATATCAATTATTATTTTCCAATTAATTCTTCGCTTTAGCTCTTAAATACAACCATTTGAAGCTAAACTCCCTAAATATGTACATTATTATGTTATAAACTATAAATAAAACATTAAAAATCCTACTGACCTCACTTCTGCTAAATATATTAAATATCAAAGATCAAAGTTTAAAGACTCTGGTTTTTGCAATGAACTTATACATTAAATATCTATCAAGGTGTTGTTCAATTTTCAACTCTATGCAAATTGTCTTAAATAGAAAAACCTATAATAATACATACATTATTACGCTTTGGCCTTGAACCACAACGATTTTGAATGACCGCGCGAACTTCAGATGAACTCGTGTACACTACGTAGTATTTACTTATATATACAGGTGCCTGGCACATACGCACGTGTAGATAACTATGTGAAGGTCATTACTCAGAAATTAGGAGGATATTCACTTTCAGTGACACAGTGATTCGTTGATAAACAATATTATCTGATAACTCGAATTGATTTCGATCTCGTAAACAGAGATATAGTTATGAATAAGCTGCAGTTTATGTCATTCACTACCTTCGACAATATACACTGCACTACTTCTTCAATATTAATATTTCAATCAACGTTTTGGCAATTAAGTAGTAACACACTAGCACCCTCAGTACTTAAAACGAGATTTTATACATTGTAGATGGCCATGTATTTGTATGTTATATATGTTTTTATTTATTTATTTATTTATGTAAGTAACAATATCCGCACTAACCTGCGTCCTCGATAAGATAGCTCCACCGTCGGTTGTTGCTCCACTCCTTCAATGATAAAGAACTTGTTTTAATATCGTCAATTAATTTGTAGTTTGATAATGTGTTACTGGCAAGCAGAGGTGCACACATATTACATTGTAATAGACGCAGTTTTCACTGCTTGCTATGTTTGTATATAAGTTCTATGTGACAGCATGTTGTCGTAACAAGGGGTCCAGGTGCACCCTCTATCGACCTACGTACTTTATTACTCCACCCAAAAACCAAAATTAAATCTAAGATCTTGCTCAGTCAGTGCAATCGGTGCCACCCATGGTCACCCGTAACAGTTGCGGACCATTTCAAAATCGGGGATGGGGGGGGGGGGGGGGGGAATGGGTGCTGCTTCACGTTTTTTGTGAAGCTGTGATGTGACTGCCGTCAGCCAGTTCACTCGTGTCGTGCCGAATAGATAAATTTGTTTTTAACATAATAAGGGTTTGTTTGTGTGAGTGCCATCAATATAAAAGCTTTTTTTTTTTTTTTTTTTTTTTTTTTTATGGGGGGAAATCCTCATGGACTGCCTCCGCCTGGGGAAAGGCGGAGGGGTGTGCCGGACTCTTACCGGCTAAAACCACCCCAGTGTCTCCTCACACGTGCGTGCGGGGCCACGGGAGTCCTAATTCATCCGCAGCCCCGCATTACAGTGCCGGCCCGTATGTCAGGGCCCCGTCACCTGCACGGAGCAGTGCACCACGTGCATCGCCTCAAAGGCGCACGCCGACACCCGCGCGCGCCTTCGACTCGGGTCTTTGAAGTCGGGGGCGAGGACTTCCCCAAGTCCTTCGCCCCTGGACCCATTTATGGGGGCCGGAAGAGGGCGTTGTCAGCCCTTCTCCTACGCCCGGTGCGCCTTCTGCGGTTGGGAAAGGAAGTCAGTAAGATCTCCCTCTCCCGTTCCGCAGTTTCCTTCTGCGACATCACATCCTCGCAGAAAGACACCACCGCGTCCCACGACTCTGCGCTGTCCACCATCTTCCGCACTACGGCCGGCAGCGACAGATCGCTTCCTACTTCATTTCTGAGGACACGGCGCTGCTCCTCCCAAGCTACACACTCGGCGAGCGTGTGTTGCGCCGTGTCCTCCCCGCAATGGACGCAGTGGTGGCACCGGGCGTCCGGCTCCCTCTCTATGCGGCACAGGTACTTGCCGAAGCAGCCGTGCCCCGACAGCACCTGCGTCACTCTAAACGACAGGGAGCCGTGCTTCCTCCCAAGCCAGTCGTCGAGTACTGGCCGGATCGCCTCGACGGTAGCGAGGCCGGCGGTGGGGCGCAAAAGCCTTTGCCGCCATTCCGCCACCAAGACCTGACGGAGCTCCTCTCGGCGCCGCTCGATTTGGCGCTGCACCGGCCTCGAGCCCCGTGTCCGCTCTTCCTCGCGCCATCGGTATAGTGACGCGAGTACTTTCGCCTCTAGGTCCCAGGGCGGGGATCCGGCCAGGACGCAAGCCGCCTCGTAGGAAATCGTGCGATACCCGCGGACGACTCTGACAGCCATCACCCTCTGCGGTTTTTTCAGAATAGCGAGAGTGTTGGCCGTCAAGTCTAATGCCCACACAGGGGCCCCGTACAGGGCCATGGATCGCACGATTCCCACATACAGCCGCCTACAGGCGGCGCTCGGGCCCCCCAAGTTGGGAAGCAACGTTGAAAGCGCGCCCGTCGCACCCATCAGTTTGGGCGCCAGCCGCCGGAAATGAGGTCCGAATTCCCATCGGCTGTCGAGCACCAATCCCAGATATTTCATGGTGGACTCGACAGCTATGCGAGCCCCGCTGACCACGATTTCCGATCCCGGCGCTGGTGCACGTCGGGGGCCGTGGAACACCATGGCCTCCGATTTGTTCAGGGCCACCTCCAGGCCCAGGCGCCGGATGCGGTTCACAACCTGTGACACCGCAGCCGTGGCTATCAACGTCGCCTCCCTATGCGAGCTCCCCCGGGCGGTTACGAGCGTGTCGTCCGCATAACACGTCAAGTCAGCGCCCAAAGGGAGCTCACCTCTCAGCACCCAGTCGTACCCAATGTTCCACAGGAGTGGCCCTAAGACCGATCCCTGTGGAACACCGCAAGACATGAGGTGCCGACCGACACCGTCACGTCCCCGATAGGTGACACACCTGCCCTCCAAAAAGCCCCTACTATACGGCGGAGGTAGAGAGGCACGCGATGGTATTTTAGTGCCTCTCGAATACAACTCCAGGGTAGGGTATTGAATGCATTGGAGATGTCCAAAGACACCGCCAGTACCACCCCACCCTGGGACACCGTCTCTTCCACCAGGGTCCTTACGCGCATGATGGCGTCTATGGTGGAGCGCCCCTCACGGAAACCAAATTGGTTGTCGTCCAGGTTCGGTCCTTCTCTGCACAAGTGACTCACGAGGCGATTTGCGATAATACGCTCGAAAAGTTTGCCCGCCTCGTCGAGCAGCACTATGGGCCGATACGCGGATGGCGAGTCCGCAGGGCGCCCCTCCTTCCTGAGCAGGACCAGTTTTCCCTCCTTCCACACACTGGGGAACTGACCTCGCTCGAGACATGCCGTGAGAAGCCCTCTCAGCTGGGGCTCTAGAACCTTCATAGCCAGGACGAGAGCCCGACCAGGAACGCCGTCGGGTCCGGGCGCTGTGTTCTTAGCCCGGAGTCGCAACACGGCTGCTCTCGTCTCTGCTTCTGTCACCTCGGGGACGTCGGTGGTCTCTTCTTCGGGACAGTCTGTAGCAGACGGCGAAGCCATCACCGGGGGAACGTGCTCTGCTCGCTCTGGGAAGAGAGCTGATACAACTGCCTCTAGCAATTGGGGTTGCATACTCTGGGCTAGTGGAGGCGCCCAGGGACGCAACTTGCCCCGTACCCAACGGTAGGGCCGCCCCCACGGATCCCGATCTAAGGACCCCAGCAGCTCCTCCCTAGCACGCGACTTTGAATCGGCGATGGCCAGCCGCAGAGTCTCCTTAGACGTGCGGTACACCTCGTACAGCGCATCCTCCTCGTTGGAATCCCGTCGACGTCGTCTCCGGTATCGGGTGTACCGGCGGCGAGCCGCAACGCACGTTACGCGCAACTGCGCGATCTCGTCCGTCCACCAGTACACCTGGCGCCTTGCGGACTGTTGGCGAATACGAGGCATAGACGCGTCGCAGATCTGCGTCATCGCCCCGCGAAACCACAGCGCCATCGATTCGACGACGACGGGGCCGTCTGTCGTCGACTCCCAGACCCAGGACTGGATTAAGGCAGCTTCTTCGAGTAGTTCCCTGTCGATGCGCTTGAGCGCCCAACGCGGGCCTTCGTTAATCGGGGTTGCTGGATGGCGGCCGGTAGCGGTCTGGGCAGAGACGTCGAATCGAATATACCGATGGTCCGATAGCGTCTCCACCTCTACGGCGACTCGCCAATCGCGGACTCGGCTGGCGACAGACGGACTAGCGAACGAGACGTCCACTATTGACCCGCCCCGCTGTCGCACGCACGTGTATTCCGAACCCCGATTCAGGATGACCAGTCCAGTCGTCACTGCCCACTCTTCTAACACCTCACCCCGAGGGTCAGTAACCGGAGATCCCCACGCCGATGACTTGGCGTTGAGGTCCCCGAGCACCAGGACGGGACGAGGTTGATAGCGGCCTACGACAGCGCCCAACTCGACAAGGAAACTCTCGAAGTCGGCGAGCCTCTTGTTGGGAGAAAAATACGCCCCCACTGTGACAATACCGCTCGAGACCGCAGCAACCCAACCGCGGCCACGAGACAGGTCGCTTAGAGCCTCGCCAATAATAGCCACCGAACCTTCAGTGCATCCCAGCCAGTTGTCACGGGCGGGAACGAAGTACGGTTCGGCGACCACAGCCACGTGAATCGACCACTCTGCCATGCTCTGGAGTAGGAGATCCTGAGCTCTGGCACAGTGATTGATGTTGCCCTGGAGGAAATGGAGTTGTGCCATTATTGACACTCCATTCCCTCGGCAACGGTCATGGGCCGGGTGTCGGCCGCAGAGCTACTAGCCTGCGAGGGTGGCGAGGTTTCCCCAGCAGGTTTAGAGCCCCTCTTCTTTTTCTTTTTGGCCTTGTTGGCAGGCGCACCACAGGCCTCTCCACCTACTATGTGTCCCGCTGGTTTGCCCGCAGCCGAGCACAAGCTGCAGTTGGGCGCCGCGGTGCACTGGGCCGCCTTGTGGCCGGTCTGACCGCAGCATAACAAAGGTCACTTCGGTCAATCTCGGCGGTACATTTTGCCCGGACGTGCCCCTTCTCCAAACACCGGAAGCACCGCAACGCCCGAGGCTGCAGGAGTTTGACCCTCGCTGCAACCCAGCCAACCAACAATCTGCCGCTATCGGCAAGCTTCTTCGCCGAGGCTATAGGGCACCGAACCCAGACTACGCCGAGTCCGGAGGCGTCGGGCGCGTATATCACCAGCTCGCACCATGTCCGGTGGGCATTCGCCGCTTCGGGCAGCGGCCGCCACCACCTCCTCAGAGGTTACGGAGTCGTCCAGGCCAGCAATCCGCACCTCTGCGGTTTTCATAGGTCTGGAGACCCGAACGTCCTCCGAGTTAAGGACCTCCCTCATCTTGGCGGCCAGAGCGTCTGCCTTTTCAGCACTGCCGGTAGTAGCACCAGCCACCTCGAACAGTCGTGCACCCGTGGCAGCCTGCCTGAGGGTGACGGACTGGAGACCAAGATCTGTTAATTTGATCTTGGCCTTGGCCTCGGCAATGACCGACTGGTACGTTACGCCACGCTCTATAGCCCCAGGCTGTAGCGTGAGAGTGACAGCCTCGGAACGCGGGGCACGTAAAGTCGGTCCTTTGCGACCGCCTTTGGCGGTCCGCCGCGCAGGCTGCGTGATCGCCTTTGGGCTTCCACCGGGAGGGCATGCAGCTGCTGCAGCCTTCTTGGCAGCTTTGCGGGCCTTCTTGCGCCCTACGACTTTTGCCCAAGTCTCACTCTTGGACCCGGCAGAAGTGGGCTGGTCGCTTAGAGGAGCTCCCTCCGTGGACTTCCCCTTTTGAGGCCCAATTGTCGGCCGCTCCTCATTCCTCCGCGTGTCAGCCGCTAGAGGCGGACGGAGGGTATCAATATAAAAGCTGCTTTAACCGCTTGAATGCCTGTATATGGGACACAATCGACAATACGTTGTGTCTCGCGTGGATCCACATTTAGACACAAGACAGGTTAAAAGAAAATATAATCTAACGAATTTTTTATTCGATTTACCCACATGTTGAGTCTTTAGAAAAATCTATTATGTTATCGGATCGACAACGGCTGAAGTTAATAAATAAACCAATATAAAATCCTAGAATAACTATTGCTGTAAATTAACCCGTAGTGTGTCGGAACGCGGTTCCACGCGAGACACAATGTATGAATTTTCTATTGTCTCATAAACCGGCATTCATGAGGTTAAAAGTACCCGTAACCATCGAGCATGCATAAAAAGACTGATGACTGTTGATCGAGTGAAAGAGGTCAAAACCAATTCACAGATTTTTGGATTAAAATCAGTTGCAACTTCAATCGGTACATTAACTAAATATTACAAATACAGTTGATATTTATACCAAACATTTCATAAGTTTCGTATTTTTTACTCCACAATTTCTTTTATGCGATCTGTGTGCGCAGTTATCAGTCGATATTTTTGTATCGTTGATATAAACAACACTCTGGTATCGTCTCATCAATCCTGCAGTTTCTAGATAAAGTATGGATGCAACCTCACCTTAGCAGCACAAGTAACTTTGTTTCCATCTTTATGTTTATCCTGACTCCCTCTAGCTCGCCTACAAGACATGGTGAATTGGTGACAGATGTCTAACTAACCATTATTCAATGAACTACCTACGTGATTGTAACTATGTATACCGTGGGTATACCCACATTTTCTCCACAATATGTTATTTATGTTTTAAATACCTGCAGTGAAATTATATCAACTTTGATAATATGTACGTAGATACATCAAATGTATAAGAATTTCCTATTTAGGTAGGTTAATAAACACACAATGTTTTTTTCATATTTTTGAGTACTTATTTAAAAAATGTGAATGAGCGTAATGAAAACTCGTAAATTATGGGAAGAAACTCTATGCTCAAACCACAAGCGTACAAACGGTAGCCGGTACCGTGATGAGGATCGTACAATACAAACAACATAATTAAGATGGTTGATACTTCCTCCCGATTCTATGGGATAGCCGGCAAACGAACAGATGTTCCTCTGATGAGTGTTCGCCCACAACACCAACGGATACAAGTGCGTTGCCGGCCTTTTAGGATTTGGGGATGGGGCGAAAGATCGAAGGCCTCCGGAGGTTACCTATTTATGTATGTTAAACTTTGTTAAGTCGCATGGTATAGATATAGGAATGTTTGTTAGTCTTTCACGCAAAAACTACTGAATGGATCTGAATTTTAACGCAGAGATAGATTATGGTCTTGATTGAATGATGAGAACGCGGGCGGGAGCTCGAGCAGAGCTAATACGTATCAAATATCAACCGATTCTGTAGTGATAGCACCTACCTGTGCTGGGTGCACTATACGCCGCGCCGCGCCGCGGTGTAGGTGGAACACTAAATGATCGCTCAGTTCGCGACCACTGCTTATAAGCGGACTTAAAAACCCAAATAGATTCGGCAAGTTTATTTTTAAAATATATAACTACGTGAGAGATGAGTCAAGCGCGCGAGGTTTATTACCTGTTCGCAGTGTCCTCCAGAGGTCAATGCATCCTAGACGATGGCGTCAATAGACACACATTACAATTTTTTGTACAAGTGACCTACTTACATAATAGTAGGTAAGTACCTACCTACTGTGTACACAGGTAGTTGACGCGTACACCGCGAACAGCAAACGTTAATCATTTTGATTCAAGGTTTTCGTAAAAACAAAAAAATAGCCTTCACGCTGAGTACAATGTACTAGAAAAATATTCAGGAAATAAATAACTGAGAACAAATTAGGATTAGGTACTCAGATACCGATTGTCTACTTTTAGGGCAAAGATGTATGATCATCAAATGACTCCTCAGGTCCCGGGTGACGTGAGCCACAACCCGCCGGCAGAATATACTAGCTGCTAGCATAACTGGCTGGCTAGTGACAAACTTAGGTAATTGCTACCATAGATAGTACAAATTGATGTGCAAGATACAAACCAGGGGCGTAAATACAGAGTGGAAAGTCAGCCAAATGCCACGGGCCCCCAGCTGACGGGGACCCGTTCAGAGGTTCTTAAACTTCTGTGTTTTATACTAGGAATGATGGGCCCCCGCCATCTGATGAATGACAGAACCAATGCAACATAGGTCCCCAACGGGATATAAATGCATATAGTTACGCCACTGATACAAACTATTCAAGTGCTGAAACGACTGAGACACTGGGTCACTTATGATACAAAATTGTTCGTAAATAAGTATACGTAACATAAGTTTTGAAACAATATGACACTAAAACGGAAATCGAACCCTCGCCCACTGACTTCGACGCAAATGCTTATTTTTAGCAATCGACTACATGGAGTTTTTAAAATGAATATTTTAATGTCCACTTACTGTACAAGTAACGTATCCAATTAACCTCTTGCTTGTATGTCGGTGTTTAAGACACAATAGGAAACGCATTGAGTCTCGCGTAGATCTACGCTCCGATATACCAGAAGTTAATGTGTTAGTGATAGGAAATTGCTACATGGCACGGGTTCGATTTCCTACCTGACCCTTCTTCCTGAGTTTTAGAAGAAACATATTTAATAGGCAATTCTATGGCAATCCTAAGAAACTCTAGTGTGAGTGAGGTTACCGGTAGCCGCGTCTTCCTCCCTCCCTATCCTCAATCGGTGTTGCTTACCATCAAGTAGTCAGTCTGCTCGTTTGCTGACTTTTCCATTAAAAAAGACACTATTGGGCAACAGATCTTAATTTTCACTAGCGCCGCGTAGCGCCCCGTGGCGGATTTACTAATATCAATATTATCATTAGACAATCAATACTTTACAGCCAATTTTATCATACATGATCTTACACTACACGAATGCCATCTCACGAAAACGATAGTCTTATTGCAGACTCCATGCTACTTGTAAACACAGATGTTTACTGACCTCAGTTTCTGAACTGAGGATCGAACTAGACCAATAAAGTATGTATATTATGAGCAGAGCACTTATTAAACAAATGATAATATTGTACTATAGTTATTACAAGCTAAAGAAATTCTGATAAGAAATAAATTAGAGTTTGAACTCACCAGTAAGGTGGTCGCCTGTCGCCTGTCGCCAGCGGTATAGCAATACGTGCGGGTGCTGAGTGAGCAACTCGCGGCGCGCTGCAGCTATATGTATGGAGGCCGCTAGAGGTACATGTATATGTATGGACGCGTATCAGTGGCACATAATCAGGCCATCAGATTATCTCAGTTTTACATAACACCTTTATGTCAGCACACACTCCAAACTGACCGATAGTACTCACTACTGTGAGATCAAGGACTTACTCCACTTGTAACATTGTCTTGTTTTTTCCTGAATACTCTTAGTCATAAATCGATGCAGATAACAAGTCGACATTTTCATATTATAATAATAATAATAACATAACATAACATCACGCCTTTATCCTCGAAGGGGTAGGCAGAGGTGCACATTACTTATACCACTGTACAATGTAACACCCACTTTTCACTATTATGTTATGAGTCCCATGTAATAGGGGGTGAGCCTATTGCCATATACCGGGCACAGTTCCAGACTCCGTGCTACTACTGAGAATTTTTTAAAAACCCAGTAATACTTTGCCCGACCCGGGAATCGAACCCGAGACCCCTTACCCGGCAGTCGCAATTGCGACCACTCGGCCAACGAGGCAGTCAATAAATAATAATAATAATAAGCCCCCAAAAATCCTACCTTACGTCCTGGTTGAACATCTAACCACGTGGGAGGCGGCCACGTATACAATTGAAACTTAAACGGCCAACAAGGTAAAGGTAACCCATCGATATGGAGACTAGAAATAGAATATTACGTTTTTGTTTTTTTTAAGAGGGGAAAATTATCGAATGACTTCTCCCGCCCGGGTGAGGCGGGAGGGAGTGTTACTCTTACTGACTAAAACCACTCCGTTCCTACTCCTGCACTTCGAGCTGGCGCCCCGGTAACCCGGTAAGTTGTGTGGGAGAGTCATGCTTCGGCACGAATGGGTCGGCTCGACCGGAGTGACATCACGGCCTCACAGAAAACCGACGTGAAGCAACGCTTGCGTTGTGTTTCGTCGTGTGAGTTAGGTTACCGGAGGCCCAATTACCCTCCCCTTCCCCAATCTCCCCAATCCCTGAATCCCCAACGATCTTCAAACTCCGCCGGCTCCGGCCGGTAACGCCTCTGGTGTTCCAGGTGTCCATGGGCGACGCCGATTGCTTTCTATCAGGTGATCCGTCTGCTCGTTTACCGGCTTATGCCATAAAAAAAAAGTTCTCCGCGGCTCCGTATCGGCATCAGCCCTGTTGGGGCTAGAAGATTACGTTCCAGCGGACCTCGCTGCCCGAGGATCGTCGGGGCACTGTAACTGGTGTCAGGCGCGACAGCATGCTAGCGACTCCCGGCTGGACGGCTGGACGGGAGTCGGGGACACGGGGGGTAGGGGAATGTCTTCAAGGACCATAGCCGAGCTTTCAGATAGCAATAGTAGTAGAGCAACCACTCCAGCTGAGGATGTTTCGCAGGAGGCACTTGCCACTCAACCTGCGACCACAATAGCTGGTAAACCCAGAGTGCGCATGAAATGGATCGAAGAAATAAACCTATTTATCATGCGCACGTATTATTATGTAACCAGACTAGAAACAGATACAACTATGTATTGCAAAAAAGAATTTTTGAAATCGATACAGGCGTCTTCGAGTAATCGAGTAACTAAAAAACATACAGTCGAATTGAGAACCTCCTCCTTTTTTTTGAAGTCGGTTGAAAAACTTCATGATCGAAAATACCCAGAATTTAATGTTTCTGCACAAAGAATTACACACACACACAACCATGCAGAACGCCGCAATTCTGATCACCTGTCGTATTGTCAGGAAGTTTTTGCAAGAAGAGACCACCGAACAAGTACCTCATGAACTTCACTTGGTTTAGGCCCGTAAACTCGCAGTCGGCCCCAGCAACACCATATCATCCGCGTAACTAATGTTGTTCACACAGACACGTCACTGTACCGGCAGCCGACACGCATGTCGCTGAGCTCGACTATGAGGTCATTTACATACAGGTTGAAGAGCTTAGGCGAAGACAACTCCCCCTGTCTCACTCCACACTCCAACCTGTACGGTTCCGAGAGGCAGTTTGACCAACTAACACAATTGGTCTGATCTGCGTACCAATATTGAAATATACTTAACACTTCTGCCGGTACATCACCTTCCTCCATCCTTCTCCACAGCACCTCATATGATACAAGATCAAAGGCTTTGGAGAGATCAAAAAACAGGCGTATACCGGAGTTTTCCGTACAGTATAGTATTGGACAGTGTGCTCAAGAGCCATAATATTGTTCAAAAGGAAACAGACAGATTTGTATTGAAAAGAGTATTTAATTGTATAGATTGGATAAAACATAATGATTACCATATTATTATTATTACAATGTTGTATAATTGGTACACTCGTACACCGCGGCCGCGTGTCATATATCGGGACGTAAAATACCGGGTCACTACAAGTACCATGCATTTGACTCGCTGAGCCGCACCGTCGCGCCGTCAGCGCCGTCAGCACCGTCAGCGCCGTCAGCGCCGCCCTATGAGCCGTCGCTACTGCCATCGCCGCTCCTACCAACAAAACAATTACAGTGCATCGCGAGAATGCCGGGACCCAGACCTTCTTACCTAAGTCCTAACATTAATACCTCAACAATAATCTGATAAGACTCGATCAAATGCTTACTAGCAAATTTAAGGGCCCGTAAATACAAACCCAACCCCTATTAAAATAAGGATCCATTAAAAACCAAAGACTAATAAAGTTATTTTAAAAAGTAATATAATTATTTGCCCCGCAGCCCGCCCCTGTACTAGATTAATATTTAGAGACTGTTTCTCCACTCCAGCAGCACAGTAATCAAGTACCCGATATATATATATATATATATATATATATATATATATCTGTACATCTGGTAGACTGTGGCCATTCATTGTGAAATAGGTCCTTTTCCATATCGTCTTATTTGGAGCAGAATGTCAGTTTTTACCCAAATATAACAGTTTCATTAAAATAAAAAGTAAAACTTAACAAATGTATTTACTAACTGTAAGTATTACTTAATGTACACGACACGTGATCGCTTGCTCGCACGCGTGTCCTAGGAACTACTGAGCGACACAGAGGTCCTCGTAGTCGTCGTTAAAGCCCTGGGCGGGCTTGTTCGTGGCAAGACTAACAGTATTTTCAGTAGTCTTCGTCCAACTCTGGTTAATTCTGTTCGAACAAGACGATCATTATAGTTCAGCTGGCAGCGCTAGCACTCACGAGTAGCTCGCCTGGTACTCACAGCTTGCGGCAGACTGCGAAGTGTCCCAGCAGGATGCCGCCCTGCTCCATCGCAGTGCGCAGGTTCACCGACGTCACGCGCGCGCCCGGCACCTCCACCTCGTAGTACCTGCGGGGCAGTCCGCCAGTCAGCCAGCCGAGCCAGCCGGCCAGTCAGCCAGCCGAGCCAGCCGGCCAGTCAGCCAGCCGAGCCAGCCGGCCAGTCAGCCAGCCGAGCCAGCCGGCCAGTCAGCCAGCCGGCCAGTCAGCCGGCCAGTCAGCCAGCCGGTCAGTCAGCCGGCAGTACGTACCGGACCGTCCAGCCGAACAGGTTGTCGATGGGCACGTAGAAGCCGGGCTGCGACAGTAGCAGGTAGGTGCGCAGCGCGCGCAGGACGGGCTCGGCCGCCGTGCGCAGCGGGTACACGTGGTGCGTGCCCGCCGCGCCCGCGCCCAGCGCGCCGCCCGCCGCCACCTCGCGCCCCGTCAGCACCACCACCAGGTCCTGCCCCGCCGCGTTCTTCATGTACAGCTTCACGTTGAGGCTCTGGTCGGGGAAGGCGGGCAGGCGCTTGGTGACGACGCAGAAGATGAGCGCGGTCTCGCACGGCCAGTCGCAGTGCAGCAGGCGCGTGACGCGGTGCTCGGCGCACAGCTCGTCGGACGGGTTGACGCGCAGACACGAGCCGCCCGAGAAGGCGTCGCGCAGGTACAGCTCGAGGCAGGCGTGCTCGCCGCGCACGCGCGCCAGGCCGTAGCGCATCTTGTCCGCCACGCCCAGCTTGAGGTTGACGGACGCCTCGTCGGCCTCCGCGCCGGGCTGCGCGTCCGCGGCCCGGCCGGCGGCCGCGCTCTCGCCGTCGTCACTGGATATCCTCAACGCTTTCGGTCTGAACATATTCCTCAGAGACGTCTTTGCCTTGTACTGCTTGGTGTCGGCGTCGGGAGGCGCGGCGTCCTCGGCGTCGGCGGCGGCCTCTTCGTGGAGCGTGTCCTTGGTGGCGTGCAGCGAGTGTCGGTTCTGCTGGAAGGTGTTGCGGATGCGGATGATGCCCTTCTTGTCCTTGTACTGCACGGCGCGGTGGACGGTGGCCAGGTTCTCGAGCGGCGTCAGGATGTAGCCGTGCGGGCCGTGCGCGGAGTTGGGCTGGTACTGCTGGTGGCGCAGGTTGTACCACGGCGAGGGATTCAACACCTAACACATATTACTACATGAGATACCTGTATGCCAGCAGTGATTGCTGAAATATGGGTTGCCTCTGCGAAACAGAGATTTGTCATAATCTCCACGACTGGATTTGAGTCTGCAATATAAAAGGATTAAGTTTAGCAGAGAACGTTGCAGCCCAATCTCTGTTAAGTTATGTAGTCCCTTAGTGGACTCATATGATGACTCCCGCGGGAAGAGTAGCGGTGGAGTCTAGTGTATTCTACTCTGCGGGCACGCACACAGCTAGCCAGCTGGTACAGTGAAACCTGGTTAAGTGAGACATCAAGGGACCTGCAATGTCGTTTCACTTATAGAGGTATTCCACTTACCCAGTGTCTCAGATATACAGGTATAAATAAATATCTGTCTCATTTACAGAGGGTTCCATTAATAGAGGTGGACTTGGAATTACGTGTGGAATTTGTGGGTAGAATAAGAATGAGTACACAAACAATGTTATCTCAGTTACAGAGGTTTATGCATATAAAATTTACTCGCTGTCTCAGTTATAGAGGTAACTATGATGGTAAATCGAAAGAACAAATCCCAGATATAGAGGTTTACCTCGTCCCACTAACAGAGGTTATTCAGTGCCAAAGTGTTGGGACCTCAGCATGAGTTCCAGTTATGGAGGTTTCTCACTTATCCAGGTCCCACTTAACCAAGTTTCACTGTATATACATGTACAAAGTGAAATAATAATATATTATATACCAATGAATTCTTAAACGTGCGCTTTTGAAAAGGAATCTACCTATACTATAATCCTTTCTGAAATTATCTAAATACAAGGTGTTTGGAGCATGGACCGAGACATTTTTTTCATGGATTTGGGAGGTCATTAGCTACCTTTTACCCATAATGTCCTCGTCCAAAGTGTCATGATTTTTTTATTGATATGCAATAGTTAGGTACCTAAAATGTGTCTAAAAATGTAACTACATCTTTTTTTCATACAAATGATTTTCATACACGCGTCTAAACTTTTTCAACGTCTAAATTATTAATAAAAACACTAGAAGCTATTTTGATCTTCCCTCCTCTTCCCTCTCCTTTTGATTTTAAAAGTTCCCTAGTTAATGCCCTTTCTAACAGTACGCTACCGGTCACAGAAACTGTTAAACGTAAAATTAATACGGGTGACTACTTTGCCGTACCCGTAATATTACTTAATGAATCGGTAACCTATCACTACATAGGACTGAATAGTTACATTTTGCTTTTTAGTTTTTAGGTACCATTTGTTAGTTTTTAGTTTGTAGGGAACAGAGTGTATAGTACATCGGAAAATTGCCACTTGGAAAACGTGGAGTTCCTTAACTTCCCTTAGACTTGATACGACTTTGTTACATTACATTACTTATTAGAGATAAACTAGCAGCTCCATCGAGACTTGGCTAGTTTTATACAGAATGTTTTAGGTGTGATTTCACTTCTTTTTGTAGAAACGTGGGCATATTTATTTATTTTTAAATAAACTGTAATGTAAAAATTAAACCTAGAAAACTAAGAGTAAGGACTTTTATTAAAAAACTTCTTTTAAATCTACTAATTAAGTAATTTAGTAATCCGTCACTTATCATAAAATAAAATTTCTACGGCGACTGTAATGCAGCCGGTTGTCACTTCGCCATTTCGGAAAAACAAACGTAAGCGCGTTTTGCAATACAGTCAGCACCATCTAGTGATGTGTGCGGGTACTACCTTCACCCTTAGTTCAATGCATTATTATATTTTGACCAAATTTTTAGTGAAAACAATATTTTAGTGTAGGTAATTTGTTTATTTAATCTATTTTAATCAGGATCACCAGTTACTCTAGATTTTCGATTACCTTAGTTTTTATAGTTTTCCCTTTGTGGCCATAAAACCTTAACTCTGTACCTTACCTAAATTTCAGCTCTCTGGGGTTATGGGAAGTCCTAGGTACTAGTTCTATTTTGATGATCATGAGTGAGTGAGTGAGTGAGTGAGTGTCATAAATGCAAAACTTTGCTTTCGCTTAACTTCGGAACTAAATGACCTGTAGACTTGAAATTTTGGATTTTAAGTATGTGGTTATAGCTTACCTACTGGAGTTTTAACGGTGCAAAATTATTAATGCGTACAATGAAACGGGTCCGCAGCCTAGGTATGTGTATTATATATCAAACAACACCTCTAGCAGAAGTCGCGTCGCGTGTCGAGTAGTCAACATACCTCGCCGTACAAGAAGCGCTTCTTCCCCAGTCCCCTGCAGAAGGAGGTCTGGAAGGGGAGCTGGTTGGGCACGCGCGTGTTGAGGAACGGCCACAGACTGCCCCACAGTGCTCGCTCGCGCAGCTCCACCTTGGCGTACTGCTCCATGTCCTCGCCCATGGCCACGTGGCTGGGGCTGGGGCTGGCCGCGGTCTGCTCGGCGCCCACCTGTTCGGCGCCCGCCGGCTGACCACCCTCCTGTTGGGCGCCCGCCTGTTGGGCGCCCGCCTGCTGAGCGCCCGCCTGCTGGGCGCCCGCCGACGGGGCGCTAGCCTGGTCGGCGGCCGCGTGCTCGGCGCCCAGTGCCTCGTGCGTCCAGGCCGGCGCGAACACCGCCAGCGAGCAGCCCGCCGCGTGCACTACCTTCACGGCCTGCCATCGTTTCGGTTAAATGAAGTCAACGGATAACAAACCTTCCTGAAGCGCTACCGGCGCTGCCGGCGCTACGGTACCTACCCTCAACAGCACAAATAAAACTTGAGCACTGCTTGCAAACAGTGAACAACGACTACAGTAATATAGGTAGATATGATTAGAAACCTGGATGCTTACTCTTGAAACCAATCTCAATGTCAATGCAATTTCAATCCAATAAAATATCAATAATTATTCAATGTCAAAACTATACAACCCCTTTCTTAGCTGTTAAGATAGCATTCAGAGTACAGAATATAAAGCCAAACTCAATATCATTTAGAGCATTAAATATCCACGCGATACGGATGCAATGGTCGCTAGTGTTGCAACTCAAGAGTACGAAATTTCACAATGCCAAAATCGATCGATCGGAATTGGATTCAAGAGTAAGCCCCCTGTAGCTGCCTGAATCCTGAAAACACGAAGTGTCAATGAAGTACATGCGGTAGGTACCTCCTGCGTGTTGAACTGTCCACCGCCGTAGAAGTTCCGGCCCCAGACGTCGATGCCGATGTAGAGGTCGGTGATGCGGCTGCCCGCCAGTGCCGCGCTCGACTCCACGTCCTCCTTCGTCCACGAGTAGTTTGTGAACAGTCCGTCGCACGCCTCGAAGAATGCCCTACACAGTCAACTGCGCTATTGTATGTCCTACATAAGTGTACCGCGAACGGATCTTTGTCTCTGTACATTGGACACTATTTGTACCTACTGTACAATCAAAGTTCTACTAAATTAAGAAATAACTCCATGATTAAGGTTGAATAGGCACATTCATGTGATTAACGATGCCTAAATAATTATTTTATAAACTACGTTTACAAAAACCGTCTTCAGCCGCTTCTTCTTTTGAAGTCTGTTAAAGAAAAAACCTCCAGTTTCAAGTTAAGGTCAAACAAATCAAATCTGTATGAAGTCGACTGTCCGACTCCGACTACTTGCTACTTGCAACTCGGAAACAAACTTAAATAAAACAAGTTATGTTATTTATTGGGAATTCATTATCCATACCGTGAAACGTCGGAATCGGTGGGAGAGTGACCAGTAGATGGACGAGCTCTACGGAGCTGGGCCGATGGAGGAGCCGAGGAGCCTAGTTCCTGGCCCATTTCCCACGAAAGGGTAAGCCGATGTTTAGTGGTCTCAGTTAAGTCTCCTTTATCGTATAGCAACATTTTAGACTAGACAAGTTACCTAAGTTGGTATACATGTATACTAGTGTTGTTGTGTACTTCTATGTGTGTACTCGTATTGATCGTAATGCTATAGAATAGAAGTAGGTACCTATACTCTCCAACACAAAAATAATTATTCAATTTGGTTCAGTAGTTCCGGAACTTAGCGCGTTCAAACAAACTCTTCAGCTACATATCATAGGTATAAAAATTATATACCTATGATAATATGTATAGAAGTAGTGTGGTCACCGTACAGACTGACGTGTAATAAATACAAGGGAACACACACACACACACACACGTGTATACGTGTATACCCATGTTCTACCTTCCGATTTCACTTTCTTTACCTAAGTATTTGTATAGAGTTGTATGAAATCAGGCTTATGTTCTACTAGCCGCATCTCAGATAAGATATCAGTATTGCCAAGTGTAGCCATCCATCGGTTCATCGCAGGTGATTGTTTGGGTAGCACGAGTTGTAGCGCGTGTCCACAGCTGGGTGTGGCGACAATATCTCGGCCTTATCGGTCAACCGACTACTGGACTGCGACAACAATGAAAATAACTAGCTACGTTTTCAATGTTGATGCTTCATATTGATATACGTGTCTTTTTACTTAAATACAATACTCACATATTCTTTTCATTAAGTTTGTTCTGCCAGTTGAGAGTCCCCGAAATGGTGACGCTGTCGTACCACAAGAGCGTGGCGTGCGGCAGCTCGGCGTGCAGCATGCGGTGGAAGTACTTCACAAACTGCAGCAACATGTCCGGGTGTGTGACCTGCCATACATCGTCTCACTCAGCCAACAGCTCACTTACATTACGAATTCACGTTTTAACCAGTGGCCTAAAACTAAATCTCGCCTGTCCAATGACATCGGTTACTGCCGCCATTTCTTGCAAAATTAAATTAAACGCTCTAGTAACTTCTCTGGCTTTGTTGGTGTCGGGGTGTTCATAGATGGCGCCGATTGCTTAGCATCAGGTGATTCATCTGCTAGTTTGCCACTCCAAATCCAAAATAAAAAAAAATAAAAAAAAATACCTTGTTCTCAACATTTAGAAGGTACCCATCAAACTTTAGGGTTTTGGCAATTGCAACGAGCGCGCTGGCCACATCCTGGTACTTTGTCTCTGAAGATAACACTTGGTCCCAAAATCCGATACCATCTCCCCACTCCGTGATGATGGTGCCTGGCGAGGGACATAAACTTTAGTATTGGTAACAATACCAACCGCCATCCAGTATATACCTACCGAACGCGTCGTGTATACTGCTCCATCCTTATTGGGAATAATAGATAGTCAAATGGAACATACTAAATAATTAATACATTTGGCACAAAGGTTTCAAAGAAAATTAATAGAGGACAAGAATGTGTAACAAAACCACAGAGCAGACAATAATAATAAAACGAAATAATAATAACAAATTTGATTTTTTACAAATAAAATTACATGCAGAAGATATACAATGTCTACCTATGCATTTCCTGGGGATTCATAACATTAACTGTTTCATTTCAATGTGGTGATAGTAAACAGACAGACTGTTACTGTAAGCAACGAGGTAACACACACTACAGCCCAGGGTCCCACCACAACCTGATGTTGGCCGATGTCCATTTGATAGTACTTAACATGTCGTCACTTTATTACAATTTGAGATTACAACATCTAATTAAAAGCCAAAATACATGAATTAATCCATATTGTATGAAAACATTAAAATAGTTAACTACATCATGATAGTTTCAAGATATTATAATTAAGGTGTCACAAAATTCGAGAACAAGACAAGTACTAAAATTGCATTAGCACATTTGCTACTTCAAAATCTTTCAATCAGGTTTGTATTTGCATTGCGCAAATATGACAAGCTCAAATGACTTTTTTTTAAGAGGGGAAAATCATCGAATGACTGCTCCCGCCAGTCCTAGACTCTTACTGACCAAAAACCACCCCGTTCCTACTCCTGCGCTTCGACTCGGAGCCCGGTAACCCGTTAGGTTCTCCGCGACTCCGAATCGGCATCAGCCCTATTGGGTCCATCCATGGTGGTCTGATGGCTTTTTGAGGCGCGCGCTAAACGCGACGCGACTTACGCTCGGGGTGATATGGGGGGTAGGGGAGGCTAGATGATTATTACGTCATCGGTAGTTATTTACTTTATTACACGAATGGCAACCCTCATATTAAAAATATAAATTACAAGCAAAGACCGACAAAGAACTAGACATTATGGTATCTAAGAGAATATTAAAATTGCAATATAAAAAAGATATAATTTAAAATGTTTACGTAAGCAAAGGGGACGGGGGTAAGGTCTTTGCTTACTTTTGCTGACAAGGGGGATGGGGGAGTGATAATTGTAAAAAATCTGCTTACGTAATATTTGAACGGCCCCTAAGTATCAAATTTACATTATATATTTTTTATTATATTAGAATATTTGTATAGTATGTATAGTATTTTATGCAGTGATGAAATATTGTACACTTGATGACCATATATCAAACTCCTACTACTGGTCCATCCAAAGGTTGTCTTCTTCGTCAAATCGCCTCGCGCCTTAAGACCGCCGATTGTACACTATATTTGTTGATGTTGTCCTCTAATTTATTTGTGTGGTGTACAATAAAGTGTATATAAAATTCAAAGAAAGTCAAAATCAAAATCATTTATTTCAATTAGACCAGGCAGGCACTTTTGAATGTCAACAACAAAAATTTTGAAGTGAAGCTAGTTGCTCATTCCAAGGTGTAGATTCCTATGGAAAAGTAAGAGCAAGAAACTCCATAGGTTACTCTTTTTCAATTGGGTTTACAATACAATTCTCTAGTTACATAGTTTTGTTCGTTCAATTGGGTGAGAATAACGCAACACCTAAATCCAGTCAGAGATTGAAAATGAAAATAACCTTGAGGACAATAAAATCATACAGTCTGGAGCTGACCAGTCCCAATTGACGGCACCTGTTCATGAACATGATACGGACCCCAGCCTCACCAAAATAGATATATACTTTTTCAAAATTAAAGGAGTTATAAGGACTGTTTGCATTAAGCAAACGCTTTATGTTGTAAATTCCCCAGACAGTCCTTGTAACTCTGTTTATTTAAACATACCAATAACTTTGACACCATGCGCGTGGCCGACGTTGATCCAGCCCACCGGAGGTATTGTAATCAGGTGGTGGCTGAAGTAGCAGAATATATCAATGCCCGCCCAGTTGTAGAATGTGTATGCATCAAATTTACTTGTGCCCTCTATTACACTGAAATATTTCAATAATTATTGTTATTATTTCTTTTTGTTTGTATGACCGGATATTATTATTTACATTTCCAGGAACTAAAGTTTCAATTTACTTACTTTATTCCACTCAAATCTTAATGTTTCACATTATGAAACTTGATAGAAAAAATAAAAGTTGCATGTGGAGCTGTAGAGCAAAATTTAAAGTTGCATTCCTTGGTACAGATGTCACTACAGCTCTATCATTTACTCAACTATTTTATTATGTTCTTCTTAAACTAAAATGTGTTCAAGTAAAAAATATGTCATTAAGCTAAGCGAGACTTTGTTTGTTTGAATGTGCTAATCTCCCAAACTACAGGTTTGAATCATAATTAAATTATTTTTGTTACAAAATCCATTCATTATGGAAGACTATTTACACTATAACTACTAGGAGCCGAGCAGAGAGAATTAGCAAGGAAGTAGCTCTAGCTACCAGTTATATTGAGTAACTAGTGTTCAATTACCTGTCATCGTGGTATCCATTGGCCATATCATGGCAAACTAAAGTTTTTGGCAAACTTTTAGACTCGTATCTTTTCACATCTTCTAAGTCTGGGTCAAAATGACAAAAATTTTCCGGTCTCATAAGGGACCAAGAATCTTTATTATTTATTTCTATATTCCGTATTAAATAGTCACTGTGTGGCGTCATTTCTTGACATAAGGTCCGCCAAGGCGGCGGGTTTTCCAAAAACAGCAATATTTCACTGTAGCTGTCTAGGGGTTTGCACACAAATTGTGACTCAATCTTCTTCGTTGATTTCATGTTTCATCCAGCTTTAAGCCAAATATTAATTAGTTTGTTCACTCAGAAAAACACTAGAAATACTGCACTTCCAGGCACTCAGTCAATTAATGAAATAAATATTACTATAACCACATTTTTGTTATCAAACAGTTTGTGTTTGTTTACGTTCAGTGACGAGCGTCTAGCGTCCAACCTTCCAACCGTTAACATTACAAATGAATGTCAGTCATTGTCAGTTTGACTTGGAGCTGCACTTCTGCAGTGACCTGACACTGACAGAAGTTGTAGAAACAATAGATAAGTTACACGCAAAGAGTAATGATAGAGGTAGATAAAATTATTTAATACGTATGTACCTACGTACTAAATAATTTTTAAAATATATTTTTAACAGTTCTTAATTACCTAGTTTCGGAAATAAATAAATTTCATAGGATTCTCATACATTTCCGATAACATATAAGTACATAAAAATTATAGTAAATGCATATATTTATTCAGTATTTATAAATATTGACTATGTATCCCAAAAACACGCATAAGTAAGTATAATAATGATGTCCTTTATTTCCAATGTTGACATTAGTCCGATGATTGCGCATTTGTGTTTTTGGCTTCACAAATAGATAATGTTGAGTCTGCTTATGTATTTTAAGTCTGTGAATGCAGGAGCAGCAGTTATTGAATGATTTTCCCCTTGCCCCCCTCAAAAAAGGGTAGTAAATCAACAGACGAACGCGAAATCTTCTCATAATTTTCAAAGTGTGGGAGAACCATGTTTCGACATGGGCCGCTCGACCTGAGTGTTACCACGGCCTCACAGAAAATCGACGTGTGACGTGACGACCCAATTATCGCCTCCCCAATCAAGTTCCTAATCCCTAAAAGGCTAGTAACGCACTTGAAACGCATCGGTTTTCAGATGTCCATAGGCGGCGCCGATTACTCACTATAAGGTGATTCATCAGCTCGTTTACCGGCTTATACCATAAAAAATAATCGAAAATACCGTAGTGCCAGAAGACTAGTATGTACATACAACCAGCGTGTTGCTAGTGATGACATACGTTACTAAATCATGCCCCTAGCTTCTGATCTACTAGATGTGTACTGTTAGGATGGCGCTCCGGGAGTCCCTTTTGGAAATGACACCACAAGTTTTGCTAATAATTTCTTTATTTTACACTTCACAACTTTCGACTTACAATAATTACTGTGTGATATAAAACGGTGTTAATAGTTGAATAACTTTATCTGAAGTGTCACTATACACAACTAAGACGTATATTTTATTCTTTATGGCCAATGGTGAGGGGTTATCCCTTACAGCCAGTTTCAATAATCTATCTATCTGCAGATTTGCTTACTAGAGATAGAATTTTGACAGGAGCTCCATACAAAAAGTATCAAAATTCTATCTCTAGTAAGCAAATCTACAGATAGATAGGTTATTGAAATTGGACGTTAGTCGATAAATTATACTGGCGCGTATAAGTGCCACAGAATGTATCGATTGCTTTAATTGCAATTTACATGTAAAGGGCTTTGTTCATAATAATGTAAGGAGTGCTTAGATCTTTGTTAGTAACAATATATCGATTGTTTAAGTGGTAATTTAAAAATATAGGTCTTTGTTACCAACAATGTAAAGATTGTTTAGATTGCAATTTACAAGTATAGTAATTCATTGTTAACAACAATGTAAGGATTGATTAGATTGTAATTTATAAGTATGGTTATTTGTTAACAACAATGTAAGGATTGATTTGATTATAATTTAAATTAGGCCTTGTTCATAACAGTACGTCTTACTGTACATCAATGATCTACCAAAAATTCTAAACAAAGACCTAACCCTACCAGTATTATTTGCAGATGATGATATATCCATTCTGATAAAATATGACAAATCAGAATTCCCTACACCTATTTTACAAGACACCTTAGAATCAGTAACACGATGGCTTGACGATCACAACTTAGAGATAAACTACACTAAAACTAAAACAGTACAATTCAGATCTTATAAAACTCCCCCCCTAACAATAGACACTTCCTTTAGAAACACAACTTTACAAACTGTAGACACATTTAACCTACTCGGCATAAACATAGACACCCATATAAACTGGAAAGCTCACATAGAACACATAAAATCAAAATTATCAAAATTTACATACGCTCTTTTCCAAATTAAATGCAGTACCAATATCGAGACGGCACTATCAGCTTACTTCGCATATGCGTACTCCTGGTTGAGATACGGCATTATGCTATGGGGAGATAGTGTAAATATTCATGACCTATTCATATTACAAAAAAAATGCATACGAATCATAGCCCAAATAGATAACCAAGACAGCTGCAGGCCCTATTTTATTGAATACAATCTCTTAACACTACCATCCATATATATCTTTGACATATGCAAGTTTGTATTCAAAAATAAAGATAATTTCACGAAAGTAAAAGACACCCATAATGTAAATACCCGACATAAAAACAGACTGTACCTACCACCATCTAGAATTAAAATGCTTAACCAAAGTCCTTACTACATGGCTATCAAAATATTCAATAGATTACCTAAAGACCTACAAAACGAAACTAAAGAAATTATATTTGAAAGAAAATTAAAAAAGTTCCTAATACAAAAATGCTTTTACTCGACAAAAGAATTCTTCGAAGAAAAATATAACACCAAAATTAAATGTTAAACCTACCCCATACATACACCCACAAGCACACACCAACATACTATACATTTTAAGAATACCCACTTACATTTTGCACTTACCCAACTAATATATTATATACCTTAAGTACTTACCTATATTCCGAACAAATAAATATGTAAAAAAATGTTAACCAAAATGTAATTTATAATAAGCTGGTGACACCCCTAAAATTTGCAACGCCGGAAAAAGGCCGTTAAGCTGTGCCTGTTATTTCATAAGACCTGTATGTATTACCTTAACATGCAAATAAAGAGTTTGAGTTTGAGTTTGAGTTTTTGAGTCTTAATTATCACTCAAAGAACTGATGGCCACTGGACCAAAGATGTACCTACAGGAGCGACGACCACGGACTTGAAAACAATGCGTGGGTAGGCCTCACGCTAGGTAGACCGGTGACATCGTCAGTGTTCATTCATCATTCATCTACAGCCTATAAATGCCCAATGCTGATCAAAACCTCTTCTCACACGGAGAAGGTTTGAGCATTAATCACCACGCTTGCTGTCTAGATAATCAAAAAGTAGATAATAAATAGTGGTGTCTAGATAATCTTAGGAAGTAAGCACATATAATTCGGAAAAAGTCACATTGGTACTTGCCGTTGGTAGGTTTTAATCCACCCTCATGCTTGAGAGGTATCTTAAACCTCCGGACCACCACGACATCGTCAGAGTTGCAGTAATCCAATGATTCCAATGTATGCTAGTGTTATTCAACAGTGGACATCTTCCGACTGATCCGTCCGTCTTTAGTTGACTCTTACTTAATACAACACCTACCGAACGAGTAAGTATCTCCTTAATTGTGGCGGAAATTCTGATTAAAATTGTTTATCTGTGTTTACATATCAGTTAGTTTTTTATATATTATATAGATCTACATTAGACATATAGATATCTAGGTAGGTAGGTATTTATTAATGTAACAAAAATCATCATTACATTATACCTAGTGTAACAATTTCTGTGTGACTATTATGCCCTAAATATGATAAGCAATCATGAATTTAGGACACGTTGAACTATGATAACGCTGAGTTGATTGTTCTAGTCACATAATTAAAATAAAATAGATGTTATACTAATATGAGACCTATTGTTTATTTCATGACACGAACAAGTAAATGAGTCCGACCTAGAAGGATGGATAAAGTGGATGTTTGTAATAAAATGGTACTTATGATATAATATTCTATGGCATGGCATACATCCATCCATAACGACTTCCAGATATTTTTGTACCGAATCTCACTAAAATAAGTTCAGTGGATTAAGAAATAGAGAGTCCCGTTCCGGTTAAATTATTTTGTTCGTTCGGTTTAAAATATTACACTTAGGTACATCCTCTATCATCCCTTATTTTATCCCCATGGGGGTTAAATTTATCAAAATCCTATTTAAGCGGATGTCTTCATCATAGTAGCTCCAATCTGTAATTTCAGTCCAATCAGTCGAAAATATAAATAATGTACGTGGTTTGTACAATAAGCGTAAGAACTACCTACCTCATATCAAATAATCGAAAAAATTAATTATTCTAAGAGGGACCAATTTTCTTGCATATGTTACTACTAACTGTCTCGTTGACCGAGTGGTCGCAAGTGCAACTGCCGGTCAAGGCGTCGCGGTCTCAATTCCCAGGTAAACTATTACTGTTTTTTTTTAATTCTCAGTAGTAGTATGAAATTTGAAATTTGCTCGGTATATGGCAATAGTTGGTTAAATAAAATACTTTAAGGGCAATAGGCCCACTCCCTATTACATGGAACTCGTAACATAAATTAACTCGTCGAGTACCGGTTTTATAGACACAATTATAGAACAATAGGTCGCGGTCACCGGTGACCGCTTGGTGTTTGACAGTTTTATTGTGAAAAGTGGGTGTTACATTGTACAGTGGCATTATGTGCCGTGATGTGCACCTCTGCCTACCCCTTCGAGGAAAAAAGGCATGATGTTATGGTTATGTGTTACTGTTACGGTAAATCTGATTCATTGGAAATTATTAATATTTTTACAAAATTATTAATAATAACCACATGTTTTGGTAAATGTGAATAAACGATCGAAATTTATTACTTTTAGTAGTAATTATTAATAATTCACGACACATATTGGTAAAAGTTATAAAATAAATAAAAACCCAATGTTTTTTGACCAGCAGGTATTTATTTATAATATTAAACACAGTCTTACAATTATATTAATTAGAGATCACACAAACAAGGTTACTTGTACTTGCAAACTAAGCAAACAACAAAGCAAGAACGTCTTTCGTGGTACATAAAATTGTAACAAAAATAAAATTAAACAATTATTGTTTCATTAACAAAATCAACAAGAATCCTAAAAGCAATCATTAAAAATCATATTTGGTTTGCCTGTAAATCTTCTTTTTTTTACACTTTATAGGTCGACGTTTGACCACCATCTCGCCTGATGGTAAGCGATGATGTGGCCGACGATGGAGCCTACCTATGAGCAATCTGTTCACTCGGGACTTGAAGACACCCAAGTCATATTTGACGGGAAACACAGCCTCTGGCAAGGAATTCCATTCCTTAGCGATTCGCATGAGGAAGCTTGACGCGAAACGCTTCGTTTGAATGGGTGGAATGTCCACCATATAAGAGTGGCGTCCCGCCGTTCGTCTGGTGGTACGGTGGTGAAATGGACTAGGGGGAATAAGTTTGTGCAATTCCCACGCACACTCACCGAAATGTATCCGATAGAAGACCGAAAGGCTTGCGATTTTGCGCCTGTGTTCGAGGCTTTGTAGCCGAGCCTCCACAAGCGAATATCATTGATGAGCTTCTTGGCACGCCTCTCGATGGATTCGAGGGCTTCTAACTGGTATTTCGCTGAGCCATCCCAAAGATGGGAGCAGTACTCCATACAAGACCGAACTTGTGTTTGGTAAAGAGTGAGTCTTCTGTAGCACCTATAAATGCGACAATTTAATTTTTAAAAGTATTATCATAGAATTCAACAAATATTTGTTGTGCATCCCGCACCTCTCGCACGTCGTACACACCGCCCCGCCCCGCAACCCTTGGCCACTTATTACATTTATCACTACTAGGGTTAAATTATTAATAAAAACCGACAAATGTGATTAATTTATCACTTTAACCTCAACTTTCGGTAATTATTAATAATAATAGATAATTATTAATAATCTTCAATTATTCACCCTTACCGTAACATTACCATTACTATTATACCCAATCTGACTGGCCTTTTGTCTTTGTCTTTTTTTTGTCAATGTGACAATGTATCTGACAGTGACAGTGTTTGAAGTCTGAATGTGTCAACGCCATGTCGATGTTATGTCATAATAACACACAAACATTGCCAAACGCCAATGTCAAAATGGCACATGAGACGTGATCCTGTATTATTTGCTAATAGTTATTTTTCCCTGACTAGTATATCTCCCCTATATCTGCGGTTATTACGATATTTACTAAATATTTTGGTAATAACCTATATTACCTTAAAATTATTTATTGATATTAAACTCCTTTTTCTCACTGAGGTCCAGAAGCTTAATCATAGTAGAATTTTAATGTATCAATTATTGTGTGTACTGTGCTGCAGACTAGAATATTACTTATAAATAAATCACGGGAACAGTGAATATCCTTAGCTGTAACCTGTAGGTAGCTGTATACTGTAAGTCTAAGATTTTATGCATACTTACCATTTATTGCCTGAATTTTGATTTTACATTAATTGTAAACCACTTATACCTATATAACAATCTGAAAGAAGATTTTCAAACGATACCGGTTGACAAAGAACCTACATCAAATTCTTTTTTATATAAAATTTAAATCTATCGCCTACAGTGTAGTACTAGCTTTTCCCGCGCGGTGTCATCCGTTGCTCGGCTTTTATTGGTAAAGAATTTTTCGAATTGGACCAGTAGTTCCCGAGATTGGCATGTTCAAACAATCTAAATTCTTCAGCTTTATTTAATAGTACTAGCTACTCCCGCTCTGCTCGGCTCCTTTTGATCATAGCGTGATGTTTCATAGCCTTCGTAAATAGACTAACCAACACAAAAAACAATTATCCAAATCGGACCCATAGTTTAAGGAGATCAGCGCATTCAAATAAACAAAATTTTTAGCTTTATATACATAATTATTTGTGAAAGATTAGTATAAGATAAGAAATAATATAAGATTATATGTATGATAATATAGTTTTTTTTCTGTACTTAATCATATAAAGCAGTTAGAGACTTATTTCATTATGTAATAACTTTTCTAGACTGCATCTTGGAGGCAGAGTATCTTTATATTGATACTGGTGTGAATTCATAACAGAGAAGATAGCACATTATACATTTTATAATGACTAAACGATCATGGAAAACAAGGTAAAAAGTATATGTACTTAATGTTATTTTTAACACGTTCGAGGACGCTACCACTTGAGTCGGGTTTTCAAAATGACACAGTACATGTCTATACAAAATTATACGACGTATCAGTACGTAGTGTCCCATGAAGAAATATCGTTTTAAACATATCATGACACAACCGTTTTATCACGTCAACGTGTATATGCATCTAGGTAAGGATCCGCCTCGTTGGAGATGTCGGAATCATCAAACATGCTTATCTTGTGTCTTATTTTGCGCTTATATCCATCTAAAACACACAATAACCCATTAAACATCAATTTCACACTGTAAAATCATTAATTTGCATTAAAGTAATGTACACAGTGACACAGCCGCGCTGAATGTAGGAGCGCGGGACGTATAAACACGTTGTGCGTATGTGAATACCGTAACCGCACACTATCAACGACACTTATTTTAAATAGTTCTAAACTTACCCTACGTGACAGTACAGAGTTGGGTATTTTATATGTTGTGACACAAGATACATTTAAAAGGATTTTTACTTGAACTTTCATCGGAAATGAACGTTCTGCCGTATAATTTAAATGTTATTTGAACGTCATCGTACGTTGTGCGATATTAAAATCTCGAACGATGACGTATAATCTCGTTTTGTCCTCGAACGTGTTAATTGTATACTAAGACAATGTGAGGGTTTCAGTTCATCATGAAAACATGATGGTTCACTACACAGTGCCCAATCAAGTGTCAGTCTACTCTCACACACAAGTGGCTGATTTAGGTTACTACATAATGTCATATTGTTTAATCCCTAACTCATATATAATGTAATACTTTTTACTGGATTAATTAATACACCTTGTATAAGGGGGGAGCTAGGGCCTTTTGTTCATATACCAGTCACAATCCCTAACTTTATGTTACTATGAACATTTTAAAACAAACCAAAAACACCCAATGGTCCTTTGCCCACCTTCAAAAATAGACCCTAAAATTCATATTCTCCAACAAAATGGTCACTTGGTTATTTGTACCTACTGAAATATATATAATTCTCTCATTTTATAATTTGCACTACTTTAACATGAAATATGTTTTCTTTCAGGATATTAAAACTGCGAGTAATTAATTGCATATTTTTTATATTAGCTGTGAAGGCAGTAATTAAGTTATTAACGACATGTGGCATCTACAACTACTCGCATCTCCCTGCGGAGGTAATAGAAACACAACTCTATAAGCAAATATCACCAACTTTCATTACACAGAAATCTAAACCAGATTGTAAATATGATGGAGTACTTAAGAGAGAGTTGTCTATATCAAATTGGGAGGTACCAAAAACATTTGATGACTTCTCAGCAACAGGCTTGGTAAACGGCAGTTTCATTCCGGATCACTGCACTCCAATGTTTAGTGTGGCTATAATAGTAGCTTACAGGAATAGACAGAGACAACTAGACATATTCCTACCTTACATGCATAACTTTCTGAGGAAACAAAATATACACTACAGGTTGGTTATTCATTTATAATTTGTAATGTTTTGTGGAATAAAACAACTTTGCCAATGTGGGGGCTTACTCTTGAATCTAATTAGGATTTTGGCATTACACTGGAAACTATTCTGACAGCTGCGACAGGAGTGGATTAATTGACATTGAATTCAGATTTTATTAGATGGTCTTGAAATTGACTTTGATATTAGTTCCAAGAGTAAGCCTGCTGAGGCTTGTGCTATCTAGCTCTGCGTCTGTTAACTATAAATACTTGCTCTTGAAATAACAATACAATAAATAAACCCCTTGCAGAATATATTTAGTGGAACAACAAGATGAGAAAATATTTAACAAGGGTATCCTGTACAATGTTGGAGCAAAAGTGGCAATCAGGGACAAGTTCCCTTGTCTGATCCTACACGACGTAGACTTGCTGCCGCTGGACGCGAACAACCTGTACGTGTGCGCGAACGAGCCGCGCCACATGAGCGCCAGTATCGACAAGTTCAGATTTGTGCTCCCCTACGACTACCTGGTGGGCGGCGTGCTGGCGCTCAAGTCGGAACAATACGTGCAAGTCAACGGGTTATCTAACAGGTTCGAAGGCTGGGGAGGCGAAGATGATGACTTTTCATGGAGACTCAGTTCACATAAAATTAATGTTATCAGGTAAAATAAGTTAATTTAGCATTATAGTTGCTATCCCCTCTTACTAAGTATGCATATTTCTTCGCATAACCCTTCCCCCCTCCCACTTTTAAATTAGGACTACTAGTGACAAATGGATTCATGTTCCAGCTGACTGGGTGGACCGATATGAACGTCTTGCGGTTTATAATGATGGCAGTTGTTTAATAGGGTAGTTTCCTAAATTGTATTTTAATGTCCGTCTGGTACATTAATTTAAAACTTTAGACACGTATTCTTCCTTTTCTCACAAAATTAAATACTTTCGACGATATACTAATTTGAAATATCGTGTGACGTCACAGCGTGTCACATTTTGTAGCACGTTATGACGTAACGACCTCCCACTCCTAAACTTAGCGCCATTTTATCTAAGTATTGCAACTTAATACGAGAAAATAAAAAAATACGTGTCTAATATTTTTTCATTATCTAACAGACGGACTAATTAGTTTTTAATTTTCATATCCTGGAAACTACCCAATTGTCATGTCCAGTAGTCCAGTGTATAGAATTAGTAACATTTGAAGTCACGAACTAATTATTACAGGTATCCTCGTGAAATGTCCCGCTATACGATGTTGAGGCATCCGCAGGAGCGCAAGAACACTCGGCGCTCAACTGTCATGAAGGAAAACAAGCAGGACCCATCGACCAACGTGAAGGACGGATTCACTTCGACGCGGTACTCCAGCATGCACGTCAAGAACCATCGACTGTTTACACACGTCGGGGTGGTGGTGTGACTGTAGGCTGCATTGTGTCGGTCAGGGGCGGTCTGGCCAGTGGCCATACATGCCAGTCGGCGATCGCCGAGGGCCCCGGGCCTGTAGGGGCTCCGAAATACGTTTTTTCGTTCTTACTAAACATTTTTTTTTTTTGTTACACGAGAGTCCGGGTTTACAAGGGCCCAAATCGTTTCTAATCATATTTATTTCATTAAAAATAAATATTTTTGTAGTAAGAACAAAATGTTTCTTTTCAAGCAAACAGTTTAATCGTAAGTAACAAAAAAAAGTCTAATGCATTTCTGTAATTATCAACCTGCCTGAACCTGCCCAACAAAATGGCAGTAAAATGACCTGTGAATCAGATGCGGCGGTTGCGAAGGTATTTCAAATTGCGTTACTTTTTTTTATTTCACGCTCAGCGCCCACTGGACCTGCTTTACTATTAGGGACATGGGTGTCAGCTTCATAATCCTCACGGCGACAGCTTGAGTCTTGGCCACATGCACAGCCAATTTCTACTTGTCCAGCCATTCAGAGAGTGCATGCAAGGAGCGCTGTAGTATAACTACTGCGTGCGTGGTGTTCACCAACGTCGGGTAGTACGTGGCGTCGTCGCCGTACAGGGCGAGTTTGATGTGTACCTTCCTCTGCCAATTGGAACGTTCTGCCGTCCAACAATGCCAGACGCGATCGAAGGCCTTCTCCATATCAAGGAATAGTGCCGCGGCACTTGTTCCGCGCAGCCTGCAGGGTGGTGGCGGAACTGTTCGCCGCGTGGGTAGAGATGTAGGCGCATGTGCACCTACAGCAGCTTTGCGCCGGACTCCGGGAGCAGGGTGGGGCGGCGGCTCCCCGGCAGCCGCGTATCGTCCCCTGTATGGGCAGCATGATGACTCTGCCGAGCATCCACTTCAAAGGAAAGTGTCCAGTATGGAGGATCCCGTTAAATAGCCGCGTCAACGCCGTGATTCCTCGCGGTGGCAGGCGGCGGAGAGCTTCATTGGATATTCCGACCGGACCGGATGCTTTGCGCAGTGTCTTACGCCACCAGGTACGGTTCGACCTGAACATCTACGGCTGCTGTGTGTTGCACGTGGCGGGCTGGGTTTGGTCGGAACTGTCTCTCCGGCAGTCGGCAAATAGTTCCGCTCGGTCCTCGGCTTGGTAGCGGCCAGTTCAGCAGGTTGTGGACGTCAGCCACAGCGAGGTGATATTGCGGCGGTCTGTAGAATGCGAACACCCGGGTCAGCTGGTGGTTGATGCAGATATCCATGCCCAGTGCATAGGACGCACGTAGCGTTGGCTTTAGCTTCATATCCTAGCTCTAAAAAGGTCCAGGGTAGCCCGCGAAATTAAAATTTTCGTAAGCTTTTTCCGATTTTCACAGTGTAACTGTGTATGATGTGATAATATTATGATTGATGACAAGACTGCACGGTTGGCGCGGTGGCCGCAACCGGCTACCGGGCAACGTGTACCGGACCTCTTACGTGTGTTCCATTCTTGCACGGAACAACTCTTTATCAAATTCATCTAGAAAATACTAGAAAATATTCGGTCCTAACCGAGGGCCCCAAATGCTGCCAGACCGCCCCTGGGTGTCTTCTACGCTATAACCAATTATTATTATTTAACTACGCAGTATCAAGGCGGGCTCTAAGATCACAGTCATCCTGGCTATTATCCATCTTAGCTGTTGCATATTATGATGAATCATCTTTAATACAAAATTGTAGGTACCTAGGTAGGTAGCTTACCTAAGTTTACATTTTATTATTACATTTATTTATTGTAGTGACTGATGAAGAAACTTAAGATCCTTTTTTAAATGTCTGACCTATAGGTACCTATTTTACAAATATAAAGAATAATTTGTTTAAAAGCTGACGATATTGTTCAGATATAATCTCGATCGAATCAAAAATAAATATCATTCAATTTTACTTTTAAGTCCATGGTACATTCAAACCGTTAAGTATTTTAGTTCTGTAGAATCTCACCAACATACCTAGTCCTGATTGAGTTAAAATCTTGATTTATTTAAATAATTACTATTTATACTATACATAAATTGTATACTTTATTATTATATACTTTTAAGTCGGAATTAGCAAAATGTTGTGATCTTTGAATTGTTCGAATATAGTAGGTATACCGTATTATATTAGCCCCACGCTTATGTCGTTTGTGTAATGTATACCGGCAGTAGTTTTATTAAACTCCAGTGTGTGTAAACTGAGTTGGTGAATGTAAGAAATAATATTTGGAGATTGTGCCTTCTAAGTCAACAATTTAGATAATTATAAAAAAAAAATTGTATCTAAGAAATCTTACTAATTGTAAATGTAAAAGTTTGTGTGTATGTTTGTATGTTTATTACTCAAACACTTCAAAACAGCTGAAGGGATCGTGATGACATTTGGGACAAGATTATGGTCTGGAATGGGCGAAGCCGCGGGCAAATACTAGTACTCAATAATGTCATGTCATTGTTGTAAGACGTGTCTTACGACGTATATGTTGCAGTCAAAACTAGATACCGTCATGTCATTTGTTCGATTAGTTCAATCCCTACTTCATCTAGTTTAGCCTTGGTTTAATTACTCTATGAGGTAATAGTAGTTTCGACTGATGCTTTATTGCAGTGAAAAGTACTAATAACCAATAATTTTCTATTAAAACCACTTTTGACTAAACAGTTCCGTCAAAAGTACTTTTGACTGGTGCAGAGTTTTGACTGTAACATATACAATTACATGTAAAAGGTACAATGGATAGCAGTAGCAGGTCAACTTACTCCTTTGTGTCAAATTTATTTTTTTACATTTTCTACTGTATTGTTTTAGTGTAAAGTTAAAAATCCACTGAAAAAATATTGATTGACCTGCTGGCTACTGCACTCTTATTCTCATGCGTCATTCAATCCTTAGTAATATTTACCTATGTGCATGCTGTCTACTAATATTCCTAGGTAGGTACAATTGTTATTGTCTGTATTTATTGAATTACCTACTTATTATGTCAGCGTATAAATACGTCTTATGCTGTATCTGGTAAGTGTCAGTACCTTACTGGACGTTTGTAACTCAGTTAACATTTTGAAGCTAGGCGAGTACGTACTTACATTGCGTGATGGTACGTACGTACCTAGTAGGTGTAGTTAGATACATACAGATGACGAGATTGAGATGAAATTGTGTGCGTTTCATTACAAATCGGAATCTGCTGCACATCCATGGCATACCGTGGCGGGGTCAGCCTGTTGTACCGAGGTATAATTATATATAAGTATACTTATGTCTAAGTATGTACACTGTACAGTGTCACTCTGGTACCATGACTGACTTATAAGAAAACGTTACAGAACGCAAGTTATATGTATTCGCGGATGTTTAGTGAAGTAAAGACTCGCGCAAAGATCTCAAGCTCAATGAAAAATGTCTCAAATTATATTTATTTTGAATACCTATGTATGTATGTTCTAACCTCGGCTGGGAGGTGGCAACAGTGAGAGCGAGTGCCTTTTGAAGTAAGTAACTATTGTTACTGTACCTGTCTTGCTTCACTATGTCTTCGAGAGGACCTCACAACCACCCAAATAATTATCTATAGTCTGAACTGAACATAAATTATATTATAGCCATATAAAATGTTAGCGTAGGTTCTATTAAGCGTGTACAAGTATAAGGTTTTGTTTAACACAATATGGTTTTTATACAAAAAATGACCCAATTCAGGGAAACGAATAACCCGGATTTAATCCTAATTAGTAGGTTTGCGCTTAATAGTTAATAGATAAATTTAGGTACTCGTACTACAGACGGTGAAGGTAAACATCGTGAGGATACCTCGACTTATAATTAATAATTAAAATACTCAATCCTTCTCCGTGTGAGAAGAGCGTTTTGCTCAACAGTGGACACTTATATAGGCTGTTGATGTGATACTCAAACGCACTATACCAAGGTCTGAGACCTGTCACACGTGTGCGGGTTGCTGACGCACAATTACTGAAAGGCTACTCAATTTTATGTTGTAATTCAATATTTTGCCATCTCTGTCATTTTAAAGAATTTCAAAAAAATTGTAGTACCTAGAACAATACTTAAGCGCGACTTAAAATTGAGTAGCGTTTGAGTATTTCGACACAAGTGTCGCTAACTCTACTTTACAATGACATCGGTGAAAATTTCAATATATTGTGAAGTATCAAAACGACGACGACTACGACTGGTTGGACTGAATGCTCATAGCACACTAAACCGGCATGGCTCTAACCCAGCAATTAACTTTTCAGTTAAATATGAACTTTAAATCGTATATCGTATGGCATGTTTCATAACGTCAATATAAAATAGCAATATAAAAACGCCGTGCCAGAGCTGTGCCAGAGCCGAGCTTGTTAAGTGTGCGATAACCTTCAGTCTGTTTATAATCCTACACAGAAAACGCGATGGTAGTCGTCGCCGATCACTTCTGTACTTCTGTACGAGACCGTGCGGCGTCCGCATAACTCAGTTTCCTGTCCAAATTGTTCGTTTAAATTGTTTTTGTATTGAAACACTTATAATCAAATAGGTGGTACAAAATGATATACATGTTGTTTCAAGTTTGTGAGGCAACTTCATGTGTCTGTATGGAATACCGCGCTATGTAAAGCCCTTATAGTGACCTGCGTACTATTTGGAAGTTTAACATTACATATTATTGTTAAGATTACTGTTGGGCCGTCTCACGCGAGTGCATGGATACACTCAGGGTGGATATTGTCAGCCGGCACCAATTCCCAGAGCATATTCTTGCACAGAGTTAAACTACAAAACAAGTTCAACAATAAAAGCACATTATTATGTAGCTCCGCATGTCATAGTCAATGTTAAGTGAGTGTCAAATGTTTATGTTCAATTGTCTCAAACAATAAAGTACTTAATTTGCTTGAGTTAAGTCTGAATTTATTTATTTACCCCTGCACTGCACTAGCATCAGCAAATATAGTATAGGGTCGTGGTGACCCGGAGGAGTAAGACGGCTTCTCATACATGAGAGTGCGGATACTTACTGTTAGATTTTGATGTGGTAAGTTCTTCTTCTTCTTATAGAAAACACTGCAGTTCGTAGAACAAAATTACTTTTACTTCAACTTCACAAATTAATAGGTAATATAATTTCGAGTGTGACCACGAGTGCACGGGAATGTGGATGGAATGCGACCGACTGTTTTTGTATAGGACGGGGTTGTATGCATTTGAGGCGAGGAGTGAAGTGTCAGTACTCTGACGGGGATAAGGATGTGGTATTCCTTGGATATAACAGTACAAAACCTACCAACGGTACCAATGTGACTTTTCTGAGTTATAAGTAGGTACTTCCAAAGATTATCTAGACACCACTGAAAAACTAGTTGAAATCTCTAACCCGCATTGAGCAAGCATGGTGTTTAAACTGTCAAACACCAAGCGGTCACCGGTGACCGCGACCTATTGTTCTTTAATTGTGTCTATAAAACCGGTACTCGACGAGTTAATGCACAAACCTTCTCCGTGCGAGATGAGGCCTTCGGCCGGCAGTGGCCGCTTATAGGTTGTGAATGATAATGATGATGATGCCCTTGGAAATCTCAGAAGAACAGGAACTCTGCGTTAAAATGCCGGGACCACGGTCGTTAAAAAAAGGGGGACTCTTACTTTGTAGTTTCATATAATTTCATGTAGCCTATAACCAGCGGACTAATGAGACGCTTCTAATGATACCCCATTTATCATATTATGGCAAAGTAGTTTAGGTGTTAGGAGTGAACATAATTATGAACATACATACATACAAAATCATAACCGTTTGGCTTCGCCATAGTCGGGTAACGAAATAATAGTGCAAAGTGCCATAGCAAGTATGTATTTCAGAGAAGTTACAGGGAGAGTAGAGAATAACCCTTCACTGCAGTAAAGTAAAATATTGAGGTCACACGTCACACGGTGTAGGGCTGCATGCGCGCCCAGTCCGCGCCCGCGCAGTGACACGTCACACGGTGTAGGGCTGCATGCGCGCCCAGTCCGCGCCCGCGCAGTGACACGTCACACGGTGTAGGGCTGCATGCGCGCCAGTCCGCGCCCGCGCAGTGACACGTCACACGGTGTGTAGGGCTGCATGCGCGCCCAGTCCGCGCCGCGCAGTGACACGTCACACGGTGTAGGGCTGCATGCGCGCCCAGTCCGCGCCCGCGCAGTGACACGTCACACGGTGTAGGGCTGCATGCGCGCCCAGTCCGCGCCCGCGCAGTGACACGTCACACGGTGTAGGGCTGCATGCGCGCCCAGTCCGCGCCCGCGCAGTGACACGTCACACGGTGTAGGCCTGCATGCGCGCCCAGTCCGCGCCCGCGCAGTGACACGTCACACGGTGTAGGGCTGCATGCGCGCCCAGTCCGCGCCCGCGCGCAGTGACACCGGCAGCGGCACGCTCAGCCCGCACGCGCGCCCGCACTGCTCCATAGCGCGCTGCACTCGGCCTGCCATCGAGCCCTGCGTTACTACCGTCGCACAAGGATTGGAAAATCCGCCATACCACATTATGGCTAGCCGTTTAGAAATCATCGTCCAAGCCCCGCGCTTCGCCCGAGACCTCGGCATAAAGAGCGTCGACGCCTTCGTGCAGCGCCTGAGCACGACACTATTCGAGCGCTCCGATCGGTCACGGCACGACCACCTCCGGGAGCTGGCGCCCTACCACCGGTGCCCCCCTGACAGCTGTTCGCTGGGCTTGCCCGGCTAGAGCGCGGCTCGTGGCGGGGCAACCACCGGACCCGCCAATCCCTCAACCCGCCTCGCTGTAACAGGCTCCGCCCAGACAAACATCGGCCTGGATCGTGCGTCCTCGTGCTCCTAGTCGGGGACGTTGAGATGACCCGACGAGAACTAATAGTAATATTTTATTTTGTATAGCTACTAATGGGTCATTGTTTTATTATAAGTTATAGTATACAGTACACAGTGCCGCACCTGCCACGTCGTGCAGGCGGTGCTCGTCCACCTCCCACACGAGCTCGTCGTGCACCTGCAGCACCAGCGCCGCGTCCGCCGCGTCCAGCGCGCGCGTCGTCGCCACCATGGCCATCTTGCACACGTCGGCGGCCGAACCTGCGCACTCCGGTTTATTAGGTGCCTGGTGCCTATTGTCTAGTTGCCTACTCTGTATGGTCGCAATTACTTCGCTCGCATACTTCAAAATCACAATTATTAAAAAGTGATACGGGAAGCGCAACATACCCTGTACGACAAAGTTAAGGGCCTGACGCTGCGCGTGCGCGCAGTCGGCCGGCGCGACGGGCGCCAGTACGCGCAGACGGCCGCGCACGCTGCGCACGCGGCCGCGCGCCGCCGCGCAGCGCCGCCACACTGTGCCGCCGAACTCCTTCAACGACGGAAACGTTCCTGCGCACACCAGCACTCATTGCCCACACTGCTCGGCACCCAGCACTGCGACACTGCGACATTGACACGTACTGTGGAAACTGGCGGCCACCTCCAGCGCGCGCTGGTAGCTGACGCCCAGTATCTCCATCAGCTTGCGGGGCCCGGCACCGTACAGGCTCGCGTACACTAACCGCTTCGTCCGCTCCCTTTCTTCGGCTACTACTTCGCTCTCAGGCTTCTTTAGCCTTTATAAACAAAAAACATGTGGTCACATTGATAACGTACATACCTAATATTGTAAAGCATTTTTTTTAAGGGGAGAAAATCATGGTATTACTTCTCCCGCCTGGGTGACGCGGGAGGGAGAAGTAATCCAGCGCTTCGAGCCGGAGCCCCGGTAACCCGTTAGGTTCTCCGCAGCTCCGAATCGGCATCAGCCCGATTGGGCCCCATCCGTGGTGGTCTAATGGCTCATTGAGCCGTAGCCGTACGCTCAGATATTGTAAAGCATAAGGGTGTCCGGGTGTAGGGTACCGAGTTACCGACCAGTCGGCCGCCAGCTGCGTAAAGAAGTCGCGCGGCTGGGCCAGTGCGTGCAGCAGGCGGGTGTCGGCGGCGAGGTGCGCGAACACGCGGCACTCGATGTGTCGGAAGTCGGCGGCCAGCAGGCGCCGGCCCGGCCGCGCCACGTAGCACGCGCGGAGCTGTAGCGCGGACACGCGCGCTCTGTAATACACGACGCGCGCTCTGTAATAGACGACGCGCTTTCTGTAATAGACGACGCGCGCTCTGTAATATACGACGCGCGCTCTGTAATACACGACGCGCGCCCTGTCATAGACGACGCGCGCTCTGTAATAGACGACGCGCGCTCTGTAATATACGACGCGCGCCCTGTCATAGACGACGCGCGCTCTGTAATAGAACACGCGGCTCGCGATGTGTCTGTAGCGCTGTTTTATTGAGATACCATATTATTAGTTTTTGCGTGAAAAGGTATCATGAATAATGGCCAGATCTTTCCTGTTGAAAGCAGTTTTATTATTTTACGATTAATACCATCATTTAGGTAGTTTTAAATCATATCTAGGTACTATAAATTACCGTAAAAATAAGAAAAGGAATTAAAATTAAAGTGAAAAATACTGTGAAAACACAATGCGCGTACTTACCCTTACACTACAAAACATCTGGCCATGGTTCTCGCCTTATATAATTCGTGTGTGAAACGCCCTAACCACCTGTTAATTATGATCTATTTATTATTTCCCTTTTATTTGTACAATAATTAGAGATTACCATCGTCTGCACCAGGGAACAGGAAGAGGCTGAAGGGAGCCTTAGGTATAGCCTGCAAGTTAGGGTTGCTGGCCGCGATGCGCCCTGTCGCCGAAGCCATCTGCAGCCTAAACCAATTGTTATTGTCAAAGGATTGCACCAATAATGTAACTACTTACTGTTGATTCGATACAAAACCTATAAAAAAAAATTGTGATTGATTGTTTTGGAGAAGAAGACGAAATGCGCAAGCACTGCCACTTACTTGATTATTTTTTCTTGGCCAAACGCGGGCAAAGGATGGCTTCTTACTCATATAATAATAGGTAACACACACATGCATATGTATCAAACATACGAACATATCGAACAAACGAATATGTATTAAGTAGCATGGGTAGGTACTAAATGAATCAAGTGAAACGAGTGAAACAAGTGAATTTATTTCTGCAAATAGGCTACAAGGCAGCACTTTTACACGTCAATTTTAATCAAGCGAACGATGAGGCCGACATTTCCTAACTGACTACTCTGAGAAGAAATGCCGAAACAAACTCAGAGGTCTGTCTCTTTTAAAGTCCAGACAATATGTATAAAAGATTATGTGTGAGAACCGTGCAAGTTTTTTCTGTAGTGGCCTTTTGAGGAAAGAACCACATCAGTTTGAGCGGACCCGTTCTGAAGGCAGTACGCATGTGTCGGTTTACAGTCGGCTCAATTAACAGGTGAGGCTGACTGATTCGACGAACAATACCAACCTAAAGAACATTTGCGTGGGTCGCACAAATACTCAAACTGTCAGAATATGGGTAATTAGAAAAGAAATGGTGAGGCAAAGTCTCGCACGGTCCTAGCACTAACAATTGTAAAGTGTATGTGGTCTCGTTGACAGCGACAGAGCTCACCAAGTAGGTCGGACAACTCCGTCTCGAACGTGCTGCGCTATACCGGCCAGGAAGGTGGCGCGCGCCTTGTGCAGGTGTCGGTACTCCAGCACCAGGCGCGGCAGCTCGTGCTGCGACACTGCCGCCAGCCTGCGCAGCTGTAAGTACACTGTCTAGTAGAGCTCCGCTGACGGAGACCACACTGCGCACTACTCTAAGCTCACCCTCACCGTGGTCTCGCACGTGGACTTGGCTCCCTTCGCTTCAGTTCCCCCGACGTCGAGGTTGCACTCTTCGTCCAGCCGCAGCTCGTCGTACAGCAGCGCGCGCACCTGCGCCGGCGAGCTGACCTGGAACACTCTGCCGGCCACCTCGTAACACCGCGCCTCCACCCCCTTCAACCGATCCACTACTGCTTGCTCCATCGAGTTTAATGTTTTCATGTCGACGCATATGCCACGAAGCTCCATGGCTGTGTACATACCACATTGTGTACAATATTATATTGTTATTGGAGCCTTTAGTGAAAATAACGGTTTTCTCACGTTATTAGACTAAGAAAAGAGTGCCAAGAATTATCGATAATAATAATAAAAAAAAATCGACGTATAATCGATATTTAAAGCATAATCGCATAATCGATATTTAAAGCTAGGTAGGCTATTCTGTAAGTTTCAATTCAAAAGATCGAAGTAAACTAGATCGTGTGCTGTTCGTCATAGCATTGGTTGTGAGAATAATCTTCGATTCGACCAATGACTTGCTCAGATTGCGATCGAGCTCGCTTCGAAAGTTCGAATTGACAGTTACAGAATAGCCTAACTGGACGGTGCTTTTTCGGACAAACATTGTACCAAGGTACCTGTTGTTCAACGTCCTTGGTAGTTGGTAGGTACCTACGTAATACGGTAGCTGCATATAATTATACATGACCAATTTGTATGTACATAACCTAAGTCTTATCTCAATAAGTTGCTCTCTTACATACATAACCTCACGCCTGCCTCCTATTGGACGACAGCATAGTAGGAGCGTTCCATAGTCTCTGCTTAATTTTTGCTGTTATATAATAAATTCTGACATAGCTCTTTTGCTTCATCAACAGTCATTAGTCTTTTCTTGTGTGCTTTATGGGTACTTTTAATTTGGCCCTTCTTTATTATATCGACTCAGGGAAGACGTCACTTCGTTTAAAAGGACCCGAGACGGAGCATGGAGGAGACCTATTTAGACTCAACCGTCGCGTTCGCTTGACAAGGCAGGCCACCGCGAATTCAGTGGCTGCGGAAGAATGTGTTTCCCGCACCCTCGTATGAGATGAGTCACCGACGTAGTTTTTAGTCAGTGAAAGTCTGATAGTCATTTTTGTCCTCCCCAGGTAAGTGGTAACAAAATGCAAAATTAAGGAAATAAAAGTTTAACGAATAAGTTAAAATCAAGTGTTACTTACCTCAACGAAAAAAATATAATGAGGTACTAACCAGTAATTATAGGTATTAGTTTCATTTCAATATCAATGAATACATCCCATAGAGAATGTTCAATCAGCAAGTCTAACAATTTGAGCCAACACTCCTTCAGTTGACTCATATACCAGCTCGACTTTTGTAGCGAACATTCAGTAGATATGACAGACGAAGACTGCGAGGAAAGAGCCAGCCAGATCAAATACACACCTTGGGAATAAACTGCCCAGACAGCCGAAAAGATTGGCAGATGAAAACACATTGAAGTTAAAGTGAATGTGTGGGTGGGAATAGTAAGTAGTTATAGTGACTTGCCTTGGCATCGCGCATATCTATTGTCGCAATGTCTAACTCTAAATGGGACGCGAGGAACATTAGGACACTACGAGCGTCGTAACACACTACGATATTGTTCGTAAGCAAATAACTTAGTGCTTTCCTGAAACAAGTAACACGTTATTAACATAGGAACCTTTGTATGTCGCGTATTACGTACTTGAGTACTTCATAAACAACCGTAGGTACTTACTTGAGGTTCGGACCAGGAGTCTTGAAACAGTAGAACATAGCGTTATAACAGATGATGATGCCGCTAGGAGAGCACGTGTCGTCAGTGTAATGACTATTAAGCTGACAGAAACCATTGCTGCAATATGTATAGACGAAACGAGATTACTGGTCAACCTATTCCACGCAAACTGACAAAATACTTATTATATATTATAATGTAATTCATGCATTACCGATTCATGACTTTTAACTATCGCTACGACTCAGTTACAATTGGGACGAGTGACGTAGTAACTACATACTGGACATACGAGTATACTAACGCATAATACTAATTCAAAGTGAGACATAATATCCGTACCTACCTATAAATCAAAACAGCAATAATTTCTTTATCCTTCGCTTGTAGCAGACTGTCATTGAAACTAAGAATATTTTCTTCATCAACCAAGTGAACTTGAAACTTGACACCTTCTACAGTTTGATATTTAATGGGAGCAACGAATTTCTTTATTACTTTATTTCTGTTATCTTTAGTCGTACTTTGCTGAGTAGCAGATTCAGTATGAGCTCGTTTCTCTGTAATTTTTGGTTTACTGAATTTCATGATACCATTCTTATTGGCCAATTGAGCTTGGACAACTTTCTTTGCTCTCATTGCAGGCTGTGCTTTGTCTATATGAATTTCTTTGTCAGGTGTATCACACATTTGGGTCGGATGCTCATTTGGTTCAGTATTTTCCAGTATATTATCTTTGTCGCCGCCCTTCATTTCGTTAATGCAGTCTTTGTCTACGTTTCCACACATGGGATGCGGGGATTCAACGTTATTAAGCCAATTTTTAATAGCCTTTGTATACTTTTGCTTTCGTAAATTATTTTTATTTATTTGTTTCATCTCAACTATTACTTTTGAATGACTCTTCTCAGTATTGTTAATGGATTTACGTTCTTTTGCACTTCGATCTGACACTTTATTTTTCGTGCTTTTGCTTTTCTTCTTATATTTATTCTCTTTTCCCACACAACTAACCCGATGCGAGTTAAATGTAGACCCCACAGTAAAGTTATGATCTTCATGTAATTCTTCGCAATCTGTTTCTCCGCCAGCGGCAATTTTTACAAATAATTCCGAATCAAGCATATCATCCCAATTTATATCATCAACATTATTTACCTTCGGTTCAACGAATACTGCATCAGAGGTATTCTTATCGGCAATAATACAGAGTTTTTCGTTATTAGAAATAATCGGATGAAGGAAATCATTATTATTGTCATTCGTTTCCGAAACACTTTCATATTCTAAATTAATATCCAGTATATTATGTGCACTTCTATCTATCTGGTCACAAAGAACAGGTACAGTAAGTAGTTCCGCTTGTGTGCGTTGTGTTTGTGGAAAATCAATGATAGAGTTGGAGTCGTCATTGGAGCTGCAACGTGAAGTAAATAATTAAATTGTGTAACAAAACTACCTTTTTTTTTTTTTTTTTTTTTTGTTGACGGGGGGAAACCTTCCAAAGGCGCCTAGCTTTTTGGGGAAAAAGACTAGGGAGTGTGGGATTCTTACCTCACTAAAACCTCCCCGGTGGCCACCATCCGCACTTAAAGGGGGCACCGGGTCCTCTTAGTAGACCAACTCCGGTGCCCTCATAGTGCAACGCCTGTGACGGCACCTCCCTATGGAGACCTATATGTCTCTCCTAGAGCCTCTCTGTGCACTGCACGGCGGCACGTGACCACTGTGCCGCCGTCATCCTTGAGGTCATTAGGTGGGCGCCTAGATTCCCCACTCTGTGCGCCCATGACCCCAAAGGTTTGCCTACCAATATTGTAGGCAGGAAAAACAAAACTACCTAGTTCGGTAATACTAGACGTGAAGTGACGTAACCAGTCTGTGCCTCCACCCTAGTTCTCTATATGAACTATTAAAAAATACGTGTCTTCCTTTTTATTAAAAGACTAGTAACACATTTTTATATTTTCAAAGTACAGAATTTCACTTCTACAGTTTCTACCTACTGCCGCGTTGTTTTTCTTTTTCACCCGCTACTCGGCTCCTATTGGTCATAGCGTGATGTTTTACAGCCTATATAGCCTTCCTATTTTTTTTTTTTAAGGGGGGAAAATCATCGTATTACTGCTCCCGCCTGGGTGAGGTGGAAGGGAGTGTCAGACTCTTACTGACTAAAAACCACCCCGTTCCTTCTCCTGCACGTCGAGCTGGAGCCCCGGTTACCCGTTAGGTTCTCCGCGACTATAGCCTTCCTATAAATCCACTACCTAACACAAAAATAATGATAAAATGGGATTAGTAGTTCCGGAGATTAGCGAGTTTAAACCAACAAACTCTTTGGCTATATGTATGTATACTAGCTAGTCCCGTGCGACTTCACCTGCTCTGCTCGGCTCCTATTGATCGTAGCGTGATATCTTATAGCCTTCCTTAATAAACACAAAAATAATTATTAAAATCCGACCAGTACTTCCTGAGATTAGCGCGTTCAAACGAACAAACAAAGACCTACTCTTCTGCGTTATATAATAGCATAAGTTAATATAGGTATAACAATACTATTTACGTAGACAGGGAACGCGATCGTCCTCTTCCTTAAGGGACTCCGGGCGGGAGGGTTGCAAAGTACCAACTCTTACGAGTCGAGATGTAAGGCATTAGGTATTGTGGGTACTACTTACGATAACACTTCATTTTGTCGGTTAGGGAATGGCTGACGTTTATATCCAGTTTTGTTTTGCATATACCCTAAAACACACGGAATTAATGTACAAGTATTGAGTTAGTTTAAATCTATTATCTAGATAATACATTTCATAATGTTCGGTATAAAATAAAAATACTGCCTCGTTGGCCGGGGCCGGAGACGATCTCCGGCCACCGTAAGCGCGGGCCTGCGGACGGCGAGCATGGATGGCTCCCCGTCCAACCAGCAGCTGTAGCCAAATGCCATTTAGCGCTTGTAGGTCTACATGTAGAATAGAAAACCAGATTATATGGAATTGACGTAAATAACGACAATTGTCAGTGTCATCCCCATACATTTTGATTTCTACTCTCTCTGTAGACAAGCGCTGAAGCGGCGTTTGGCTAAAGGCCCAGAAACAGACCCGAGCGTAGGTAGGGCGCGCGCGGAACGCGACGCGCATAATTGCTTCGCATAAGGAGGAGACGGCATCCCAGTCCCCCTCGCTCCGCACCATGACCTGCACTAGGCCCGGCCCGGACGCGAGAGGTCGCCATCACTTCCCTGAGGGCACGGCGGTGCTCAGCCCACGCAGGGCATTCCGCTACAGTGTGTTCCACCGTGTCCTCAGGGCGGTCCTCGCAGAGATGACACCCGGGCATTTCCTCCCGCCCCATCAGACACAGGTACCTCCTGAAACTTCCATGTCCGGTGAGGACCTGCGTCAGGCGGTAGGTGAGGACGCCGTAGCGTCTCTCAAGCCACTCCTAAAAGAGGGGACTTACTTTAACAGCGAGCCCAGAGATGAGCCTATTGCCATACATACACGACAATAGAAGCCGGAAAAAGGAAATGACCCCAGAAATAGCTTACCAAACCAATGCTCTGCTACCGGTAGCAGACTAGCAGGGTTCTTAGCCGGCAGTAACATAACCTGCCTGAATACACCTGTACCAGCACTCAGCAGGTGTTAAGACTTACCTTTGCCCCATTGCTTTTTGAGAATTAATAATACTTTATTCCCAAAAGGAGATAAATGGTTTTCGTAATATCCTCTGGGTTTATAACAATGATTATTACGTTTATCCATTACAAATTACTTTAGGCAACACCAAATTTCCGAATGGTAGCTTATACAAGTAAAATAAAATGTAATTTTCGCGCCTTTTATCTGACATTCTTTTTTTTAATTCGGATGCCTAGTCTTTATGGTACGATCTACGTTCTGTGGATATTAGCTGGGGTCATCGTTGTATTTTTATAGAATAGGAGGTAAACGAACAGATAGATCACCTGAATTCACCCATAGAGCAACACGGGCCACCGGCGTGTTGCTCTATGGAATTCACCTGATAGTAAGCGATCAGCGCCACCCAAATCAAATCGTCGAGTCCATGGAATAGAAAAAGCTAGTCTAGTGAGACATCTACAAATAATGTTCATATCAATTTTTCATCGCTTTCCATCTCCACAGTTTTGTTTTTAGTGTAGGTAGTGTATTTATTACAAATCAACCCGGCCATGCTCTTTGTTATAAGTGTAAGTTGTTGTAAGTTTACATACAAACTTACAACACACACACAATTCATGTCTATAGATTTCAGAATATCAAACCCATAGACGTTGATAAAACTTTACTATTCCATGGATCAAACCAAATCAAACTATCAAACTCACAGACTCACAGCCAATATACATCATATCGGCGCAATACAAAAAAAAACAATGTTAAATTTGTCAATGTCAATGTCAAATTGTCAATTCTCAACTTGTCAAACGTCAAATCCATTGTTCATCATGTTCGTGTTTTTAACAAAAAATCATAAATCGCTCAAGGAAAATCGAGACTAAGTTATGACTATATAAATCTATGTGACAAGTTTAATAAGTTTTTGGATAAACTGGTAATGGCTGTAAATTTTGAAAGTTGTGACAGCTTACCTCCAGACGAAGAACCTAAATTGAAATATGATAGACTTGCAAATGATGTTCAAAACATATTGTTGAAAGACGCAGTGAGTTGTATTTGTGTGCATACAAAGTTCATATGTCTCGGTACACAATGGGGCGTGATACATTTGTTGGATCACGAAGGAAACACGGTGCCGATATCACAAGACGGAAAGAATAAAGAATTACAAGCTCATGCAATAGCAGTTAATAGAATCTCCGTGGATCTGAATGGAGACTACATCGCAAGCTGCTCGGACGATGGGAAAGTGTTGGTGTATGGCTTGTATAGCAACGACAACACTCACAACCTAACCCTCGGCAGGGTGATCAAATCCATAGCTCTGGATCCTTTTTATTTCAAATCTGGCTCAGGACGAAGATTTTTAACAGGTATGTGCTTACAAACAACAAGGAATTTGATATATGCCTATTAATTCAAATTGATTGGCTTTGTATCTCATTATATCAATCATTTCTATATTAATTATTTAAGTAAGTAATAGTTTTATTTTGTGCCATGTTTGTGTTATTTTAAACAACTCATTTAATAAAGTAAAGCTAATGTAAGCTTGACACAGGTGTTATTCTTTACATCATGTAGACATTTTAGGACATTTCTTTCATTTAAACTTAACCTTGATAATGTCAAACACATCATGATTACAACTTTACAATGGAGATGGTGATATGGTATAAAAATCTATTGTAATAGGTGACAGGTAGATAATAAAAATTATTGACACTTTATTTTTATTTTGCAATATAAGATAACAATACTTTATACATAACACTAATCAAAATTTAGGAAATGGAGGTTGTCAGTTGTCACACCACTGCTCTGTAGAAATGTACTAAATTGTGATATCACGCAGTATTTCAAACTAGCTTTTACCAGCAGCTTTGCTCTCGTAAAATCCCCTAGTATGAACACTGATTCCACATTAATACAGCATTAATCTTAAACACAATGTGAATTAAATTATCAGTCGAGTTAGTAGGGAACACTGTGTGTGCCCAATCCTAATAGCAACCAGTGGACTACACTCCTACACTGCACACCAATACTGCTGCAAACACAGACTTCCTCCATTAAAGCCTGACACACCATGCAGCTGCCCATTGAGTGAAACCCATACCGCATAAGTGAACTCATTATCAGTGATGCCTAGGTACGGCACATCATGAGGCAAAAGCCAGGTCCCTGAAGTGCAACTAGTTATATCAGAAACACAGCACAATTGGTGAACGCTATCTTACTACTCATCGCATAACATTCTTACAGTTGAATGTTGATACATCTATATTAGTATTGTTGTTGTTATCCATCATGTACAATCTGTAGGATCACTATTCACAATATATGGGTATTCTCTTAAAGTCAATGAATCGTCTGAATGTGATTCCTTCTGGTCAAATGTATCATCTATGAAGGTACCTAGTTTATGCTTAGGTATAAACAAGTTAAATGCATATTTTGTGTCAACATGAATAGTAGACCAGTAATTCTTTATTGTCTCTCTCACTTTCACTCTTTATCTGGAAAAGGATGTTATATAAATTGGAAAAATTTCAAAAATTCCGTGCAATATGACCGACACCACGGAATCTGATAATCAACTCTTGAATCAATAATCAGCGGGAGTAGACCAGTGCTGCTTTATAATTGTCTCATATACCTACCTGATGAAATAATATAATGAATTTTCTCTGTATGAATGTATTGTGATAAAGTGTTTGAGTATTGCCCAACAAGTATTATTTCTGTTACAGGTGACACCAAATTAACATTATATGAAAAAACATTCCTGAACCGTCTTCGTGGCACTGTACTATGTGAATGTGAAGGTTACGTGCAGGCCATGTCATGGCACGAACGCTTCGTGGCATGGGCAAGCGAGGTCGGGGTTCGGGTTTACGACCTTGTTGCTCGTTGCTCACTTGGTCTTATCCAGTGGGAAAAAAGTCCCAACAGGTCTATTGAAGATTACCGCTGCAACCTCCTCTGGTCCGCTCCTAAGACTCTCATGATTGGTTGGGTAGATACTATCAGAATATGCGTGATAAGAAAACGAAGCCAAATTGAACTTCAAACTCGAGATGTCACTGAGTATTTAGTCGATCCAGTGTACACATTCCAAACTGACTACTTCATCAGTGGCTTGGGGCCTCTGGATGATCAGCTAGTCTTACTAGGGGTACCCAAGGAGTGTGATCCCGAAACCGGTAAGGCACAAAGACCTGTCCTCACGGTTGCTGATTATAAAGACTGTGAATTCTGTGAAATATCAACAGATAGCCTTAATATTCGTGGGTACGAGGAATATTCATGTAATGATTATTATTTAGACATGCTCATAGAGGAAAATAGATTTTTCATAGTATCTCCCAAAGACATTGTCGTAGCAAGCCCTACGATATCGACGACAGAGTGAAATGGCTCACAGAACAAGGTCGATTCGAGAAGGCGCTCACCGTTCTCGAAGAAGTGGGCGGCAAGACTACAAAGCACTCAGTCGTGACAGTTGGAGTACAGTATCTCGACCATTTGATGGCTGAGCACTTGTACGAGGAAGCGGCTATTCTATGCGCCAGGATATGTAAAAATGACAAGAATTTGTGGGAGACCCAGATATTGAAATTTTCTGAAGTCAACCAGTTACGCGTCATCAGTCCCTATGTACCTAAAACTCCTGAACAAGCATTAAGCTCGCACATTTACGAATTAATATTTTATGAATATCTCAAATTAGACTCACAAGGATTCCTGAAACTAGTACAAGAATGGAATCCTACTTTATACAAGACTGGCGTTATTGTAAAGGAAGTTTTAGAACACCTACTTAATACCGAAGTCGATAAGAATATTTATTTAGAGGCTTTGGCTCTTTTGTATTGCTACCAAAAGAAATACGATAAAGCTTTAACGACCTACTTGACGCTCCAACACAAAGATGTGTTCACGCTGATCACGAAACACAACATGTACAATGTGATACACGACAAGATACTGGAGCTGATGTCTCTCGACTCCGACAAGGCGACCGCTGTACTCCTCGACAAAACCAAAGTCCCCGTCGAAGTGGTAGAAAAGCAACTGGCCAACCACGACCTTCTCTTGTTTAAATACTTAGACGCCTATAGCAAAATTGAACCAAATGGGAGATATCACGGTAAGTTGGTTAGGCTTTATGCTAAGTACGCAAGGGACAAACTTCTTCCATTTTTGAAATGTAGCGATAATTATCCAATACAAGAGGCTTTGGACGTATGCCAAAACAATTTGTTCTATCCAGAAATGGTGTTCTTGTTGGGACGGATCGGAAATACAAGAGAAGCTTTACAAATAATTATTGAACAATTGAAGAACATAAACCAAGCTATCAATTTCTGTCAAGAACATAATGATAAAGAATTATGGACAGACCTCATCAAGCGAACAGTAGACAAGCCCGAGTACGTGACGCTACTGCTTAAAAGAATAGGTAACTACGTAGATCCGCGAATGTTGATACAAAACATACAGTCGGGATGTGAGATAAAGGACCTGAAGGAGTCGCTCGCGAAAATGATGTGCGACTACCACCTGCAGCTGTCGGTGCAGGAAGCTTGCAAGGTGATCACGCTGCGGAACTACTTCGAACTGCACCAGAAGCTGATCGTCAACCAGCAGAGAGGTATATCTGTCACGGACGATTTCATGTGCTGTGCGTGCCAGGCCGGATCATAATAAGAGACTTGTCCAATGCCTCAGACTTGATGGTGTACAACTGTAGGCATTCGTTCCACAAAGAGTGCCTTCCCGACGGAGACCAGTGCCAGACTTGTACGGTGTGCAGTGCCGTCAAAATGTGACCTAAATCAACAAAGCTCAACTCTTAGATAGATACTGTATATAATGTGTAAACAATATTTTCCGTTACCGATTTGTTTAATTATGTTAATCAAACTCATTATTATTTAAATGTTTATCAATGTTTGGTGCTTATAATGAAGTGGCTTTTATTATTTTTCCTTGTATTAGAAAAACTCAGATAATATAATAATAAATATAAACCAATATAGCTATGTAAAGTATACAACTGTTTTATCTTATGTCACATACTACACTGTGTGCGACTCAATATTAATCCGTTTGTCTCTTACAAAAAGGACAATTTGTAATTTAGTAGCTTAAACTTCCTGCTGACAACTGATCCAGACCACTACTCTGTATCAGTCTCACGTAACTGTGCTCTCTGTCTGGTGAATTCTGTGTCTAGGTATACACATATTATTTTGGACCCACAAACAAAAAGGTATTTCAAGTAAAAGCAAACATTTTGGTCATTTGAATACATAAACTAATATGTAACCAACCATGACATTCGGGACGTTGGGTTTATTGGTAGGTGCTAGTTAATGAACTAAATCCTCCTAAAACATTGTGTCGGTCCATGCGCCAAACACCCTGATCAATTTACAGTCCGAATCAATTAAAAAAATTGTAGGTAAAAGACATCGTGTTAGTTGCACTATTTATTTTAATTATTTAAATAAATAGTGTAATTAAGTCAAGGCTCTACAGAAGACTGCCTCATTGGCCGTGTGGTCGCAAGTACGACTGTTGGGCAAGATGTCGCGAATTCGATTTCCGGGTCGGGTAAGATATTACTGGGTTTTTAAAAAAGTCTCATAGTAGCACAGAATCTGGAAATGTGCCCGGTATATGGCAATAGGCTCACCTCCTATTACATGGGCCTTATAACATAGATAGTGAAAAGTGGGTGTTACATTGTACAGTGGCATTAAGTGCCGTAATGTGCACCTCTGCCTACCTCTTCTGGGATAAAAAGGCGTGAAGTTACGGTCAAGGACGGCTAAACCGATTTGGCTGAAAATTGGTGGGGAGTTTACTTAGAACAGGAACCGCGTAGCGTGATGTTTTATAGCCTTCACCGTTCCTCGATAATTGGGCAATCCAACAACAAAATATTTCTTCAAATCAGACCAGTAGTTTCCAAACAAACAAACTCTTCAGGTTTATACAGGACGGTGTCCGGGTTCAATATGCAGAAGCGATCACAAAAAAAAAACCTTAACTTTTCCTTATGACTAAATTTTGCTCAGTAAAATTACAAACATTTAATAAAAATAAATGCTTCAAATGTAAAGTTTCCACAAAAACTGATAGAATTTTCTAGTCACTGTCGTGAAAAAAAATTACACTAGAGAAAGTTGGCCATGTATCAGAAAAACTTCCGCCATACAAGCAGATTATTTTTGGAGGTATTAATCACGAGGATACTTTCAATAGTTAAAGAGTGAGAGAATTATGTTTACGAGGACGTCGTACAATAGCAACTTCATTTCGAGTTGTTTATTTCAGCTACCAAGTAGTCTAGGTACCTATTTAATTTCACTTCTCGGACAATGGACATGAATATAAACTCTACTGCGACGTTAGAAAGAAAGAAGAAAGAAAGAAAGAAAGAAAAGAAAAACCATTTATTTTGCTACGACACACAACAAAAATTCCAGTTAAATAAAAAAAAAGTTTAAAAAACTTACCTACCATAAATTTTTACCCTTTTAAGGGCCCCCAAACAATTTTTGTATGGGGCCGCGTCAAGGCCCATTGTTCCATGGACCTAAATATGTATTACCGTGTGTTTCATCCTTCGATCAACAAATTCATCAAAAAAGAGTTTGGAATAATTTTAGGTTGCAAGTCTTAGGTACCTGTGGAAACCTATTCACTACGACTAAATTGGTTTTAATATTTGTTATTTTTTACTTCCTTCCTTCCTTTACTTCTGCCCGCGACTTCGTACGCGCAATCCCGTTTTCTCCCGTTCCCATAACATTTTCAGGATTTTTTTCTATCATAAGAACCTTCTTATAACAATAACAAACACAACAAAAAAAATAAGCCAAATCGGTCCAGTCATTCTCAAGTTATGGCGTGACAACGGGAAACTGGTTTCATTTATATACAGATAAAAAGGGGAGATTCATGGGATCATGAAATATAGTCCTACTTCGGACTATATTTCATGGACTTGGACTGAATTAATATTGAATATTAATTCCAGCTTTATTTTTACCAAGTTGTGGGTGGGTCTATATTTCTTACTTTCTGTCGCCTGAAAAAATAAGGAACTTGAGAAAAGTGGTACCTGACTCAATTTTTTTTTCTACCCCAGCTTCTACTCCAGCATCTATACCGAGATTCAAAATCTACCTTTACCGGGAAGTTGACCAAGATACTGGTAGGTAGGTATTATACATAGCAGAACTGGATGTGACTTAAAGTAGAGTTTTGTTCCACGATCTCATTGTCAGATCCTAAATGCTCAAATCTCGGCTTTATCTTCATTATACCTAGGTACATGGCCTATAGAACACCTGGCTTGCAGACAGTCTCTTTTATTTATTTACTAGCTTTTACCCGCGGCTTCGCTCGCGTCACAAAAGGATAAAAAGTAGCCTATGTGACATATACCAATACATACAGCGCCATCTATACCAATACTTTTGTTTTCCCTCGGGAATACCAAATTTTTCGGGATAAAAAGTACCCTATTATTTAATCCAGACTACTAACTTTACGTCTGGAAAAATTCAAAGCAATCGGTTGAGTAGTTACGGCGTGAAGGTGGAACAAACAAACAAATTCACTTTCAGATTTATAATATTAGTAAGGATTTATAATTCTTGGAGGACTTACAGCTTATAATAACATAACATAACATCACGCCTTTTATCCCCGAAGGGGTAGGCAGAGGTGCATATTATACAACTGTACAATGTAACACCCACTTTTCACTATTTATGTTATGAGTCCCATGTAATAGGGGGTGAGCCTATTGCCATATACCGGGCACAATTCCAGACTCCGTGCTACTACTGAGATTTTTTTTAAAAACCCAATAATACTTTGCCCGACCCGGGAATCGAACCCGAGACCCCTTGCCCGGCACTCGCACTTGCGCTCGCTCAATTTAATCAAGTATAACTACAATATCTGTCGCTTCGTACGTCATGTCGATGTCAATGTTTTCATTGATTTTGAACCCTAAGCTATTCGGGTTACCGGGGCTCCGGCTCGAAGCGCAGGAGAAGGAACGGGGTGGTTTTTAGTGAGTAAGAATCTGACACTCCCGCCTTACCCAAGCGAGAGAAGCAATTCGATGATTTTCCCCCCTTAAAAAAAGCTATTTATCTTGCTAAGTAGGTATTAATAAATTATGTTGAATTGAATCTATTGTTTAAATTTTTTAAATGGCGAGTCCAGTCACCCTTTCCGGCCATTATACTCTGCTGCCGCCAGTCAACGACATTTTCGAGTGAATCATAATTGTACTATATATTTCTTGTAATTAAAAACAACATATTAGTTTAAATACAAAATAATCTTGAATTAATGACAAGCAAAATAAATAATTGGAATCTATGTACCTATATGAATTATTATGAACGAAGATAATTAACACTCCTTTGCACTCACACACTTTATAATAGTCATACATTAAAAGTAAATAATTGAGAATTAAATTAACTTTTGAAATTCTCATCAATTCTTTGAAGTAAAGTTAAGGTAATGTAAAATGTTTGAAAGTTAACGATCGAGTAAATTCAAAAAATTTAATTTACTTTTTTTGACTGTCAAGAATTACTCTGCGTGAAATGGAAAACAAATTTATTGTTTATTCCCATGTGGTAGAAAAATGGACGCGCACATGACTCTGTGAGGTTTTGAAAATGTTTTTTTTAAGTGTTCGCATTCGTTGAGCAGTGTAATTTGATAATTTTGTGATAAAGTGGTGTGTGAAAATGACAGAAATGCCTCCTTATCTTACGGTTAAAGATGAGGAGAAAAACAGTGCTCAGGGCGACAGTGATACTTCTTCAGACGTTGACGATTGGGATTTACCCCTCTGTTTTGATAAACCTAGACACCTTGAGCCAATAAAAGGCGCAGAGCGTGTGGAGCATACGTGGAGAGTGAAAGAGAAGGTGAGGCAATGACTTTCAATTGATAACTTGTGTACAACATTAATGCGTAGCTGATAGTAACGTTAGTACGATGACAACAAACGCACATGGCTCGTTGAATGAACGCTTTGTTAGCTTAGTGTACACTACCATTATAAAAAAAAATACTATTTGTTTTTGTTATGAAAGTAGTTAGCTATTGTGATTTCTGTAGCCTTTCCTATGGTATTTAGAGTGTATGATGATATATAGAATATTCCTTAGCATCAAGAGTGAAGTTTATTGCATAATACAATATAATTCTTATTATGTATCTATGTAAATAAATATACATAATAGTACACACTGTTAGATTGTTGATAAACAACTCTAATGACAGGAAATACCTACTTGAAAATAGTTTGGGCTTGTTCCAAAAATCATGTATTGTTGATATAAATACACTAATAATATTAATATAGGTAGGAAGAATCTGAAATTTAAACAACCATTATATTTGTGTTTATATTTTATTTCCTTGGTACCTACTGTTCTTATTAGGTGCATATTTTATCAGTCACATTAGTATTTTTAGTTTACATTTACCTGCATTAAAATGATCATGAAGTTCTATGTTAATTGACTACAACATGCTAAGTGTATTTAGTTATCTGTTTGTATTATAATACACTACTAATAATATACCATGAGTGGTAACAAGTGGTTGAGCTGCATATAGACCTTGTCTATCCTACTTACTTTAAATTTTGTTTTAAACACAATGAGTCTGAAAAAGAAGATTTGCTAATGTATTGCGATTCCACTTTCATCGAAGTTTTAAGGATGTAATTACTCAAATCAATGTATTTTCTATTTTGTACACACTTACTGTGCAGCACCCCGTGCAGTTCCACAGTAATTTAACAAGTTTTTACTAAAATGGTGCATTTCACGCCTGATACCCAGGTGCAAATTGCAATATACTTATGGAAATTTAAATTTAGCAGTCTGCCTTGGAGTTGAAGCATCCCCGTTAAGCAGTGTTTTTTTTATTTCAAATATATAATTTCTAATTGATATATAATTATGCTTAAAGTACAAGACCCACTGTGTGGCTCTGGTGCTGTGCCTCAATGTGGGAGTGGATCCCCCAGATGTGGTGAAAACCCAACCGTGTGCCAGGCTTGAGTGCTGGATTGGTAAGTAACCAATTTATTATAAATAGTCACATTTACCATACTCAACATCACACTTTCAACCCTGAACTGGTAGGCAAAGGTGCACAGGTGTAATCTCACACACACACTTGTTATTATGTGCTACTGGCTGGCTACTCCCGCGCTATGTTACCGACTATCCTGCTCCTATTGATCGGAGAGTGATGTTTTATGATCTATAGCTTTCCTTAATAAATGGAATATCCAACACATAAACAATTATTCAATTTGCATAGTAGTTCTGGAGATTAGCGCATTCAAACAAACAAACTTACTCTTCCAACTTTTATATCAAGTGTAGAGCAATAAGGAGTCATGATAAGGAGCATGTAAACAAAACACATAATCATTGATTTTAGTCTTTTCTCTCATAATCAGAGATGGCCGATTTTCGGATACTAAGTAAATACTGAATACGTAATTTTTGAGTATAAAATAGACTTAAAAGTGACATTATGCAATGTTTGAAATCAATGCATCATCAAAAATATTTGCTTCCCTTAGAAAATAAACAAAACTGTTTATATATCTATTAGAAATGTGTCCCCAAATGGGAATTTCTATAAGTGCCTAAAAGGTCAACAACGCTTGGTTAACTTCTCTGGAGTTGTATAATAATTACTCGGCACTCATTGCTTACCATCAGGTTGCTGATTTTATAATAAAATGAAATAGCTTTTGGCACTTTTGTAAAGACACTTGTAATTGTTTTGCTTGTAACTTTGTGAGTAATAATTATATAAATTAAATTCTTACAAAAATAAGATGCCTCTGTCAGAATATATCCTACTCTGCAATCCTACAAGTAAAAGTACATCACATAACAGTAAATATTGACTAGTCTATACCTGTAGTACCTAATTACATTTTTTCTTATTCTTTGAGTTAATAGCAGGAGATTAAGGTATTTTATACTATACATATACATATGTATAAACGCATGTGTCATTATTATAGTAAAATATCGATGATTTCTCTAAAGTATGTGCAATTATACATTAATTGTTTATAACAAGCTATGTTTCAAGTGGTGATAACCTTAGTGTTACATTGATATTTCGGGCGTAAGATACAAGGTAACTACTTAAGCATAGCTTTAGGAGCATAACTACATGCCTATTCAATATTATTTATTTATCGTATATTATTGTCAGATTTATATTTATACAGAATGGAATCATTATTAGCTTGGTATATAAAGTAACACCACTTTACTTTATATACCAAGCTAATATAATTCATATCATTTGAGATTTGTCAAAGCCAAAAGACATGCGCGTGGGACGCTGGGCACGCAGCTATAGGGCAGGGTAGCGTACCCCACGCAGCGGTGTGTACAGATGGTCCATCTTTCGTTATGCAGACCCGCAGTCGCTGTCCGCCAGCAAGGCGCTGGAGAGCATCGGGCACGCGTTGCAGTCGCAGTACGAGCGGTGGCAGCCGCGCGCGCGCTACAAGCAGAGCCTCGACCCCACCAGCGATGAGGTACACATTCTCATTTTTCAATGCTTGCTCTCTTCTGTAGATCCTGGCTTACAGAAGTTGGACGTGCAGTACTTGCGTTGAGTGACCATTTTCATTATTCCGGTATGTATGTCATGTATCTCTACAGAAAATGTTTTTCGATAGAAGGCACCATCGAGTTCAGTCTTGGACGGAACAAGAGTGAATTCAATATAATTATGTACTATGTACGTACGTCGCGTAACTTGTGGTGTATTATTATATTTTATGTTAACCTTTACTGACTAAAGTAAGTAGATATTCTTGGCAAATGTAACACAGCAAGCATTGTATTTAAATGGTGTTACCCACAAATATTTGAGTGTCGGCGGCTGGCGAGCGTAAATTAGGTAATAATTACTGAGGGCGCGCCAGACGACCTTCAGTGTATGAGCTCATCCTTGAACACGGCCACGCGTCGCATCGACCGACACACTTCACTCGTCACAGAAGGTCCATTCTCTCGGACTTGTAGGATTGTGTGTTACTCGTGCATTTATATACCACATCCAGAAACCAGGAAAAGTCGACCAACGAGGCAGTCGCCCCAAATACAAATATTGTTTATCTATTATCTACACAAATAGTAAACCTGCTTTGTACATAATTACTAACTGTATCACATCGTACGTCAGTTAACGTTAGTGTGGTACATATTTATTGTATGTAACGTCCTGTTGGTACATATTGATTGTAGGTGAAGAAGCTGTGTTGTTCCCTCCGACGCAACGCCAAGGATGAGCGGGTGCTGTTCCATTACAACGGCCACGGCGTGCCCAAGCCCACGGCGCAGGGGGAGATATGGGTGTTCAACAGGGTACCGAGACTTAACATAATTACTGAATTTTGCTTACTAAAGTTTTTGAAACTGTTTCTCTTAACTGTGCAACTTTTGCGGACTAGGCGTACACGCAATACATCCCCCTGTCGATGTACGACCTGCAGACGTGGATGGGCGCGCCCTCGCTGTACGTGTACGACTGCTCCAACGCCGGCGTCATCGTCGAAAACTTCAAGCAGTTCGCCGACCAGCACGAACGCGAGTACGAGGTAGGTCCCGAGCCGGCCGCGGAACTCGTGTGCGCGTGCGTTCTCATCCCCGGTCTGTTGGACAGGCTCAAATGAACTCGAAGGAGGAGGGCGCCACTCTGCCGCCGCCCGTGTCGTACAAGAACTGCATCCAGCTGGCGGCGTGCGCGGCCGGCCAGTCGCTGCCCATGAACCCCGAGCTGCCCGCCGACCTGTTCACGGCCTGCCTCACCACGCCCGTCAAGATGGCCATGAAGTGGTTCGTGCTGCGGGAGCGCACGCGCGTCGCGCCGCCCGACGTGCTCGACCTCATCGACAAGTACTGGCCCGCCTAGCGACCCCGGCCATGCGCCTCGCCCCGCACTAACGCTCTGTGTCCCGCAGGATCCCGGGCCAGGTGACGGACCGCCGCACCATGCTGGGCGAGCTCAACTGGATCTTCACGGCCATCACGGACACCATCGCCTGGAGCTCGCTGTCGCCGGAGCTGTTCCAGCAGCTGTTCCGCGCGGACCTGCTGACGGCGTCGCTGTGCCGCAACTTCCTGCTGGCGGACCGCATCCTGCGCTCGTACAACTGCACGCCCGTGTCGGCGCCCGCGCTGCCGTCGCTGGCGGCGCACCCGCTGTGGGCGGCCTGGGAGCACACGCTGGACCTGGCGCTGGCGCAGCTGCCGCGCCTGCACGGGCCCGAGCCGGCCGAGTACACGCACTCGCCCTTCTTCCGCGACCAGCTCACGGCCTTCCAGGTGTGGCTGGAGCTGGGCAAGTGGCGCGTGTCGCGCGCGGCGCCGGCGCAGCTGCCGATGGTGCTGCAGGTGCTGCTGAGCACGCTGCACCGCGTGCGCGCGCTGCGCCTGCTGTGCCGCTTCCTGGCGCTGGGCGCCTGGGCGGCGCGCGCCGTGCTCAACGTCGGCATCTTCCCCTACATGCTCAAGCTGCTGCAGGCCTCCGCGCCGGACCTGCGCCCCTCCATGGTCTACATCTGGGCGAAGATCATCGCCGTCGACCCTGTAACTATGCAATTTTTCAATTCCCTATTTCACGTCACTTTGGTATTCCTTTAGTTATTTTTATAATTTTTATCATGGAGTTACCGCTCGGCCTATTTCCTTGTACATTCCTTGATATCCAATAAACGGACACACGTTTATACAGTACGAGAGGAACACCAATGTCCTTCCCAATTTCGCTTCATTAGCTGAGTGCCATGTATAGCTACATCTACAGCAAATCCACTGTATACAAGTATATGTATTGTTACAGAGCTGCCAAGTGGACCTGGTCAATGCTAAAGGACACAAGTATTTTCTGTCAGTTTTGCAAGATCCATCAGTTGACGTGAGTCTATGTTCTGTACTGTTTATATACCAATGCCATATGTACAGTTCGGCAAAGTTTACGGTAGGACACTTTTTATTAAACAAAATCCTGTGGAAAACTCGCTATACACCTCCCTGTTTTCCTTGCGGTCGTTCGCGCCGAGTGCACGCGAATATCGTCTAATTATGGTTGTCCGTCAACTTTATCGATTGTACGTCTGGTCGTCACAAAATAAGAGGAAGACTGGCAAATGTCATAACAATGAATGTCCGTGTACAGAATGAAAAAATCTAATCTATAATATAAACTAATAACTACGTTCCACACTTTCCTAAATATTGAAGCATCTCTTTATATTATAGAAACTAGACAGAGAATAGAGGTAGACAAGTCCTCACTCCTCAGCGTATGCAGTATGAGATAGCGATACTTTGACATTAATACTTACGATGAAAGGTTATGTTTGGTTGATTTCGTTCACTACTAGTTTTATAGCAATTCACCATCACGAGACACTAAATATTATAAATGTCAATAAAGTCACAAGTACTCGTTTTACAGTTGAAGTCAACGAAAATATTCTGACACCACAGTTTGTTTGCCATTAATGACTATGATGGCAAACAAAAAAATATGCTATGTCCTGCTCACACATACACATTTTGACACATGTGCCATCTCACTCTCGCAAATAAGAGCATGTTTACCTCTATTCTCTGTCCACGATGGAAACACATTGAATGGATGAATTAATCAGAAAATAATATTCTAAAAAGTAACATTACAATTTCAAATCTTCAGGTTGGTTACCATAGTGATGTTACCTGTCAGTTACTTATCCGTTTTCAGATCAATCGTAATTAATATTCTTAACTCTCCTATCGCCTGACTTCTAATTTTGTGACAAGTATAGTTTGACAAGTCCTCAATACCTTCCTGATAAATGGATCTGATGGATAATATTAATTTAGTTACAACTATAATGTGAATATTGAATACAATCTGATCGTTTGATTGAATCAAAAGCATTTAAAAGAAACAAGTAATATATTACTGCGACTATTGTGTGCGTTAGTTAAACAATTCTAAATTCCTGGTCAAATGGTTAACAGAGTGAGCACAGAACCCTGGCGGCGTACGTGCTGGCGGGCATCGTCGACAACTACCCGGCCGGGCAAGAGGCCGCGCTGCAGGTGAGCTCTGACTGTTTCAAAGGACTAACGAGTATAAGGTTGAGACATACTAAATGGCTTGAAACTACTCGAGATCCTCGTGTATCAGTAACGTGAGTGAGCCAACGACAGCGAGTAATTTCACTTAATTTGTCTGTTTTTACTTGTGTTATGTTCTCGATTTGGGTTTCTAATGATGTATTTCTTTTATATACTTTCTTGACATTTTTATAATTTAATTTAAATCACTTGCTGTATGTTTGTATTCGCATGATGTGATTCTCTTTAATTAAAAAGATCACAAGGTTACTGTAATTTCCGGTGGATTATATTTTAACACGTGAGTGTATTTTTTGTTGGGAGTCCAAACAAATAAATATAATAATTAATTTAGCATAAAGTGGTTAGACACTCGCAAAGTTTAACGTTTTCAGTTTATTTAGTGTTTCTTATTATAGACGTCACATAATAAATATCGGCCTCATCTAACTTGCATATTACATGCAGAAGTAAATAGGTATCTATACTACCTATATGTTACTTACATGTCAGTGAACTTAGCTGATCATTGTCCAGCAGATCAAAAATAAATGAGAGTTCTCATGCAGCTGAGTTCTATAGTTCCTGATACCTTTTAGAAATAGTTCCGGCGTTTTTACCTTAAAAAAAGACAATTAAAAAAATGATCTGCCAACTTCCGGCAGCAGATCAATTTCTAGCAGATCATAAATAAACGTCAGTTCTTATCACATATGAATTAGGTCTACAGTTCCTGATAATTTTTAAAAATATATTTTACCTTAAAAAAAGACAATTGAAAAAAAATCCAGCAGATCATTTTACAGCAGATCACAAATAAACGTGACTTGTAACCGCGGGCACGATTAGAGTTTTAAATTGTAGTTCTGATGCGGATCTATAATAAACATAAGAGTTCTAGGGATGGGAACAGTTCTAGCCCTTTACAATATCATTTGAAGTTCTGAAATTGATAATATTCGATTTTTTGCTCTTTCTATCATGCTCAGCTCGTACTTGAACGTGAGTTCTGGACTTGATTAGATTTCTAGATGTTAGTTTTTATACAAACACGAGAATAGAACTATTTCTGTAAACCACCAGGAACTGTAGAACTCATTCGCACGCGGTAAGAAGTCACGTTTATTTCTGATCTGCTGTAAAATGATCTGCTGGATCTTTTTTTTCAATTGTCTTTGTAGAAGGTAAAAACGCCAGAACTAGTATTACACTGAAATTTAATACTTAAACGCCACTTAATGACAATGTTTTTGTAAAATGACAGAAACGACACGATATTTAAGTACAACCTAAAATGGAGTAGCTTTACAGTATTCGGGGTTAGTATGTTATAATTATTATGATATATTATGTACTAGCTTCTGCCCGCGACTTCGTACGCGTAATCCCATTTGTTCCCGTCCCCGTTCGTGATTTTCGGTAAAAAGTAAAAAAAAAATGTTGGTTAAAAAGTATCCTATGTCGGTCTCCTGGCTCTAAGCTACCTCCCTACCAATTTTCAGCCAAATCTATTCTGCCGTTCTTGTCGGGGTTAGTATGTTATAATTATTATGATATATTATGTATTTACGGAACAAACGTCATTTATTGTAGGTATCTTTTAGTGTAATCATCTTACTTATTAGTTATTTGTTACTCAATCACGGCAAAACTGCTGAAGGGATCAGGTCGAAATCTGGGAGCGGGGTAGGTTGTGGTCCGGCAGAAGCTAGTAGTGACACGAGGTCCCGGCGCAGGGCTCGATGATCTCCATCTGCCTGGAGCAGCTGAACGACGGCTGCGCGCGCCTGGCGCTGTGGGCGTGCGTGTGCCTGGGCCGGCTGTGGCGCCAGTTCGACGCGGCGCGCTGGGCCGGCGTGCGCGACCTGGCGCACGAGAAGCTGTTCCCGCTGCTCAGCCGGCGCCAGCCCGAGCTGCGCGCCGCCTGCGCCTTCGCGCTGGGCAGCTTCGTGGCGGCCGGCGCGGCGCGCACCGAGCACGCCAACGCGCTGGACCAGCAGGTCGGCCTGCAGCTGGCCGCGCGCCTGCCCGCCGACGCCTCGCCGCTCGTGCGCCAGGAGATCCTCGCCGGTATACTTCCCTCGCTTGCCCCTTATTTGCTTTGGAAACATTTCCGAAACTTTACAAAGTTGCTTATTTTGAAAAAATTTTGTTATTGGCCACCGTTTCTCCGAGGTCACAAAATGAAAATGATGGAATGAAATTTTGGAAAACGGAAACCCGAAAACAAAAACATGAAAATTTCCAAAATTGCCAATTTTCAAAACTCCTGAACTTTTATTATATAATGTCTAGATAGAGCGTCACCATACAATAGCAACAAAAATAACGTTCCAAAACTTCTTGCATGTGTGCGTGCAGCTTGTGGTTTACACGGAGCAAACATGATACCAGCTACGACAAAAACTCTCCCATCAAATTTATATCTCCCATAAATATTTGGGTACACGTACCAGACCATTTACAAGTAAAACAGAAAAATGTACCTAACATCTTTGAAATTGATTTTAGTTTTTTTTTGACGTGACAACGTCTTATACATTGGTTTGCCGGGTGACACTTCAAGAAACTGCGTTACGCTTCAGTCCCTTCCACTCGGGCATGGTTAGCCCGCCTAAGAGCGAGAGAGACAGACATAAAAAGTGGATTATTTCATCCTTCTTCCTACTATACGAATGAATATTCACATTAAAATTATTTTGCCACTCAAAGTCGTTGTCACGTAAAACTTTCGCCCGTATTTATAAAATAACATTGCAGTTGCACCCTTTCCATCAAAAATATAACTAAATCGATTTTAATAATTTCATAAAACCTGTCGAAAATCGAAACGAACCTTCTATTTTTGGTCGGTTAATATATATAGTAAACTAGCTGTTACCCGCGACTTCGTCCGCTTGAAATAACGACTTCTGTATAAATTGGGTTTTTAAATTAGTCTTTGTCAAGGTATATCCTATGGCTGTACAACTGGAACAAATATCATCACAATCGATTCAGTACCTAGGTTATATTTATTGAGAAATGAATTTAGCTTCGTGGTTTCTAAAATAAACAATCCCATAGAGGTTTTACCCGTACAGTGCCCGTCTCGTGAGGTTTCACTATTCTATGTTTGCAAATCAATGTTGTATTGCATTTCAATCAAATAGATTTAGGGATCAGAGAGTATAGTTCCCTAAGATCGGAAAAGGAGGATCCTCGGACCAGGCGAGGTGATCGTGCCTGGCGGGCTTTCTGCCCAACAGTTGCTCGTTGGGATTTTCTATCCGTGTTAAATCGCTTGTAAACTTTGCATGTGCGATGTAGGATTCTTGTGACGTCATCCGTTGACATGTGGCATGTGTCGCCACATCACTCCCTCCCAAGACCGGAGGTCGATTCCGCTGAGACTGCTGTCGATGCTTGAGATGAGTGGCGCCAGAGCCGAGAGAGAGTGTAGAACGTCCCTAGTTCCAGTGGGTCGGAACCGTGCCGCTGAGTGCCCAGTGAGTCGGGTCAGCGGTGCAGGGTGATACTCCAGTGAGTCGGAGAGATGAGTTCGCAGTGTCCCACGGTGAGTCGGGGAAGAGATGCTGCGAGGGTAGGTGCGTAGTGGCCGGCATCTGCGTTGACGGGAGGAGGTGTCCTTCAGACCGTGTGCAGAAGTGCTGTGCCTAGACGCTGGTGAGGCCGTAGGGAAGAACCAGGCTGCACAACTTCGTTGCAGGTAATGGTGGTCCCTGATGAGGCCGAGGATGCTGGTTGGCTGCGACTTGGTTACCGCTCAGCGGAGAAGTGATGAATGAGAGGGATGGCGATACGGATGACGGTGCTAATCTGCTCCGTGAAGTGAAGGTTGTTTCCAATCACGTCGGGGTCACCACTTTAGGGATCAGAGAGTATAGTTCCCTAAGATCGGAAAAGGAGGATCCTCGGACCAGGCGAGGTGATCGTGCCTGGCGGGCTTTCTGCCCAACAGTTGCTCGTTGGGATTTTCTATCCGTGTTAAATCGCTTGTAAACTTTGCATGTGCGATGTAGGATTCTTGTGACGTCATCCGTTGACATGTGGCATGTGTCGCCACATAGATATAGTGATTTTAACAGCACAGTTCCCGGTTTCGTGGGTTTTTCGGGTTAAAAACTTTTAGATGTCCTTTCCCGGGTCTCAAACTATCGCTGCACCGAATTTCACCAAATAGGTTCAATGGTTTAAAAGGTCAATGGTTTAATAGGTTCAATAGTTTCTGTCATTTTGGGATTTCCTCTCTCTTATAATGTGACCTGCAGCTGTAGCCAAATGCCATTTAGCGCTTGTCTACATGTAGAATAGAAAACCAAATTATATGGAATTGACGTAAATTTTGACACTTGTCAGTGTCATCCCCATACATTTTGATTTCTACTCTCACTGTAGACAAGCGCTAAAGTGGCTTTTGGCTAGAGGCCCTGATATGTACCGGTGCGACGTGCGTTACTATCGCAAACATTTAAATGAAAAACATGTACTTTAATGTTGATATTAATGTCCTCTATAAGACTTAATACATCCCTTGGCTCTATTGTCCATAATTTCCACAGCGTAATCAATACCAATAATATAAGGAGTTTTTTTGGTAGTTTTTCTCACATCGGGTTGTCATTACCTAAAGGAGATTTTTTTTGAGGTCGGAAAATCATCCAATCACTTCTCCCGCCTTGGGTTAGGTGAGAGGGAGTGACAGATTCTTACTGACTAAAATCCACTCCGTTCCTACTCCTGCTCGTTAGGCCTCCCGCGGCACCGTATCGAGCATCAGCCCTACTGGGCTCCATCTATGATGGTGTCATGGCTCTGTAAGGCGCGCGCCGTATGCACGGGACTGGTTCTGGTCGGGTCGCGAGCTACCCTTGCTCTTCGTCTACAGACCCGCACTTACGGTGGCCGGTGGCCGGTGGCCGGGTCCCGCGACGGCTGGGGCGTGAGGAAGTTCATTCCCTCACGCGCTCCGCTTTCTCCTTGGCAAGCATAACTGCTTCGCAGAAGGATGCGACTGCATCCCAATCCCCCTCGCTCCATGGCCTGAACCAGAGCCGAACGCGAGAGGTCACCGTTTCCTACATCCCTGAGAACACGGCGGTGCTCAGCCCATGCAAGGTACACCGCCACGGTATACTCCACCGTGTTCTCCGGGCGGTCCTTGCATTGATGGCCTCTCTAAAGCCACTTTTAAAGAGGGGACTTTCCGCTGCAATGACAGCGAGCCCAGCCCTCGGTTACCTAAAGGAGTGTTTCGCTGTGTAAGTGAGGTTACCGGAGGCCCAATTACCCCTCCCCCAGCCCCCCCAATCCCTGACAATCCTCAAATTACCAATTCCCAAAAGACCGGTAACGCACTTCTAGCACTTCTGGTGTTACAGGTGTCCATGGGCGGCGCAGATTGCTTACCATCAGGTTATCCGTCTGCTCGTTTACCGGCTTATGCCATAAACAAACAGCAAACTATCATAGTGAATTTGGCCTTGACGGTCTAAAATGAATAGGACTAATAATATTTTTAGCTATGTGCATTTAGCTAGTTTTTTGATATACATATAAAAAATACGAATTCAAGTAAACTGAAAATATTTTATTCGTGGTTTTATCTCCTTAGACTGCTGTCAACCTCTTTGCATACCTTAATATTAATACCATAGTATAAAAAAAATCTATGACACATTGACTTTGTAAACTCACTTGTCACACAAATGTCAGATGACTTAAGAAATGTATACTAATAATATAAATTTGTATGTGCTTGTTTGTTTGTTTGTCCGTATTTCACGACAGAACGGAGTCAGGAAGGTTTTTGATTTGAGATAGTTGAAAAGATGGAGAGTATCATAGGCTACTTTTTGTCTTTTTCTAACCCCCTTCCACTTCCGTGAAACAGAGGTGAAAGTTTGTATGGGGTATTTTGCAATTTTCAATGTGGAAAGCTAACAATTGGTATGCGGGTTATTTGTGACCAGCATAGAATCGTGCATCATTTCATTTTTTTATTGTAAATCCTTCCCTCACCCCATTAAAAGAACGCGAGAGAAGCCGCAGACAGAGGCTAGTCTATGAATAAATTGTATTCAGTCAATTGAATTCGTATTTTGTCTTTAAAATCCCTGATCCCTGATGCAGCTGAATACTAATATTATTCCTTGAAAACTCACAGAACTTTATTTTTATACGTTGATGCCAAAATATATTATGGAAGTAGGACGCCATAACAATTACAAATCATCAAATTGGTTACCATAATGTTACCTGTCAGATATCCGTTTTCAGGTTTTCAGATAAATCGTAATAATTATTCTTAAAAATCGACATAGTGAGTCGAAATTTCAAAAACGCTAGAACAAATGTTTTATTATTTTTTATCAAGTGCTTAAATATAAAGTTTCATGGTTTTATCTTTAAAAATTATGAAATCCCATACAACTCCCCCCCCCCCTTTTAACCCCTTACAACCCCTTTTTCGCGATAAAAAGTAGCCTATGTTTTATCTCGGGGTCTAGAATATCTGTATACCAAATTTCATTCAAATCCGTTCAGTAGTTTTGGCGTGAAAGAGTAGCAGACAGACAGACAGACAGAGTTACTTTCGCATTTATAATATTAGTTAGGATAGTACATTAAAGCGTAGGTAAGTGTTAGTATAATAAATAATCAATTTGGAGGATACGGCGCGGCATACCCTCGAAGAGTATACTGCACGGGCAGAGCTGCGTCGTGAACTCATTGCAGTACTCGGCGGGAATGATCTCTCATTGCCGACCGTACTGCGAGCTATGGCGACAGTGACAGTGCACGGGACGGAGTCGCTTCCTTCTGCGAACGTGTCATGTTGGCTAAGGAGGCGGCTGGAAGGGAGAGGAAGGCGTCCAACTCCTTCCCCTCCCGCCGTAGACGTGCCGGTCGTCAACGCTGCGAGGTGGTAGGATATGGACCCTATGGAGCCTATTGAGGTGGATAGGCCCGCGGGCGACTGACAAAGAGAGCCAGTCATCCGCTATATGGACGGGAGTAGGCTAACGCCTAACGCTAACGCGTTGTAACGCTTAATCGGTAACGTGTGGAACACCACGCGCGCCACTCGACGGAGAAAATCAGCCTGCATGGGCTGCTTTGTGGTGGGTCTTCCTGCCGCAATATAGTGGTGGTTCGAGGCCTGCTGGGTGCTGGATGGGTAGATTCCGCAAGGGCGTTCAGGGTCACGGCCACAGGCAAAGGAGGAACACCGCGATGGATAGCCGTTAAGAGTCCGGCACACCCGCGACGTGGGAAGTCCATGAAGATTTACATCGCACTATAAAAAAGAAAAAATTTCATTAATTAATAAAATTATTATTTTATTTTTAATTTACATGAAATTGAGATTTTTTGACAATTTTACTCTATGTGAGACTCGTGAGAATTTTTGTGCCGCTTTTCGGGAACTGGCACTCCATCTAGACATTATATAATCAAAAATACATTTTAAGTATTTCCGATTAAATGAAACTATACAATTGTTTTTCAATTGCAGCTATACAATGGATGGTGTTGATATTTGAGCAACACTTTATCGCGGTGTACATCCAGGAGAGAGTGCGCAAGAGTGACAGGTGAGTAGCGGACAGGGCAGTAACCAGGTACTGGCTGGCAGTGTACAGCGAGCAGTAACGAGCCACTGTCGCAGGGAGGCGGGCCGCGGCGGCCGCGTGGACCAGGGCTGGGACGCGCTCTCCGACACTCGCAACGTGCACCACCACCACGCACTGGCGCGCCACGCAGCCGCACTCGCGCTGCCCTCCATCGGTAACTGTCCCACCTCTACCCCCCACCCCCACCACCACGCACTGGCGCGCCACGCAGCCGCACTCGCGCTGCCCTCCATCGGTAACTGTCCCACCTCTACCCCCCACCCCCACCACCACGCACTGGCGCGCCACGCAGCCGCACTCGCGCTGCCCTCCATCGGTAACTGTCCCACCTCTACCCCCCACCCCCACCACCACGCACTGGCGCGCCACGCAGCCGCACTCGCGCTGCCCTCCATCGGTAACTGTCCCACCTCTACCCCCCACCCCCACCACCACGCACTGGCGCGCCACGCAGCCGCACTCGCGCTGCCCTCCATCGGTAACTGACTACCTTCCCCTCTCTCTTCCCTTCTCCCCTTCCCTTCTTTCCCACGTATGTACTGTACATGTACTGATACTGTTCTGTCCACCAGGATTCGGCTCGGTATACATGAAGCTGTGGAACATCCTTACCATGATGTCGCGGGAGCCGCACCCGCAGGTTTCACAGATGGCCAACGAAATTATTAACTACATTGCCAATCAGGTAACATATATCTTTAGGAACATGGTCTAGAGCAATCACATTATTTTTAGTATATTAGTATATAGTATTTTTGTATACCGTAGACGTTCGATAAACGTTTATCGAACGCTTACGGTAGGCAAACGCTAGGATGAAGGGGCTCTCTATCACGTCTTTCATTCTTAGAAGGACTTGGTGACCATCTTTTTGTTCTAACTTTTGTCCAGCTACACAATTAGCCTATACAATATGTACCCTATACAATAAGCAGTCAAAACAATTTTCATGGGCTAAAATGAAATGCTGTTAAATACCGAATCGGATGTTTAGTTTTATATCGAGAATTATACAGAAGTGTAGAGCGGCGCGAGCCGGCGTCGCTGCCGCCGTCGCGTCAGTAGCCGTAGTGTGTAGTACGCAGTTAGTAGCGCGGTGTGGCGGTGTGCAGGTGGACAGCGTGGGGCGCGAGCTGGAGCTGTCGCGGCGCGAGCCGGCGTCGCTGCCGCCGTCGCGTCAGTAGCCGTAGTGTGTAGTACGCAGTTAGTAGCGCGGTGTGGCGGTGTGCAGGTGGACAGCGTGGGGCGCGAGCTGGAGCTGTCGCGGCGCGAGCCGGCGTCGCTGCCGCCGTCGCGTCAGTAGCCGTAGTGTGTAGTACGCAGTTAGTAGCGCGGTGTGGCGGTGTGCAGGTGGACAGCGTGGGGCGCGAGCTGGAGCTGTCGCGGCGCGAGCCGGCGTCGCTGCCGCCGTCGCGTCAGTAGCCGTAGTGTGTAGTACGCAGTTAGTAGCGCGGTGTGGCGGTGTGCAGGTGGACAGCGTGGGGCGCGAGCTGGAGCTGTCGCGGCGCGAGCCGGCGTCGCTGCCGCCGTCGCGTCAGTAGCCGTAGTGTGTAGTACGCAGTTAGTAGCGCGGTGTGGCGGTGTGCAGGTGGACAGCGTGGGGCGCGAGCTGGAGCTGTCGCGGCGCGAGCCGGCGTCGCTGCCGCCGTCGCGTCAGTAGCCGTAGTGTGTAGTACGCAGTTAGTAGCGCGGTGTGGCGGTGTGCAGGTGGACAGCGTGGGGCGCGAGCTGGAGCTGTCGCGGCGCGAGCCGGCGTCGCTGCCGCCGTCGCGTCAGTAGCCGTAGTGTGTAGTACGCAGTTAGTAGCGCGGTGTGGCGGTGTGCAGGTGGACAGCGTGGGGCGCGAGCTGGAGCTGTCGCGGCGCGAGCCGGCGTCGCTGCCGCCGTCGCGTCAGTAGCCGTAGTGTGTAGTACGCAGTTAGTAGCGCGGTGTGGCGGTGTGCAGGTGGACAGCGTGGGGCGCGAGCTGGAGCTGTCGCGGCGCGAGCCGGCGTCGCTGCCGCCGTCGCGTCAGTAGCCGTAGTGTGTAGTACGCAGTTAGTAGCGCGGTGTGGCGGTGTGCAGGTGGACAGCGGGGCGCGAGCTGGAGCTGTCGCGGCGCGAGCCGGCGTCGCTGCCGCCGTCGCGTCAGTAGCCGTAGTGTGTAGTACGCAGTTAGTAGCGCGGTGTGGCGGTGTGCAGGTGGACAGCGTGGGGCGCGAGCTGGAGCTGTCGCGGCGCGAGCCGGCGTCGCTGCCGCCGTCGCGTCAGTAGCCGTAGTGTGTAGTACGCAGTTAGTAGCGCGGTGTGGCGGTGTGCAGGTGGACAGCGTGGGGCGCGAGCTGGAGCTGTCGCGGCGCGAGCCGGCGTCGCTGCCGCCGTCGCGTCAGTAGCCGTAGTGTGTAGTACGCAGTTAGTAGCGCGGTGTGGCGGTGTGCAGGTGGACAGCGTGGGGCGCGAGCTGGAGCTGTCGCGGCGCGAGCCGGCGTCGCTGCCGCCGTCGCGTCAGTAGCCGTAGTGTGTAGTACGCAGTTAGTAGCGCGGTGTGGCGGTGTGCAGGTGGACAGCGTGGGGCGCGAGCTGGAGCTGTCGCGGCGCGAGCCGGCGTCGCTGCCGCCGTCGCGTCAGTAGCCGTAGTGTGTAGTACGCAGTTAGTAGCGCGGTGTGGCGGTGTGCAGGTGGACAGTGGGGCGCGAGCTGGAGCTGTCGCGGCGCGAGCCGGCGTCGCTGCCGCCGTCGCGTCAGTAGCCGTAGTGTGTAGTACGCAGTTAGTAGCGCGGTGTGGCGGTGTGCAGGTGGACAGCGTGGGGCGCGAGCTGGAGCTGTCGCGGCGCGAGCCGGCGTCGCTGCCGCCGTCGCCGGGCGCGCGGGCCCCCGCGTCGCCGGCGCCGGCGTCCCGCCGCGCCGCGCGCCTGCCGCACGCCGCCTCCGAGGACTCCGTGCCGCACCGCGACCGGGACTCCACCTCGTCCAACTCTAGTCAGTATCGCACCATAGTTGAATGTCGTCGACGTGAAGCGTATGCAATAACGAGTCGCGGTGCAGGTCAGCCGGTGAAGAAAGCCATAGTGACGACGCAGTTCGTGGAGTGGGCGGCGGCGCAGTTCGCGCGCGCGGAGGGCGGCGAGGGCGCGGAGGACGTGGAGAGCCGCGCGCAGCACGAGCGCGCGTGGCGCGCCGCACGCAACCATCGCCTGCGCGCGCACGCTCAAGGTACTTCCTCGCCAAGCTCACTCTGCTCTCACTCCAATTGACAACATTTCCAATTTCATAATGGCATGAAACAAACATACCGTCTGTCCATTTTTATGTAAATTTCCAATATATTTTCTACTAACTTTTGCCAGCGGCTTCGCCCACGTTCCCGGGGGTAACAAGTAGCCTATATATACTTTGGACCATAATCCACCCCTGCTCCTTTCATCCCGGTCCCGTCAGCCTGAGTTTTTTGCGACTGCGTAACAAAAATACGCACAAACATGCAAATTCACAAACTCACAAATTTTCTAATCACATTTTTGGGTTCAATCGGTCGGTGTCTGTCTAGTAACATTTTTTTGTTTGTTCACCGGTCACTCCGTCATTTGTGAACCGATTTCAAAAATTATTGTTTTGTTTGCATATATGTTTGGTATACTCTTGAGAGGGTCCCATTTCCCTGTGGTCAGGATCTAACGATGGAATCCTAGGGAAACCGAGAGGAACTTTTGAAAATTGTAGGGGCGACTATTATGTTTTTCTATTATGATTTTAAAACACTACATTTTGGATAGAGTCTGGAGGCGACCTGATGATGGAGCCGACAGTCAGTCGAGGGAACTCCTCAACGGTTTATATTAACTACCTTGTGTTTGGGCTTGATTGATTTGTATTGATTAGAACTTCGCACCTATGTGGATAATAAGTGGTAAAACGGGTCTATGTAGGTATTTTTTGCTCTTTAGTTTTTACTTGTTGATTGTTATTAGTTTTTAGTTCGATCCATTAGATAGATCAAGTAGTCCGTTCGATCGATAGATCGAGCGTTGAAACAACACCTTACAATTATCACTTTCCTATTTATAATATGTATTAGTAAGGATGTATAGATAGATAAGCTTTGCAGCTAAGCTATCAGGCGTTGCACGTGTTATATTATGCCGCAACCATAAACGATAGACATATTATTATGCTGTCGTGGGATATTTTTTATATAATTTTGAGGAAAATATTTCCGTCATACATGATTTCTGTGTAGCTTTAACCATTAAGGTTGCACACGAGACGGAAGTTTAAAAAATGGAGTCTCTTCTTCCGTTTTCCCAACATTTTCATTTCCTTCTTTGCTCTGCTCTTATTGATTGTTGCGTGATGAGAAGTGTACTATAATCAGCAGAGGAATTTGAAAAATAATTGTTTCGTTAAAATCCGTCGACTAGTTTTTGTTTCTATAACGGTTTATACAGACAGACAATCGACTAAAATCTGGAATTTTGATAAAAGTACTTCAAAGGCCGATATCTTGAGACCGGCCAAGTTTGGGATATGGGGTTCCTTAAATAAATCGGTCAGGAATGATGCATACTACCACCTTTTAAAGGATTTAGGTCGACTTAACCTATAAAACTTTATATTGTTGTGATACCTTTCAGATAGAAGTAGTCTGCACCGTGGTGGAGTGGGTTTATTTTGCCCACTGTCCTTTGCATTCATTATTATAGTATTTGCATTTTGTATTAATAATAACATGGCGCCATACTTGTAAAATAATAATGTGACACGATATAGCATAGAGCCGGTATCGAAGGCAGTAAGTAAGGGGTGTTCGTTAAACCGCCGCCAGGGCTGAGCGCGGCGCGCGTCCCGCGGCTGGAGACGGCGGCGTTCCACTCGCGCTGCCCGCTGCCGGCCGGCGTGCTGCAGTTCCACCCCTTCGAGCAGCACGCCGCCGTGGCCTTCCGCCACAACTTCGGCGTGTGGGACTGGGGCACGGCCGCCAAGCTCTGCGTGGGCGCCTGGCAGCCCGCCTGGGGCCGCATCACGGCGCTGGCCTACCTCAACGCGCACGCGCACGCGCTGCTGGCCGTGGCGGGCCACACGGGCCAGCTGGCCGTGTACCGGCCCGGCGCCGGCGCCGCGCAGCCCGCGTTGCTGGCGGCCTGGCGCGCGCTCGACACCAGCGCCGCGCCCGCCGCCGCCGACTACCGCCCGCCGCCCGCGCAGGCCGTCTACAGTGAGTTTCTAGTATATTCATACTTTTCATGACAAACTTCCATGCAGGTTGCCATTTATCCACAGTTACGTGAATGTGCTGGTAGTATTTGATGTTTTCAACGTGCTTGGGTCTTTTTCAGTCCGATTTGAACATTGATATACAAAGATATAGAGAATTTATGATGAACTAAATTTGAGAAATTGCAATTACTGGTTTCTAGTAGTCATTTTTGTTCTGTAACGTACAAAAGCTAAGTAAATTACTCTTGCACAGTGACGTTCTATTTGGATTCTTCATTACAAAAGATGAAGTGAAAGCCAAATTGCCGTAAGGCTCAATATTTCTTGTAAATGGGGTCTCTACACCTCACGTACAAAATACACGTAAAAATGAGAAAATTAAAGATTATACAAGGTTAGGACCGAAACCAATGAAGTAAATAAGTTCATAAAAGTGCTCACTTAATAGCATTGACGCATAAACGCATCCCAATTCACTGCAGCTCAAAATATTCCACGAGAGGAGATAAGCCTTCTGCCATACACCGGGTACAACATCAAATCATGCTATTCCTAAGAATTAATAAATAAATAAATAAATTTCTAATAATATTTCTTTAACACGTTAAGCCCCAGGGGGTCACCGGTGACCGGCGTTAGCGGAGGATTTACCTTCAACAGGTTTTTATTGGCAGTCAAAGTCTTAAATGAATTACGGCGCACAGGTCTGGCGCAGTTGGTGTCGGAACAGTTCGCTTCGTCTGAGGACCGGCAGGCCAGCAACCGGACCAAGCAGGACGCCAGCCGTGAGTACCACTGTCACCCATACCCACACGCCGCTAACCGTGCGTACCACTGCCACCCATACCCACACGCCGCTAACCGTGCGTACCACTGCCACCCATACCCACACGCCGCTAACCGTGCGTACCACTGCCACCCATACCCACACGCCGCTAACCGTGCGTACCACTGCCACCCATACCCACACGCCGCTAACCGTGCGTACCACTGCCACCCATACCCACACGCCGCTAACCGTGCGTACCACTGCCACCCATACCCACACGCCGCTAACCGTGCGTACCACTGCCACCCATACCCACACGCCGCTAACCGTGCGTACCACTGCCACCCATACCCACACGCCGCTAACCGTGCGTACCACTGCCACCCATACCCACACGCCGCTAACCGTGCGTACCACTGCCACCCATACCCACACGCCGCTAACCGTGCGTACCACTGCCACCCATACCCACACGCCGCTAACCGTGCGTACCACTGCCACCCATACCCACACGCCGCTAACCGTGCGTACCACTGCCACCCATACCCACACGCCGCTAACCGTGCGTACCACTGCCACCCATACCCACACGCCGCTAACCGTGCGTACCACTGCCACCCATACCCACACGCCGCTAACCGTGCGTACCACTGCCACCCATACCCACACGCCGCTAACCGTGCGTACCACTGCCACCCATACCCACACGCCGCTAACCGTGCGTACCACTGCCACCCATACCCACACGCCGCTAACCGTGCGTACCACTGCCACCCATACCCACACGCCGCTAACCGTGCGTACCACTGCCACCCATACCCACACGCCGCTAACCGTGCGTACCACTGCCACCCATACCCACACGCCGCTAACCGTGCGTACCACTGCCACCCATACCCACACGCCGCTAACCGTGCGTACCACTGCCACCCATACCCACACGCCGCTAACCGTGCGTACCACTGCCACCCATACCCACACGCCGCTAACCGTGCGTACCACTGCCACCCATACCCACACGCCGCTAACCGTGCGTACCACTGCCACCCATACCCACACGCCGCTAACCGTGCGTACCACTGCCACCCATACCCACACGCCGCTAACCGTGCGTACCACTGCCACCCATACCCACACGCCGCTAACCGTGCGTACCACTGCCACCCATACCCACACGCCGCTAACCGTGCGTACCACTGCCACCCATACCCACACGCCGCTAACCGTGCGTACCACTGCCACCCATACCCACACGCGCTAACCGTGCGTACCACTGCCACCCATACCCACACGCCGCTAACCGTGCGTACCACTGCCACCCATACCCACACGCCGCTAACCGTGCGTACCACTGCCACCCATACCCACACGTCGCCAGCCGTGCGTACCACTGCCACCCATACCCACACGCCACCAGCCAAGAGTACCACTGCCACCCATACCCATACATACGCCTACACTACTGTCACATGCCGCCGTATCGTTCGTGTGCAGGAACGCTAAAGGGTTGGTCATGTCGCTAATGTTCATGTTTTCTAACTACTTGCCATCCGTGAGTCACAAGTAAATACCAGCGCGGGCCCTGTCTCGCGCATTCTGAACTCGCACCCATTCTAGCACAGGTTTGGGACATGTATGTACCCACACACGCCACGCCATCATGCGGTACTTTGGACCGTGTCTCTGGATCTGTGTGAGAATGAATGTTTTAGTTTGTTTATGGGTAGGCAGCTCGTAGGGCAGTAATGTGTGTGTCCGTGCAGTGGGCGCGGCGTACCCCGCGCCGCCCGGCACGCTGCTACGCTGGTGCGGCGTGCGGCGCTCGCTGGCGCTGGCCGGCCGCTCGGCGCGCCTGCGGCTCTGGGACGCCGAGGCCGAGCTGCTGCAGGCCGACATCCCCACCGAGAGCGACGCCGCCGCCACCGCGCTGTGGCGCGCCGACGACCTGCTGCTGGCCGGCTTCGGCGACGGCAGCGTGCGCGCCTGGGACGGCCGCGGCGCGCGCGCGCCCGCCTGGCGCCTGGCGCCGCACGCCGCGCCCGTGCTGGCCGCCGCGCACCGCGCCGACCGCTGGCTGCTGCTCACGGGCGCCAGCGACGGCGAGCTGCGCGTCTACGACACGCGCAAGATGGCGCCGCTGGAGCAGCTGCGCGCGCCGGCGCCGCTGGCCGCCATCGACGTGCACCCGCTGTGCGACCTGGTGGCGTGGTGAGTAGTGCGCCCGGTGGCGTGGTGAGTAGCGCGCCCGGAGGCGTGGTGAGTAGCGCCTCGCCCGGGGCCCGCTGACGGTTGGTTCGGTTGCAGTGGCTCGGTCAACCAGAGCATCAGCATCTACGACCTCAAGGGCACGCCGCTGAACACGATCAAGTTCCACGAGGGCTTCATGGGCGCGCGCATCGGGCCGGTGTCGTGCCTGGCCTTCCACCCGCTGCGCTGCGCGCTGGGCGTGGGCTCGAAGGACTCGACGGTGTCGGTGTACGTGGCGGAGGCGCGGCGGTGACCCTCGCTGTACAGCCTGGCGCTGCCCTTCCACTGACCGCAGGTAGCATTGATGCCGTTTGTGAAGATTTAGGTATTATTGTATTTTAGTTTTTTTTTGTGTCATTGACTAGTTATTGGTTACATGCATCGATGTCTTACCCTATAGACACCTCATTGCCTGATTTCTATCATTTCGTTTTAATAATCCTACTGTATACATAAGAATCCGTGGGATCTGGAGGCGAATATGCTCGCGCGCGTGTATCGCATGCCTGCCTGTCGGCTCCATCATAAAGTCGACTCATAAAATTTTACTGTTTCAAAATCTTTATTGAGAAACATAATAGACGCATTACTCACCCCTACAATTTTCGAAAGTTCCCCTCGGTTTCCCGTGGATTTCATCATCAGATCGTAACCTCATGAAAATGGGACCCTATCGGGAGTACATACATATAACATATACATATAACCTTTCAAACAAAACAAGAATTTTGGAAATCGGTTCACAAATGGCAGAGTAATCGGTGAACAAATTAAAAAAAATCAGCCGAACATAGTACATCCTCCTTTTCTTGAAGTCGGTTAACACAAAAAAATAAGATTAAAATTTTACGGGCTAAGTATCGACCTTAAACCATGCTTTTTGCAACACCGATTAAGTGGTGTTTACGTTGATCAGTATTTCACAAGTTGGGTATATTATATGTAAGAATATTGTTTCATTTCATGTCATCTATACCATCCACCTACGTATGCGTTTGTTCTGAAGGAAGCGAGGAGTCGTGTAGAAGGTGGAGCGGGTGCAGCGACGCAGTGGTCCGTGTAGCGCGTGTATATATAGGGCGGCGGGCGCAGCGCCTGGCCGTATTCACGAGTAAGCTGCTTATCAAACTGCGCTATCATTGTATAGGTACTCTATACAGACTGTATTACATGTTGTTTTCGTTTCGTCATATTATTTGTCTTGTGATTTACATAAAGTTCCTAAGACTCAATAATGACTAGCTGCCATTTTGTTAAATTAGGGTTTTGTTCACTACGTAATAAGTTTTAGAATTCGTTTGTGGTTTAGATTCTAATATTAAATAATAATATGGCCAAGTGTTATTGACTGTAACTTGACCCATAAATATATGCCGCCACGAAGTGAGAGGTGCCGGCCGGTAGCTATAGCGTTTAAGTGATATAATGAGCATTTACCTGATGTAATGATGAATATTTTGTAAATGATTAATGTTAATTTTCATTGAACAAAGATTGTTAATATTGGAAATAAGTAAATCAGAATTCACTTATGAAATGTGTGGCCATAGAAAACTATAGTTATTATAAGCGATTGTCACCAGTTGTGATCAAACCTCAACATTGTCAATATGATGAACAAACACACAAGTTGCCAATCGGTTGTTGAATATATTATTGCATTTTGTCTACAAAGTGATCGATTATGCTTTTACATATGAACTATGTAATTTAAATGTACATTTTACATAATAATAATTGTTGTTGTTAAAATAAAATATAATTAAAATTTGAGTGTATAAATATTTTATCCTATATCAGAAGTCTTAAACTTCACGGTTCGCGTCGCTCTAAGTCATTCCAATGCCCGCTATATCTGACAACTCTGTACGATGCCAGGTTTGACGGCGTCGGCCACGTTCCCTTTTCCCCTGGGGATTCCATTCCAAGGCTTGCGTGGGTATGTGGTCGGCCCCCTTCGAATTGTGTGACCAATCCGTCCCCACTAACGGGGTTATTGACATAGCGGTTAAAGAAAATTTGGCCTTAGTGACCTTCCACGGTTCGCACCCATAGAGCACCACGGATTTGACATTGGATCCGAAGATTTTAAGTTTAATTCTTCTGGTCAGTTTCCGTGATTGCTAAACGGATTTCGGCTGTGTGAAGGTAGCTAGAGCTTTGTTAACGGGTCATCCATAAATTACGTCACACGAATTTCATGATTTTTTTGCCCCTCCCCCGTCCTTGTCACAGCTAGTCACATTTGTGAGGACCCCCTAGTGTGACGTCACATTTTGCAGAATTACGTACCTATGTATAAAAATTATTGAATGGAAACAGCGGTTCCGAAATCAATTTTATTTCCATTTAAATTACTTTAAAAAAATATTAATACCAAATGAAACAAAACAAAACACATTTTTCATTTTTTCGTTTTTTATTAGTTTTTGAAATGTGACATCACAAAGTTTGGGATCGATCCCTACCTCCCCCTTGTCATAGTATAAAGAACACAGTAGGTTATCTAAGGCCGCCCGCCGAGTTATTAGCCTACTCTTGCGTTGATCCCCAGGGTTGTCACTTTTACTTTTTGTTAATATTTTCGAACAAGCAGCACTTGATCTAAATTTATGAAATTAAAAGCATATTATATTTGAATATTTTATCAATTTATAAATATAAAAAGCTTATAAAAAGATTATTAACTTCTTAAAATAAACTTTAGCTCTATACATAGTATTCAGAAAGTAAATTTGGGAATACCTTTATATGGAAAAATGCGACACGGCCACGCTCTTAACAAATCAGATAAACTGTGAAATAAACAATACAATACCACATTTTCTTATAATATTTAAGTATAGTAGTTAGTAGGTAATTCGTCTTTCTGGTTGAGTAGGAACTATGAAGAATGATAAGAGTAAGAATAAGTAAGTAGGTATCTCATCATCAAGTACCTACAAATTATATTATGCTAGAAAAAGTGACTAGCTTACCTTTCCTGTTCAATAGGTACCTACTTAATCTGAACAGAGACTTTTCTGGAATCGATTAATTATTAAGACACCCAAACACACAGCAATACGTTCTTCTACGGTTATCAGACATTTTTTATTTCATTTAACAGTGCCGAAAAGTGATGCGCGCGCGAACCTCGTGCAGTGTTAGCCCTGCCTGGCGCACTGAGAAACGGGTCGAGATTTTGTTAAAGTGTGCGTGCGTCGACGCATAGATACTATGGCGCACACATATAAGCCGCGCGCGGAGCATTTGTATGAAGATAACCTACTTTGTTCTTTATACTATGCCCTTGTCACACAAGTCACACTTCGTCGAGCCCCTCCCTACCCCTTAACGTGTGACGTAACTTATGGACGGGCCCTAATCTGAGGAGAAAAGTCCAGTTTACAGCTTCACAATTTCCAGTCTCAGATGCTTTGTGGGCGCATACTGCTGCCTCTGCAATAAATAAGCAACAGTTTGTTGTTCGCCAGATCTCATCTCTTTCTTCTTTAGTCTTCTAGATGTTCTTATTTCATGCTTATGAATGAATAAAACGGTTTATTTCTGCCATTGTACATAGTTTACACTACAGATCTCTAGATACAAACCAAGCCACTGGGATGCTACAAGGTAAACCTCGATTATTGAGATTAAAGTCCAGAAATAACAAATTTCAACATATATGTGTGTAGTGTGGGTGCATAAACAGATGCAGTCTCCACCCAGCCCAGTTTACAATCTGATATGGAGCCGCAAAGGACTTAATGTGTTGCCAGGGCTCCGGCTCAATGGGCAAGAGTAGGAATGGGGTGAATTTAGTGAGTAAGAGTCTTGACACTCCCTCCCAGAAAATACCTACATTTATATGTGTATGATGTTAAAGAATAACAAAGCAGTCCATTTGCAGCCGCTTTGAATTCTCTGCTGTAAATATAGTACCTAGGTGAAGTTAACAATAAATATGTTCAGTCATACATAAGATTAATGGTGGTGTGCTCGCGGTGTTTGACAGTTTAAATTGATTGAAACAACAAATTATTTGAGTCAATTTAATGAGTTACAAAACTTTTAGTTACCATTCTACTAACAATTATGTCGGTTAATTCTGCATTTTTCTCCAAAGTATTCAATTTATACTGGTTATTTAAATTCTTCATGGAAGTGAACTTTTTTAAATCACTTATAGATGTAAATTCACCTTCAATTTGCGATAAAATCTCTGTGCTGGTATCTAAAGCTTCAGTAACCAAAAAGCATAATAACAAATTGGTGTCTTTTTCTATACCAAATCGGGACAAACTTTGTGTGATGTTTTTTGTAATAGATAAATTATACAATATCTCAGAAAAAACAGTTCTTGTAACCATTGTATTATGTTTCTCAGACAAAACGGCTTTGTTAGCTGCTACTGCAACTTGGAATGGGTCAATAATTAATTCTGGTTTGATTGCTGAACATTTCCAAACTCCCTGTATGATATTATTTCTTATCACTTCTGCATTACGTACGTTTTCGAATAAATAAATCTTTAAGGTTGTTTTTGTGTCCGGATCTAATTCAACAATGTATGGCTCTGGCGTCATTGTTTGTGTGAGTCTTGTTAATAGGTTTTAAATTCATAAACACTTCTTTTCGATTAAAGAGTTTCCATTAATTAAAACAATTTTTAACAGAGATACGTAACGTAGGTATCTAATTGCTCGTGATCGTAATCGTCAAGTAATCGTAAACTAATCACATGTCATGTCAAGCCTCCATGTGTCAAACAAAACCAAAAAACTTGCTTCAAAACTGTGAACGTCAAGTTTTATTGTGTAAAATATCAGTGTTGCCTACTTTATTATAAGGAAGGATCGTAAAACAGAAAAAAAATGTACATAACAACTTGTGTCTTTTAATCATCTTTTAATTAATAGCAATACTTGATGAAAGCACATTGAAAATGTTAGCATCAAAGAGTCTAGTAAGTATAGGGGTTAACATTGAAATTTGAAACTGCTGCTGTGAATGGCTGTGATCAACTTTGTTTTGCGAATTGAATTGAAAAAATTGGAAACGACCCGTTTTAAAAATAATAGGATATTTTGATATATCGACATCTCCTCAGAAACAAGGACGTTGAAAAGTTTTTAAAAAGGCGGACAAGATGTCACTTAAAAATTATTGTAGCAACAAATATGTTACCGCTGGTTACCAATGAAAATGACTGATGTCCTTCGTGTCAATGTGTATAATGTTCTCCTTAGAAGTCTATAGTAACCAGGTACAGTCACTGTTTCAAGAGACTGTGTCTCGTAATCCACTACCGGATACTATGAATTAAAGTATCAAAGAACATCGACTCTAACTAAAACAACATGCAGTTTTTAATATCTTTTTTTTAACGTTACGTGACCTCTTAATATCAACAATGACAACTTCACCTTTTTATCTCGTTTAGTGTTCAAAAGTAGGTACCTTAAACAGGTAGGTAAACCCTGGAAGTATGCATCAAATTGAATAGGGGCATAAAGGAGGTCGTTCCCTAACTTTGTGCTCTAGAAATGGGGGTTCGATTCGTGATGGTTCAAAAGTTATGGCCTGTTTTCAGTTTTCTCAGTGATTTCCCAATCTGCTTAAAAACCGGTCACAATAAATCATTCCTGTTATTTAAGAAAGATCCAATTCCTTGATTTTGGATTCAATAGTTAAAAGTGAGTGACGGCCAGCCGGACGGTTACTATACGCACTGTGCGATTCAGTCTGCGGCTGCCCACCACTGAGTTGGTGCACGTGGTACGTCTGGTAAAATGGAATTCGATGCTTTTTTTAAGGCGAGGAAATCATCGGATGACTGCTCCCGCCTGGGTGAGGCGGGAGGGAGTGTCAGACTCTTACTGACTAAAAACCACCCCATTCCTTCTCCTGCACGTCGAGCCGGAGACCGGTTACCCGTTAGATTCTCCGCGACGAATTCGATGCTTGCTCTCATCTCTTGTTTGCAAATAAGGATGCACCCAGTACTTCTTTCTTTGTTTTTTCTTCTTTATGTAACGTGTGTAAATGTAGTATGCAGCTGCCCGCGATCCGGCTGCCCGCATTCGCAACCGCATCCTGCGGTCAGCCGGACTGCTGCGCAATGCGGCTATCCGCATAGTGCATATGAACCCTTTGGACATGACCCGTCATTGCACTTCATACATTACGGTGTTGCAAGTCCACGCAACATAAATGCACCACTGTCATTTTGGTGCTTCAATCATTTCTTTTTTCAACGGCCAGAATAGTCCCTGTGCTTATTACTCTTTGCCGGAATAGCAATTATGTTTTCAAAGTGTTGTCTATTTCTGCTTAGTCAAAAAAGAACAACGGTATGTTTATTTTACCATCGAAAATACATCTTAAATTCTGCCCATAGACAATAATTTAAAATTAAAATCTACGTATTTACATCTATGCTTGAGACTATGCTAATAAACAAAAGTTGTCAAGTCATTATTTATCTATATAGGTGTATTCTCTTTGGTCACTATCTCTAGATTAAGTTTGACGTTGACAGAGTTTGAACAAGTCGTGTAAATGTAAATATTTGTTTGTAGCATGTTGCATTACATTGAACATTTGCTATCTCACAGTGATAAGATAGTTCAAGAATAAAATTGGTTATCGTGCCATATGAGAAATAGCAACTAGATAATATTGTAGTTAAAAGTTAAGACTTCTTATTTTCTTGTAACTAATTTAAGTAAAAATGTTGTTTCCAAAGTTGTTAAGATACAATTCCATATTAAAGAATAAGGGAATCCGTTTATTCGCGACTAACACGCAACAGCAAACAGAGAATGTAAGCCCTGTAGTGTATGAGAAGTTATTGGGAACCGACAGAGGTATTGCATTATATGGGTTACACAGTCCCAAAAATCGCAATGCATTGAGTTTCAATATGATCGAAGCTATGAGAGAAGTCAACCAATTGATCAGAGAGGACACCAAAATATCTGTAGTTATACTTCACAGCATGGTTCCTGGGATATTCTGCGCCGGTGAGATTTGTCAACTATTACCACTGGCTTCTTCCTGGCTTTTTCCCGTTCATCATTTTCGGTAAAATGTAAAAAATGAGTATTGGATAAAAGTGTCCTATGTTCGTCTCCTGGTTTTAATCTACATTTCCACCACACTTCATCCAAATCGATTTAGTCTTTCTTGAGTTATAAATAGTGTAACTAAAACTACTTTCTTTTATGTATGTATATAGATTACTAATTACTATAATTACCTAAATTTTGTAAACTACTATTCTGAACATTCTTATATAGGTACCTCATTATACAACCAGGAAAAACAAACCTATCTGTGCAGATTGATCTCTTGACACAGTTACTGTATGAAACACAAATATATGTTTGTCGAATGTTAGGTTGCTCGCAGTGGAGTTAGCATTGTAACTGTGGGGCCGATGGTTGAAATTAGCTTGAAGTGATATTATTAATGCAAAAATATTTGAGTTTGTGTGTATGTCTGTTACTCAGTCACATCAAAACGGCTGAAAGGACCGGGATGGAATTTGGAACAGAGGTAGATTATGGTCTGAAGTAATACATAGGCTACTTCTTACTCCTGGGAATGTGGGCAAAGCGGTTGGTAGAAGCTAGTACATAATATTACAAGTCAAATGTGTATATAAATTCTTTGTTATAAAGATCTAGGCATACAAGAATAGGTATGTAAAAATCATAGTAATTGGCGTTCCTTAGTCTCTGCCTACCCCCATGGGAGACAGGCGTGAAGTTATGTATATATGTATGTATCTAGGCATACATGAGATCCAGGGATGTTAGGGAGCTCCATAACCGTAATCGAAACTATTGGATATCCGATATAAGAAAATAACCGTAACTGAATCCGAAATAAAAGTTTTGGATACTATCGGAAGTATCGGATAGGAGGCGTGACGTATAAATGAGGTTCGATTCCCGTACGGAGCAACTCTGTATGATCCACAAATTGTTGTTTCTGGTGTGGGTGTCACATTCCCATGTGTAAAATTGTAGCCTTATTTTTTAAGGGGGAAAATCATCGAATGACTGCTCCCGCCTGGGTGAGGCGGAAGTGAGTGTCAGACTCTTACTGACTAAAAACCACCCCGTTCCTTCTCCTGCACGTCGAGCCGGAGCCTCAGTTACCCGTTAGGTTCTCCGCGACTCCGAATCGGCATCGGCCCTATTGGGCCCCATCTGTGGTGGTCTGATGGCTCTTTGAGGCGCGCGCGGAACGCGACGCGCCGTACGCTCGGGTCTGTTTCTGGTCGGACGGGGAACCCATGCTCGCCGTCCGCAGGCCCGCGCTTACGGTGGCCGGAGATCGTCCCGCGATCCCCGACGCCCGTTGCGAGGAGGCAGCGCTTCGCTGCCTCACACAGGTACCTCCCAAAACTTCCATGTCCGGTGAGGATCTGCGTCAGGCTCTAGGTGAGGACGCCGTAGCGTCTCTCAAGCCACTCCTCAAAGAGGGGACTTACCGCTGCAATGGCAGCGAGCCCAGCCCTCGGTTGCGACAGTCGCTGTTGCCATTCCGCCATGAGATCACGCCGGAGCTCATCCCGCCACGCACTTATCTGGCGCGGCAGCGGAGTTTCGCCACGGCGACGTGCCTCCGCGTGCATGCGATACACGCGCGCGAGCACCTTCGCCTCCAGATCCCACGGCGGTAATCCGGCAAGGAGGTTCGCCGACTCCCCAGAGATCGTGCGGTATCCGCGGATCATTCGGATCGCCATGACCCTCTGTGCCATAAGCAGCGCCGGAGCGGGCCGCCGCATCAGGTTCGGCGCCCAAACAGGGGTGCCGTAGAGGGCCATGGACCGCACGACCCCGGCGTATAACCTCCGGCAGGAGGCGTTTGGCCCCCCAAGGTTGGGGAGGATGCGCTTAAACGTAGCCCCCGCCCTCGCCAACTTTGGAGCCAAACGTCGGAGAAAAAAAACATTGTAGGCTTACGGTCACCAGTTAACCACACACTTAACAAACACGGCTCCGATATGGCGTTTTTTGCTTTGGAAACAATACAAAAAGCTTTTTTATATTGACATTATAAAATATGTCATAGGACATACGATTTACAGTTCATAATTTTAATGACCAGTTAATTACCGGGTTGGAGCCTTGCTTGGCTCCGGCCAAGCTTGTTAGGTGTGCGATGACCTTTATAAACGCAACGAAGTTATATTCTCTTTGAACGCACCCACAACACCGGAGCAAATCATACTTTGTTTGCCTTTAGCTGCTCTAGTAAACAATTAACTTGAATGTTAAACACTTAACAGGTGCCGATTTGAAGGAGCGATTCAAAATGTCTGATGATGAAGTTGCCAAGTTCGTCAAAGGACTCCGAGCAACATTTATAGAAATTGAAGACCTGCCCATGCCAACAATCGCGGCTATAGAAGGTGTAGCTGTGGGAGGTGGCTTGGAGCTGGCCTTAGCATGTGACATCCGAGTTGTGGCTGAAACAGCCAAGTTAGGGCTCGTTGAGACTGGTCGGGGTCTTATCCCTGGGGCGGGGGGTACCCAGAGATTGCCCAGAGCTGTCAACATCAATATTGCCAAAGAACTTATTTACACTTCAAGAGTAGTCACTGGCAAGGAAGCAAAGGAATTAGGTTAGTGTCGACACATGGCAGTCATGGCTGACAATACACTTGGTACGTAGTTCAGTATTAATGTTTCCTGAATTAATTAATAATGTACCATAATTTGCAGGCGTCGTCAATCACGTAGTGCCACAGAACACCGCGAACAATGCAGCTCTAGAAAAGGCTTTATCTTTGGGGAGGGAGATAATACACAATGCACCAATTGCTCTCCGTTGCGCCAAGCAAGCCATCAATGAAGGAATACAACTCAGTATCAAGGATGGTTATGAAGTCGAGCAAAAATGTTATGAGATAAACATACCCACGAAAGATCGCAAGGAGGGTATGATCTCTTTCATTGAAAAGAGAAAACCAATTTACGAAGGCCATTAGAATATAATTAATTGGGTTATTGGGAAATCTAAGAGTTGGTATATGGTTGATGGTATAATAAAATGGCTGTAATTTGTTAGTCAAGAACATTTGTTGGTAATCAGTAAGCTACATAATGAACGTTGCCAATTCCGTCGTATCCTAACGAATTGGTAATGATAAATGTGATAAAAATATTCAGTACTGTCTTGTTGTGTAATGTTTCACGCACATAAATTATTCTGTTATAATGTTTAATATCTGTTACGAATCGGGTCACCTGTTGGAACTTAGAACCTACAAATAAATTGCGGGTGAATGAGCAACGACCGTCTGTCTTGATTATAAAATAATAATTCAGGTAAAATGTTGCTATATGTACAATGTACATATTTTTATATTACGCATAATTTATGATTAATGTTGTACTAATCTACCTTATAGATAGTCACTAATGAATGCAATGTAATAAATCTTAAATAATTGTGTATGTATAACATATATTATAATAATATATTTTTATAATCTTGTAGAATTTATATCATTAGATCTATATACTAACTTGTATATAAATCTTCAGAACGAATACATTGGTTCGAATTTAAAAATTTTGTGTTGTATACTCCTTTTATTGAGGCAGGCATAGGCTATTAAACATCACGCTACGATTAATAGGAGCCGAGCAGCGGTTAAAACCCTGTTATCTATACTTATAATATATTTATAATAAATGGACAAAAAATGTTGGTAACATGGCTCAAGGCCCGGCCCGACCCGACCCGACCCAGCATATCGCAATTCATTAACTAATTAAATACTTAATGAATTCGTATGTTGTATTTAACTACCTATTTTGTTTTGATTATGTTTGCGAAGTTGTTCTACATCGTAGGTTACAAACCTCGATTTTTAATAGGTACCTTCAGATCTTAATTTTCAACTAGCTTTCTAATAAAGAAATAATGACAGTAGTTTCAGTGCCTTTAGGGTAGGTATGGTTTAAAACAAACAAAAAGAACTTTATCTTTATATCAATTTTACAATAAAATTATATCATCAGGTTATTATAGGTCAGACATTACTATTGGTATCATCTTGTACTTATCTCTTATAATTCAGAGAGTAGCTAATTAGGTAGTACTGTACATTGTTTGATTAAACCTTATTTGACAACTTTTAAAATAATGTCCTCCCTGTAACAATTTTGTAATATGTACATAATTATTATAGAACAAATTGAATGCATCATAAAATATAAATAACAGTGTAAGGAATCATTGATATTTATGTAATAATTTTATTGAATATTGAGGCTCCTAACTACTTGTTCTTTGGTGTCATCTGGAGATGTAACTTTGTGACCAACTGTCCGTGGGTCATTGTAAATCTCATAGTCATTACCACCAGCCATTGTTTTATCTCCAAAAAAGTGTATTTGTTCAAAATGTTGGTCTGCTACATGATTTAGGCAGTAAGTCTTGTCCCAGCCTGTAGGGAAGACGTCCACACTGATTTGTCCTCCGAGTGCAAATGTCAAACCTGAACCTTCAAATTCAGTTTTTAATGAATCAACAAATTTTTGTCTTATAGAATGGATAGAGTCATACTTTACAAACTCATCTCGCTCAGCCTGGCTGCAGGACCGTCCCACAGGGCAAATATTAATCATGCTTGATCTGAACTCAACAAAGTTACCACGCTTAGCTGGTAGCTCGATCTTAGACATATATCCAAGTGAGAAATTGATAACTCTTTGTAACAACTTCTCTCCGAGATGACTCAGGATACTTTCAGAGCTGATCAGCTTGCCATTACGATAATAAACAACACCATTCTCACAAAAAACGTAGTCGAACTTAGCTGCCACTTCCGCCCCATCCATTTGTTCAGCTATTTTAGCATAATCGGATCCACTGACAAGTCCCACAGTCACTTTTGATTTTACATCATCTAACAAAAACTTTTTCAGTTCCTCTGTTATAACCTGCCGCGGTTTAGTAAGGGTACCATCTACATCAAAAAGATACAAAATTGATTTCCGGCTAGTCATGTTATCGAAATACAAGAAGACCTCTAGTAGGCAATAAAAATCTATTCAAATTTTGGAGGCTATTTGTAAAGCCGGTCTTATGTAGGGCACTAACTCAGCAGCACGCTACTTCCCGTCTACCACTTCTACCACTGTGGTACCGTATAACCGTACTTAGAAAGCGAACCGCGCCAACACTTTAGTGGAAGTGGACACGTCACAGTCAAATATCTGCCAGTTATCAGCTGACAGCCGCGAGGGTGGCGGAAAACATGGCGTACGAATCGAGTACTGTTTACACCCTGATAATTTACTTCTTTATCACTGATACCGTATTATCTGATAAAGCTACTAAACCTGGAAATGTTCTTATACTTTTGGGTGAGTTAAAAATCATATTACAGTGCTGTAAGTTATAAGGCCGTGGCCGTTTATATTATACGAGTACGAGTCATTCGTGTTATCACACAATCAGTTTGACATTGACACTGACAGACACAGAAAGTGACAGACAGCTGTGTATACGTGGTGGTTTTAAGTCTATTGCCCATAATGACCAATGAATAAAAGCGGACTTGCCCTAATACAAAAAACGTAGTTAGACAAATACAATGCAATGAATCGAAAAGACAAAATATATTTTTATCATACGTCAATTGTCGTAATGTAGAAAGAGATAGATAGATTTTAGTGGTTACTTGAAATGGCAACATTTTGAGTGTTACCCCACATTGAACCGGCACGGAGGTGGAGCTCCGTCCTTTTGGGGGTAAAGGGCGTAACGGTATTTTCTTTTTTAAACTTATTTATAGTATATACATATTTGCGCAAATCATAATTATAACACTGCAAAACTACTTTCCTTGTGTTTGTATTTAGTGTCACGGTTGAACAACTTGAATAAAACCTCATTAATTATATTCTACGCGGACGAGGTCGCGGGCAACAGCTAGTACTTGAATCATGGTAAAAAGCACTATTATTTTATGGATTATTATTTTAACTACTATTTTAATTATTTTATGGATTGAAGAATGAAGTATGCATGAGCACCATGTTAGACTATAAGATTTTTTTTGTTTCGTTTTTTTATTTTAGTAAGTTTTGTAATTAGATAATGTGTAAAGCGTGTCTTTGCAATTGGAACATATATCAGAGACATTATAGAACATACTTTTTAATGAATGGAGTCTCGTTCGTTCTTCTCCATTCGAATCTACATCTATATATAAATAAAAATGAATTGCCATTCGTTAGTCGCGCTAAAACTTGAGAACGGCTGAACCGATTTGGCAATTTTTGGTCTTCAAATGTTGGTGGAAGTCCAGGGAAAACAGTGAGAACAAAAAATTTTAGGCAGTACGAAGTTGCCGGGTCAGCTAGTTTTGGAATAAGTACAGCTAGCTTCATTGATGAATTGACTGATAGGCAATTTTTTATTTTGTATTTGTTGACGTTTCAAAAGTACCAAATTATAGTTTAATTGAAATAAATACTTTGACTTTGACTAGGATTACGTTCGCCTATTTTTCGAAGTCGTTGGTTCAGTGGGCCAAAGCGGGGTACTCTATTTATTTACATGATTTTATTGCGTTGAGCTGTAAGTTCGATACATGGTTACGTGACAAGTACTCATACTTTCACTGGGAAAACTCAATAAATACATCGTTGGTTACCAAGAACACCTACCGGCTGGCGTACACCTCCAGCAGTACTGCCACTGCTCGGACAGGGGGCGGGGTGAATCCCCGCCCACATCACCACACACCCACGTCGCCACAAGGCCACGTACTTACATGGATTGTACCTACTTTTTATTATTTACAGCGGATGATGGAGGTTTCGAGCTCGGCGCGTACATGAACAAGATATGCCAAACTCCGAATATCGATGCCCTTGCACAGCGTGGTCTACTCTTCAACAATGCCTTCACTTCAGTTAGCAGCTGCTCTCCGAGGTTTCGAACAATACTTTATTTAAACAATAGCTTATTATTTGAAATAAAACGTACATAACCTCAGGCCCGTCTCCCATGGGAGTAGGCAGAGACTATATTCTTACAAACCTCTTTCGCAACAACAATAGGCAAACACACTTAGGTACGCTGTTTCACTATAGTCTTCGTTAATCTATCTTTTTATGGGATACTAGCTTTTACCCGCTTCGCTCGCGTCACAAAAGGATAAAAAGTAGCCTATGTGACATATATCAATACACACAGCGCCATCTATACTAATTCTTTTGTTTTCCCTGGGAAATATCAAATATTTCCGGGATAAAAAGTACCCTATTATTTAATCCGGACTTCTAACTTTACGTCTGCAAAATTTCAAAGCAATCAGTTTAGTAGTTACGGCGTGAAAGTGGAACAAACAAACAAAGTCACTTTCCGATTTATAATATTAATATATAAATATATATAACTAGTTTTTACCCGCGGCTTCGCTCGCGTCACAAAAGGATAAAAAGTAGCCTATGTGACTATCCATCCGTTCAACTACCTTCAGTTAAAAAATCACGTTAATTAGTACCTCCGTTCTGCCGTTTAAGACAGGCAAACAAACAAATAGCTTTTCCCTCGCGTGGAATTCGGTTATATCACGCTATTTAGATTTTTCCAATAAGTAGGTAATTCGTTGACTGGTTTTAAATGACATACACCACCATCTATACGTAGGTACATACATACAGCGCCATCTATACCAATATTTTTGTCTTTCCTAGAAATATCGATTTTTCATATATATATAGATACCTAGTCTATCTTTTTTCATATATTTGGTCGGCCACCGTTTGGCGTTTTCTTTCTTTTCGAAAATAAAGGACTGTTTTCTTTGAGTAAAATTTTCTATCTAAAGTATTAAGAGCACTTCCCCTTCAGGTGGCATTACAAAACTAATAACAAACAAAAAGTCAAAACTAAAAAGCAAAAAATAACTATTATAATAATAATAATAATAACACATTCTCGTTGCCCCTCTGTTGCTATATCTAGCAACCATTCCCGGGGCCCGGTCGGTGAGTTGGCGAGTCTCCGCCTGCCATTTTTACGTGTAAAAAAAAAAAAAAAAAATAATAATAATAAGCCCGCAGGGCACCTTGAGGCGAGGTGACGGGCATTAGCGATCCCGCGGGCTACCATCATCCCGAGTGCTCCAGGGAGAAGTCACCGTTCCTTCTTCTCCGGCTTGCCTTAATTGGCTGGCTGGAGTGAACGATGACAAGGAACAGGTCTCCCACCTCTGGCTTGCCTTCATTGGCCGTCCAGAGTGGAGTCGCGAGAGCAGTGATCCTGCTCGGAGGGTAAGAAACTATTCGTAAGTCGCGAGTGGGCCAGGGATGCAGGAGGCTTCGGCTGGAGCAGATGATCTGAGTAGAAAGCGGTGGTAGTTTCTTAACCCTTCAGCCACTCACATTCTCGTTGCCCCTCTGTTGCTATATCTAGCAGCCATTCCCGGGGCCCGGTCGTGAGTTGGCGAGTCTCCGCCTGCCATTTTTACGTGTAAAAATTACATTGTTTCGGCAGGTGCCATAGTCATCCATAGTTCCCAATTTACCAGTCCACAGCAACCCATCCATAGCCCTACCTTTTTTTTCCATTATCCACAATAGTCCTACACTAACCGGGGACTGTCCTTGGGTGCATTTCCATAGTGCATACAGGGATAGTCGCCGGTTTGTGTGTCCATTACATTTATATTAAAGTTGTCTAAAGGGCCTCTGCGCAGTTGGCTTCGGCCCCTCGTACGCCTCCCAAATGACCGGGACCCTGTGGTCCCGTGAATGGTAAAGACATACAATAATAATAATAATTTTTATTACATTACATTACATTATACATCATACATTACATTAATTTGATACAAGTCATGGTGTCGTAGTACAAAATTAAAAACTCTGACCTCTGTACTAGGAAATACCTGTATCACAGAGATCAGTGCCCTCATGTATGGTATCATTGTGAGCCTAGTATAGACTTTACATAACAAATTAATTCAAATTAAGATCAACAAAAAGCAAACAGAGAAGACAAAGAATGTAATTAAATTAAATAAACAAAATGGGATGAAAAATAAATGGTAGTTATGTGTGGTGCGTATGTGTGTGTGTTTGTGTAAGAATGTGAAAGTGTGTGTGTGTGTGTGGTGTACCTGTGAGATTATGAATTTGTTTGAAACCTAACGCGTGACAGCAAGGGTGTATGCGAAAGAGAATGCACTTTTCCTAGATTCTAGTCCCCCACCACTACAGACGGCCCCCCATCAGCTCCTCAGTGCTGTGATAGTCCAAGCCGAGCAGAAATTTTCTTACCACTTCTTTACATTGAAATTTGCTAATGGAAAAGATGCTTAGTTTTTTATTCAAGCTATTATACAATAAAGCACTATTAATATAATATTGTCGGTTTGCGAAAGATGTCCTTCGAGACTCCACGATAAAAATGCGATGTTTGAGCCTGCTAGATAGGGGCTGCAGAGGCCGACCCGAGTGTCTACGGAGAACCGATGAAAACACGTACAATTGCCTAACTGATAGGACTTCTGCCCTCTCATACAAGAGTTTTGTGGAATAGCGTCGGGGCAAGAAAAGCAATACCTTCAGGACAGCTCTTTGAGCTCTCTCCAGGCGGATAAAGATACTCTGTGCGGCACCTCCCCATACTGGTATGCAATAAGTAAGAATCGACTGACAGAGAGCAAGATAAGCCATTTTTAAAATTTCTCCGTCGGCAGATTTACGTAGTTTTTTAAAGATGTAAATTAATCTACGTGTCCTAGTTGAGAGTACATCAATGTGTTTGTGCCAGTTGAGATTCCGGTCAATGTATACTCCCAGGTATTTGGCATCCTGCACCCTGGACAGGACCATACAATCACAGTTAAGAAAAGAAGAACAGGTATGGGCTTTAAGAGAGTAATAAAATGGCGGCTGGAGATTGTTTCTGATAGCAAATGCGACATAAACAGTTTTCTCGATGTTAAGAGTAAGGAGACTATTGTTTAGCCACTTCATTACGGAGGACAGTGCTAGCTCAGCATTATAAAAACAGTCGCCCAATTCTCTCCAGAAACTAACAAGGCTGTATCATCAGCATAGGTAACAATACTACAGTGTGCCAGAGGTAGTTTACACAGGTCATTTATGTAAATAAGGAACAAAGTTGGTCCCAGTATACTCCCCTGGGGAACACCGTATGCTATCCCAAGTTCATCACTAACGTACTCCCCAATTTTAACAACCTGAGTCCTGTTGTTGAGATAATCGCGGAAGATATCCAAGACGACCCCACGAACCCCCATCCCCTCCATCCTCCCCAACAAGACGGGCGCAGGGACGGTGTCAAATGCCTTAGATAAGTCAAGGAAGATGCCCAATCCTCTGCGCCTCCCATCCAGAAACCTGGCTGCTTGTTGCGAGAAAGCCAGAACAGCATCCTCAGTACTAGTATTTGCTCGAAAACCAAATTGATTGCTAGCCAAAATTTTGTTTGTGCTAAGGTAACTAACAAGGCTCTTATTTAGTATACGTTCAAGTATTTTTGAAAAGGTAGTCAGAATTGAAATAGGTCTGTAATTGTTAACCTCATCCTTGCGCCCAGACTTGTGAATTGGGAGGACCAGGGCCTTTTTAAACACGTCGGGGAAAACACCATTGGTAATAGAGAGATTACAAATGTGAGTAATGATGGGTACCAGAACTTTCCTGGAAGCTTTTATTATTCTTGCTGGTACGCCATCGTATCCCACAGCAGAGTTAGTCTTTAGATTTAAAATGATAGCCTCGACTTCCTCACATGAGACCTCCAGAAGGACCATCGACCCAACTGGTTTCAAAGGGCCTGCAAGTGAAGTGTTGGAAGGATTAGGGTTAATACTTAAAGCTAATTTTTTCCCAATGCTGGAAAAGTAATCATTAACCAGATTGAGTGAGGACACGGGAGAATCAGACAGCTCAAAAGTTCAGAAGGGGGCGAACGATTTATCTGCATGTCAGACACCTTTTTTATCACTTCCCACGTGGCCTTGGGGTTGTTCTTTGCTTTAGAGAATTCCTCTTTTTCGTATGCTTGTTTCAGTTTATTTAAGAGAGAATTACAAAAGTTACGATATCTGGTATATGAAATTTTCAACACAACATTATTTTTGTCCTTATTTAATTTCAGGTGCATTTTATCACGATTGCGTATACAACGCAGGAGGCCAGGTGTATGTAATCCACGGTTTCAAACATCTGCTTTTCCTAGGGAGCGTCACAGTCCGAGTAAACCTACTTACTAGCTGTGATAGATCTTCTGTAAGGGATTTTGCCGACAAATTTGGATCAGACATATCCAGTATTCGGGACCAATTGTGGTTATTGATGGCTTCAGTTATAGATTCATAGTCGAGCGTGCACTTAATTCGATGAGCATCAATGTACCGCTTCTTATTAGCAAGGAATAAAAATACCGGTTCATGATCTGTGATAGATGACTCAACAACAATCAAATATTATTGACTAATAACTAACAAACAAAACAAGAATTTTGGAAATCGGTGTACAAATGGCGGAGTAATCGGCGAACAAACAAAAAAACACAATCAGCCGAACATGTACTATGTTCGCCTGATTGTGTTTTTTTGTTACCTACTTTTTGATGTCTGTAAAAATGCCACCCTGTATAGTTAGACTTTGTCTATCAATGGACTGTCCATAGTCCATGGATAGATAGATAGGCTAGACGCAGAAATAATTACTCAATTCAAAACAATAGTTCTGGAGATTCGCACGTTTAAAGTAATATAGGTACTCTTCAGATTTATAAGAATATATTGTTTTAAAACAAGAAATGTTATCATGGCCTAAAGGCTAAACGTTAGCATATAGTCTTGTGCTACCTGGCCCCGCGGCGTGGGCAGCTACGTGTGCCGTTTACTGTGCGCCTAACGGCCCAATTGATAGATATTATGTTCCCGCAGCCGCGCCGCGCTGCTGACGGGCACGCCGAGCCACCAGAACGGCATGTACGGCCTGCACCGCACTGTGCACCACTTCAACTCGTTCGACACAGTCACCAGCCTGCCCAACCTGCTGAGCGCGCACAATGTCACCACCGGTGCGTTTTTATCTGTATTTACTTTGTTTTATTGTGTAATACATAATTTATTATTTTATGACTACTTACCTAGAATCTAATATTTACTTGACCCGAAACGTTTGATCGACTTACCTACCTTTGAGAATTGACTCAACACGTTGATCGTCCGCCGTCAGGTATTATTGGCAAGAAGGACGTCGGGCCGGCAGCACAGTATAAGTTTGACTACGAGCAGACCGAGGAGAACAACCACGTGAACCAGGTCGGCCGGAACATTACGCACATCAAGCTGCTCACCAGGGAGTTCCTAGCTAAAGCTAACCGTGACAAGAGGTACCTACGTAATACGTCGATTATTATACACGTAAACCATACGATCTAAGATGTTGTAAGATATTATGTCACCGTAAATCGTAAGATTGTAAATACCGATAGTTTACGATAGGTACCTACTGGTATCGCACAAAATTGTAACCTGTCGACAAATTGTGAATGTATGTACCTATCATAACATGTGCAATATTGCATTATTTGTCGTTGGTTTATGATCTGGTACTTTCAATTTCAATCAATTCAATTTACCAAGGTCCAAACTTCGGACTATTTATTTATATTTAGCATGGTTTCAGCAGAGGATAAAAAATGTAAAAAATGCTATTTGTTTAGCGGCAGGGTCAGTGCTCAAGTATTTCAGAATGTAATTAAAATATTTATTATGTATTAGCATGCTATGTAGATACTGAGCCGCGAAAGACTTAACGGATTGCCGGGGCTCCGGCTCGAAGAGCAGGAGTAAGAACGGGAAGAGTCTGACACTCCCTCTTGCCTCACCTGGGCGAGCGAAGTCATTGGATGATTTTCCGCTCTCAAAAATGCATTCTACTTACTAGACACAACAAAGAAACGCTTTACATTGAAACTTATGGTAGAAGGTGAAGATATTGCTATTTGTTTGACAGCAGGGGTAATATTAAATGTACCTAATATATTAAGTAAAATAGGTACCCACTTAAAAGTACTAAAACTAAAAGTAGGTATCTTGCATTTTGTATTGCAGATACCTACTTTGTATTGGGTATTTTGTACATCAATGGTCCTCACAGGAAACCAGCGTTAAACAATGTTTAGCAGGTGAATACTTGCTTCTTCTCAAATTTTTTACTAGCTCCCTGGAACATCGTCATTGTTTTATTTATTAAGTTTTATACAATTGCGTTAGGAGGGACTTAATGCTAACAGGATTTTCTGCCCGTATCCTTTTTCATGATTGTCATTGTTTTCTGTATAATATATATACACATATAGCTGGGTGCTTATTTACTTTCAGGCCGTTTCTACTTTACGTAAGCTTCCACGACCCGCATAGGTGCGGTCACACAGACCCGCAGTTCGGTCCGTTCTGCGAACGATTCGGTTCCGGCGAGGAGGGTATGGGGCTTATACCGGACTGGCATCCTATTTACTATCAATGGGAGCAAGTGCAGCTGCCGTACTTCGTACAGGTAACGACGAGCCTGCTTCAGACTGAGCAGAGTCAGACTTTAGCTAGTAGGTATATAGCCTCTATTTTCTGATGGCGAGCAAATTATACAGGTGTCTCTAAAGACGACTTCCAAATGGCACCAGGTAATCGGAAAGGTTCCAACAGTTATTAGAAAATTGGAAAATAAATTGAAGTCATATAGTTTTTAAATTGCAATGAGTTATATTGTCCACGAAAAAGTGCCAGTCTTTTGACCCATGTTGCTACAATTAGGCACGTTCCTTTAATCACACTTTCAATAATTGATTTTATGCCCAACTTAACTTTAGTATTTTTCTACCAAATATATGTTTTAACTATGCTGTTTGCCGCTAAAATAACGTGACGTCACAATACACAATCTCGTACAATATCTATAGAAAACTGTCGTTTTTGACAGTTCGAAAAAGTACTAAAATTAATTCCTAAATGAATTCGATAGATGGCAAGTAATACTTTACCCAATGTCTACGTTATCCTAAATACTTAGTGCTTGAATATTATGGAATAATAAATTCTGGGTCAAAGACTTGCAATAGTAAAGTCAATACACAGGGTTGCCAATATAAAAGATGATTTGTTGAGAAATGGCTAATTGTTTATGCTTTCTACCAGCAACTTTGTACGCACAAATAGGTGATCTCCATGTTTGTCGTTCCCGTGGGAATTGAGAAATCTCTTAGTTCTCCCCCATACACTCCTCAAATACATACATGCGCAAGTTTCAGCTTACTAATTTCAAAGTCAAAGCATTTATTTCAATAGTCCTTGATTAGGCACTTTGAAACGACAAATTGAATTGTTAGTGAAGCTAGGTGCGCGGTCCGAAGTGTAGTTTCGAATGAGAAGAACGAGCAAGAAACTCCATCGTTCCATTTTCAAATGTTTAATTTTGTTATAACCAATGTTTTTAAAGTTGTATTAAAAGTCTTTAATTTTATGTTCCCTAAAATAAGAATGTTAATTACTTTAGTAGTAGTTTCTTTTTTAGTAACTAAAAAATTTTACTGTTCTCGTCCATTTTTGTATCTATAGTTTTATTATCACTTAAGTAATTAAATGTTGGTTAACCCATAATTGGCGACTGTATAAGCCTAAAAACTTATTGTTACTTTCAAATTCAATATCACTTAATACTATGTATACAGAAGCTGTCTGTCGTTATACCTATTTAAATAAATAAATAAATATGGGTTTCTTCAAGACAGTTAGGAGTAAACGCGGCGCACGTAAGAGGTTGCAAAATAGAAAGTGCACATCTAAATCTACAAAATTACCACTTTTAACACTCCAGTAAAAGATAATTACGTAATGAGTGCACTAATTGTAATATATTTCAATAACCTTTGTGTAGAGTGTCTCCTTTTTGTTTAACCATCTTTCAAATTTTGCCGCCTCGGGCAATTGGTCGGTTTGTCCCTCCCTGGGATCTGGGACATTATCAGTGTGAGGATAACGTTGTGTGATGCACAGGACACGGAAGCAGCTCGGAGAGACATCGCGGCACAGTACACGACCATGTCGCGGCTAGACCAAGGTACGACATACTAGCAGAGCAGTAGATTCATCAGCCGGCGCGTGGCGGCAATATCTAACATACTTACTTCAACAGGAGTAGGACTGGTGCTGCAGGAGTTACAAAGCGCTGGACACGCAGACGACACTCTCGTTATATATACGTCAGACAACGGCATCCCGTTCCCGTCCGGCCGCACCAACATGTACGACCCGGGACTACGCGAGCCCCTCATCATCGCCTCGCCGCACCCGCACGCGAGGAAGAATCAAGCCTCGTACGCCATGGTCAGCCTGCTGGACGTCATGCCTACGGTACTGGACTGGTTCAACATTCCGCTCCCGCAGGAGACAAATGACATAATGACGCCGGATACAGCTAAGAGCTTACTTCCAATTTTAGAAAAAGGTCAGTCAGTGATACTATGTCATTACAACGTCGGTGTGGTAAACCAACATTGGGCGGGTGCATGGTGCATACATACATTGACATAATTATATGTTGCTGTGTTACAGAGCCTCCGCATTCGGAGGACGAGGCAGTGTTCGCGTCGCAGACTCACCACGAGGTCACATGTACTATCCCATGAGAGCAGTGCGCACGCGCCGATACAAGCTTATACACAATCTCAACTTTGGGATGCCTTTTCCTATAGACCAGGATCTTTACGTTTCACCAACTTTCCAGGCGAGTCTATATAATTCATTTTCATCACGCCAAAGGCGCTGGAAAGGCGCCATTCATCTTTTAAAATAATGTGAACTCGATTGAATCGGTGAATTACGTTCTCAGGACCTGCTGAACCGCACGGCGGACAAGCAGCCCCTGCCGTGGTACAAGACCCTCGCCCAGTACTACTACCGGCCGCAGTGGGAGCTGTACGACGTGCGCGCTGACCCCGCGGAGGCCAGGAACTTGCACGGTAAGTACAGTCCACAGCGGACACAGTACACACGCGACACACGCGACACACGCGACACACAAGTGTACGGCGCTTGTCCGCAGGCAAGCCGGCGCTGGCGGGCGTGGAGGCGGCGCTGCGCGCGCGGCTGCGGCGCTGGCAGCGCGCGTCCGCCGACCCGTGGCAGTGCGCGCCCGACGCCGTGCTCGAGCGCGCCGCCTGCCGCCCTCTGCTGCATCGCTAGGACACGGCCTTACTTTTATACGACCTAGCTCATTACTATACACAATATACTCCTTAGACTAGATTGTATTCAATACAGACGTTTATTCATGTGCTTAATTATAAGAAAATTGTAGCCCAACGGCCGAAATTAACCTAATCCAAAATCTGTTGATATGGATCGGTGTTGGACAGACACTCCACACACGACTAATGTCATTGTTTCTATTTTAAGAAATAAAGAATAGTGTAATGTAGTGCAGCGTTGTCTCTCGCAGCGGCTACGTTACTCTGTAACTTTTAATTGAAAAGTCATTGCTCGAGACTCGAGAGAGTATAGTGAGTATAGTCCCACAACCAATGCCATGGCGGACCGCGATCGATCGAGGTCACTTCGATCTTTCGCATTGAAAGTTACAGAATATCTTACATAGCAGCTGGGCTCGCTACTGCAACGACAGCTGGAAGGATCTCGACATTGCAAATAAAACTACTTCATATAAATGTTTGTGTCTATTTGTTGATTTCATATACATAGATACGAGTGCATATTAAGTTAAACATTCAAATTATATTAACAAATACAACGCAGGCAACTGGTTTCTTGGTTTCGTCTACAGTCTATTATCAATTATAAATACACTGGCTTCGGCCGCGTCTTGTGCGATACCAAGTACCGACACACAAGTGACACAAGTGACACGACACACGACACATAGGCATGTGGTATTTCAGACCATAATGTTCCTCTGTTCCAAATGTGAGAACAATGCTAAGACACGCTTGACGTATTATACGAATTACAAAACTTACTAACACAAAAAAAAACAAAACAAAATATATCTTATGGTTTAACATGGTGCTCACATATGCATATTGACAATCCATAAAAATAGCGCTTCTATACAAGAAAAAGGAAACTCTTTGTTCCATGTATTGGAATCTTAACTATCTACTACTGCCAAGCATTCTTACTTTCAAGATAATCTGTCAGTGTGTAGAAAGCTCGTTTACATAATTCGCGCTTAATATATGTTAAATTTACTTTCATTGAGATCTAGTGTGCTATTTGGTATTTTATTATAGCATTTAATACTGGGGTAAATAATAATGGGGTTAGCCCATAAAGGATTTCTTTACCTTGGACAGTCTGAATTAAAGTTCTCTTCAAAACAAATTAATCAAGCCCAAACACCAGGTAGCTACTGTCAGCCGTTGAGGAGTTCCCTTAGGTATCATAATCCTTCATCATCAGGCCCCTAATAGAGTCATACCTCATTTTGGTGTAAAGTTCTCATCACTACAAATTAATCAAGCCCAAACACCAGGTAGCTACTGTCAGCCGTTGAGGAGTTCCCTTAGGTATCGTAATCCTTCATCATCAGGCCCCTAATAGAGTCATACCTCATTTTGGTGTAAAGTTCTCATCACTACAAATTAATCAAGCACGAACACCAGGTAGCTACTGTCAGCCGTTGAGGAGTTCCCTTAGGTATCGTAATCCTTCATCATCAGGCCCCTAATAGAGTCATACCTCATTTAGGTGTAAAGTTCTCATCACTACAAATTAATTAAGCCCAAACACCAGGTAGCTACTGTCAGCCGTTGAGGAGTTCCCTTAGGTATCGTAATCCTTCATCATCAGGCCCCTAATAGAGTCATACCTCATTTTGGTGTAAAGTTCTCATCACTACAAATTAATCAAGCCCAAACACCAGGTAGCTACTGTCAGCCGTTGAGGAGTTCCCTTAGGTATCATAATCCTTCATCATCAGGCCCCTAATAGAGTCATACCTCATTTTGGTGTAAAGTTCTCATCACTACAAATTAATCAAGCCCAAACACCAGGTAGCTACTGTCAGCCGTTGAGGAGTTCCCTTAGGTATCATAATCCTTCATCATCAGGCCCCTAATAGAGTCATACCTCATTTAGGTGTAAAGTTCTCATCACTACAAATTAATCAAGCCCAAACACCAGGTAGCTACTGTCAGCCGTTGAGGAGTTCCCTTAGGTATCATAATCCTTCATCATCAGGCCCCTAATAGAGTCATACCTCATTTAGGTGTAAAGTTCTCATCACTACAAATTAATCAAGCCCAAACACCAGGTAGCTACTGTCAGCCGTTGAGGAGTTCCCTTAGGTATCATAATCCTTCATCATCAGGCCCCTAATAGAGTCATACCTCATTTAGGTGTAAAGTTCTCATCACTACAAATTAATCAAGCCCAAACACCAGGTAGCTACTGTCAGCCGTTGAGGAGTTCCCTTAGGTTTCACATTTTGTATAAATTAATGAGTTCGTTCGGAGCCTTGCCCTAAGGCCCATTGTCTACGTAACCACACGTCACACGCACGCATCATCAATTACGTTTGCATGACGATCACAAGACGAATACTTGCATCCTGCGTAGAAACAATCAAAATTGTGTCCACGATGCGCCATTTGACGAATGCATACAGCCTGTGTGACGTAACGTTGCCGGCGCCGTGCCGCTGGGTGGAAATTGAATAAAGCGTGAGTATGACGTGCGATTACGTGTATAGTAGGCTTGACTAATAAAATGGTATTTAGATACAGCATAGGTACTACCACAGAACATATAAAGAAGGCTAGAAAGGAAATAGTTTCTGATTTGTTTCAGAACACGCGACGCCGTTTGTCTCCAACTCTTTAACTTTACTACAAGCAAGAGACCAATACCTACGCGGAAAATGCACACAAATAAACAACACGCATTAGGTTTACATTTTTGCTATTGGTCGTCACACTGACGCAATCACTTCGTTGGACATACACTCATACAGGCGTAAAAAAACTAATGTATGGTAGGGGGTGCGAAAGGTCGATTAGTGATATCGATAAAATTAATAGCATATAGCTTCTTAATTTACATGTGTTGCGGACTATGTGGATTTATATAAGACATATTGTGTACATGTATTTACGCTAATATACATAACTACAACATGTAACGTAATTAATGCACACCCTTAAACACCCCAATTAGAATATTAGGTATGTTATAATCATAATACATACCTACACTACATTTTTAATGTAACATGTATATGCATCCTTACTGATCTTGTCATAAGGTTTATTTTTCTTTACTTTGTATTGAATGATAGAATTTGTATGAATACAAATAAAACTGCGATTATAAGTCTTATAGCTTTGACTTACCATCCATTTCGATTTGTTTTAACAATACAGGGTTAATATGACAATAATTTCCGTAGTTTAATTATTTTTGGGATAAAAAATTACCTATACTTACTAAAAATTATATAAATCGATTCAGTTAACGATTCTGAACTAACTATTTTCAGGATGTGCGTTATTTAAGTTACATGTTGTATACATAGAAAAATACATAACTGATTTTAAAAATCAATTATATTATTAACATAAGTAAATTGTTGATTGGTAGTAGGTAACCAAAAAAGTATAAAAAACAGAAAAAGGTATAATTTCGATTTTCTTTCGTTTTCAACTATAAGTTTTATAAAAATAAAAGGATTCCGGGAACAAGGGGTCAAATAAAAAAAAATTTACTTAATTCATATATAAAAATAGCGTAATTTCTCCCTAAGGAATGAAAAATAATAAAATAATGAAATATTGAAAATTATCATAACGTAACCATATCATGATATTTTTAATCTGTGCTCAAAACTCTGTTATTGTCTCTGTTGGATATCATCATAATATTCGTATGGTGACAACCGATAATCGTCGTTCGCATTTCTATAATAGTTAATGTATAGTTTCGGTTACCATAATTTCTTTCACTGTACGTGAGTGGTGTGCAAAAATTACTTAGAAAGTACGTATAAGTTGGTATGAAGCAGCGTCGCAACCTCCAGGCCAACACAATACCTATTTTAGGTCAAATAAATTAAGTCAGCTCTAAAAAGCTCTGAAAACTAGAAAAGTCATCAAGTATACATAGCTATTCTTTATTTTTTAAAGAATAGCTATGTATACTTGATGACTTTTCAGAGGATGAGGTACAATACAATCGCTCCCAAGATATAATGTGTTTTTATTTGTTGTCGTAGCTTTGTTCTTGAATAGAAAACCTCAACAACTATTTTAAATTATAGTTTATGAGCATTTAGGTTGATGGCCGGTTTTTGACATTTTGGTAGATTCGGAGAATTTGCTCATAACCGCGGCACGCGTGTACCGCCCACAAGGCCGGTCTAATCTCCTTTATATGTTCTGTGGGTACTACGATAATACTGGTGGTGTATCACATACTCATTGCTTATAACTATCAACGAGGGTCACTCATATCGCCACATACTGGCGAATGGCGGCTCGAGCTCTCCGACATGAGACGAGCCGTGCGTGCATTTAAATACTACGAGTCAGTGACCCGTTAGCCGACACAGGAATTCTCGTATCTTTTCTGGATTTCAATTGAACATTACACACATTTTTTTTTGAGTGGTGTAAGTCATGCATAGACTTCTCCCGCCTTGGGTGCGAGAATGTCAGATTCTTACAAACCAGAAGCACCCCGTTCGTTCGTACCCTATGCGCTAGAGGTCCGGCGAGCCGTCCGGTTGTCCGCAGCTCCGGAACGTCCCCGTGGCTAAACTAACTTCTTGTTACGCACAACTGTGTGGACAACAATGTTATGAACGCGAGCTATATTACTGTGTATTACGGTACGGGTGTAAACAACCGTGTTTATATCGGCACTTACAGACAAAGTAGCCGAGAAGCTGACAGTTTAGAAAGACCAGTCGCTGCCCCCAAATTATTTTTATCGACAAGTAAGTATATACAGCAGAATTAAACTAAAATGTTATGGATTTGCGAGATGTTGGTAAAATTATTGGAAAATGTGAAATTAATAAAATAAAAGTAGTTAGCCTACTTACATACAGTACTTATCGTTTCTTTAGATTTACGAACTTCATAACACGTACAGTGTAGCCACTTCATATAGTTTGCTCACTGCAGTTATCATCTGGACTCAATAAAGATGGCTGACTGTACCACCCACCGCCGGAACCCTGTAATAAATAGTACGAACAATGAGGACACCGCCAGCGACGTAGTCCGTCGAATAGGATGATCTCTGTGGCAGTTCTGAGTAAATCACGCCCATGAAGTTTGGACTTCAGTAGTACCGATATGACACAGTACACATTTAATGGCATATTTTAAGAGGATGTCGATTTAATTAATGATGCCCGTAGAATCATCGGGAGTACACTATCAATATTATGTATCGATACTTAGTAGTAGATAGACCGCACGGTTGGTGCGGTGGCTGGGCCACCGGCAACCGTGAACGTGTCGCGGGTTCGATTCCCGCACGGAACAACACTGTGTGATCCACAAATTGTTGTTTCGGGTCGGGGTGTCATGTGTATGTGAACTTGTATGTTTGTTAACGCACCCACGACACAGGAGAAAATCCTCGTGTTAGACTACGTTTAAAAAAAAACTTCACTACCTTTAGATCTCGGGAGAAGATACACCGATTTTGGCTCTATGGCCGACATACTTTAGCTAAAGATATTTACTAAAAAAAACTGCGTTTGAAAAAACAGACAGAAGTCGGTTTTTTTAAACGGAGATTTTTATTTTATACTTTTGTTTAGTACTAGAATATATTATGTACAACCCACATCAGTGCAAAGTCTTCATCAGTACATATTATTCAAGCTCAAACACCAGGTAGCTACTGTTAACCATTGTTCTCTTAGCTATCGTACTACCTTATCATTGGACATTTAGTGACAACCACACCACACCACACCTAGGTGTTAAGTCCTCATCAATACAAATTAATCAAACCCAAACACAAGATAGCTACTGGTAACCGTTGAGGAGTTCCCTCAACTATGGTACTACTTCATCATCAGACCCTTATTGGCAATCACATACCACCTACATATAAAGTCTTCATCAATACAAAGTAATCAAACCCAAACACAATGTAGCTACTGTTAACTGTTGAGGAGTTCCCTCGACTGCCTATCGGCTCCATCATCAGATCAGCTCCAGAGCTTTATCAGATTGTAGTGGTATTATATACTTAACGAAAAAATTAACAAATGCACTAGTCGCCCCGATAATTTTTAAAAGTTCCTCTCGGTTCCATCATCAGATCCTGACTTCATGACAATGGGACCAAATGACAAGCCCAGCCTTTCAAACAAAATAAGAATTTTTGAAACCGGTCCAGGCATCTTCGAGTAATCGAGTAACAAACATAAAACATAACGCCTACCTAATCCTGTGAACCGCGAGAAGTATATTGCAGCTCGAAATCGTAGCAACAAGATGTGTAGGGATGCACAACGCCGCCACATTCATCAATCTGTAGAAAATGGCGACGCAGCCAAGATCTGGACATTCCTAAGATCCATGGGAGTTGGGAAACTGCGTCGGGACGGGATTACTAGAAACCTGGACTTTGAATCTCTTAATAAACACTTTTCCTCTTCGCCCAATATTAATGGGTTTATCAAAACTAAAACTTTAAGCTATCTTTCTTCTCTTCCTTCTCCCAACTATTCACAATTTTCCTTTAATCAACTCACAGCTTGTGATGTTAGGAAGAGTATAGTTTCCATTAGTTCCAATGCGGTGGGGAGTGATTGTGTCAGCCGTAAGATGATACTCCCTGTCCTGGACGAAATCCTTCCTGTCATTTGCCATATCCTTAACTATTCCTTATCTAGCTGCATTTTTCCTTCTGCATGGAAGGACGCACAAATCACTCCTCTTCCCAAAAAACCAAACCCAGACTCCTTTTCCGATTACCGTCCTATTTCCATTTTACCCTTCCTCTCTAAAGTCCTGGAACGCCTCATCTATAACCAGCTAAGTGCTTTCCTCACCAAACACAGTCTCCTCAATCCTTACCAATCAGGGTTCCGTCCGGGGCATAGTACCACTACAGCCAAGTGCTGTAGTGGTACTATCACAGACGACATACGATCGGGTATCGAAAACGGCAATCTAACTCTGCTTACCTTGCTAGATTTTAGCAATGCATTCAACACCGTTGATTTCGATATCTTACTTGGAATACTGGGCTCTCTTAACATATCGCCGGCTGTGATTGATTTCTTTCGTAGTTACCTGTCTGGCCGCCGGCAGCGTGTTGCCATTGAAGGTTCATACTCCTCCTGGTCTGATACGACTGCTGGCGTACCGCAGGGGGGCGTTCTTTCTCCTCTACTCTTTGCTATTTTTATAAATTCTATCTCTGATGAACTTCTTTCTTCCTACCACTTGTATGCTGACGATCTGCAAATTTACTCTCAGGCACCTCCTGGTGAATTCACCGAGGCGGTCAAAATGGTGAATACCGACTTAGCTCGAATCTCAGAATGGAGCGCGGCTTACGGTTTAAAGGTTAACCCTGCGAAGACCCAGGTCATTGTAGTCGGTAGCCCTCGGTTACGTTGCAAAATTACATGGTCGCAGATTCCACCTATTGTTTTTAACGGTACCATAATACCATACAGCGACTCAGTGAAAGATCTAGGCATTACCATAGATCGAGTCTTTTCTTGGGGACCGCAACTGGGGCAGGTCAGCCGGAAAATATTTGCGTCAGCCAAGTCTTTACGTAGACTTCGAAACTTTCTACCAACCGCTACCAAAATTGCGCTTGCTCAATCACTTCTCCTTCCCATTCTTGATTATGCCGACGTCAGCTATCCAGATCTTACTGAAGCGCAGTTAGATAAACTTGAACGACTCCAAAATTTCTGTATAAGGTTTATATTTGGCTTACGAAAATATGACCACGTTTCCGAATACCGAGCTAAACTCAAGTGGCTGCCGATCCGCCTTCGCCGGAATACTCATATCCTATCCCTTCTCTACAATATACTGTTTCAATATACAATATAACGTTTCAAGTTCTACCATGACACACATTTTAGACCAGTACGGTCGTCGGGAGATCTGAGACTTGAGATGCCCCAGCATGAGAGCAAATCCTACGACAAATCGTTTACAGTTCGAGCTATTCGACTGTGGAATGCACTTCCCCCTTCCATAAAACAGGCAAAGTCACTGGTCACGTTCAAGGCACGCGTGAGGGAGCATTATCTCTCCACACTGTAGTTCATTGTTGTTTCTTCTTCACCTAGTGTCACCTATCTGTCATTGTATCTTGTTTCTAAATGTACTTATGTATGTATTAGTATATGTAGGGGATATCTAGCTAGACAGATAGCTAGCTATCTGCTGTCCCCCAACAAATATATACAGAGGGTCTGATCGCCATCGTCAAACAAGAGATCGCTCGATGCAGCGAGAGTTATCAGATGAGAATATCAACTCATGTCCACCTAGATTGACCCTACACCCCATAGTGTCCCTACACTTACCGTGACATTTGGTGATACAAGGGAACTTCTTCTGCTGCTTGCAAGAC